TTTCTTAATGTATAACGAGGATGGAACGAGAATCGACTGAATGTGGTGGATGCTATGTCGTTATGAATACTTTCTGCTCTGTGCAAAGACACTTCATCAGAATAAAGTTCGTGTGTTGAAGACTGTTGTCTGGTCGAACGGGAAGGACGAGATCGAAAATGGTTGGAGCGTGAACTTGTGCTTTGAAGTGACTGCACAACATCTTGAAACTAGATCCAGTCATCAGTCTTGTAGAGAAGGAATAACAACTTACCTCAATAGCTTGAAAAAGAGATGTACGAATTCTTAGCTTGGGATGCAACCCATTTCTTTGATGATTCATGTTTTGATATCCTTCTGTTTCAAACCCTTCATCATACAATTCCATTTCATCTTCATTTGCCTCATTATCTAAAGAAAATGAGTTAGCTTAACAAAAAAAAAAAAAAAAAAACTTTGCATACTACATTACCTCTAAACATGTTTCCTCTTAAAAGATTGTCTACATCTGTCCCGTTCTCCTCATATTCTAGACGAGCTCTTTCGACAAGATTCAGATAGTTTGATCTCTTCTTCATATAATAATTGCCTCCAACAACCACAAGCACATAAATAACGTAGAATACGATCAAAAGAATGGCTTCGTACAGGTAAATTAAGCCATCAGACACGATTAACATGACAAGTATAATTGCACATGTAAAGAAAGACACGTCTCGCATAAAACTAAATTTTTTGGCACGAAAAGGCTTGATGGCACACATGGAGCTACATTAAAAGTGAGTTAGTATTAGATCATGCGTGCTTTTCTATTTAATTACATATTACGAACCCTGCTACTACGCTTACTATAAAAGCTGCTGCACCTATCAATTCACCTAAGGCAAGCGAACCTAAGTTGGAATGCATGGCACTGAATGTTGAAAACAAGTCAGGACTACCATTACCAAATGCTAGAAACGTTACACCCGTCTATAGATTATGAGTACCCTAATTTTGTAAATATATATATATATATATATATAGATACTTTACTAGACTCTCAGATAAATGTAATGCAGATGCGATGGTCTGTAGGTTAGGGCCTTCAAAAATTTCCAAATATAGAATATTAGCCTTTTTTTTTCTTCTCTTTTGTCAAAAGACTTACAAAAGAAATCAGAAGCTGCAATACCAACAAAACCAAACAAAAACACCAACCAACAACACTATATTTCTTAGTTACATTACTGTGGGTTTAGAATAGAGTATGTACCATAAAGATAAACGTAATTGGTCGAACTGAAGAGCAGTAATAAAGCTGAATATAGTTGAATAAGCCAGGCGTTGCGTCCATACAGTGCTCCATGACAAAGGCACATTGGTTGAGTTGTAAATGAATATTATCACACTGCTTTCGGTATTAACTTGTGGTCGTCGTGAGATTAGCTTACCCTTTGTTCTGTTATTTCTCCTCGTTTATATAGCTGAACACGGGAAATAGACCAAGTATAGGTTATACATTTTACAAACAGTAATAGCGAGAATAAAAGTATTGTATTTCTCTTAAGAGACATAGAGGGAAACGTAAGAAGAAAAGAAAGGGAAAAAAAAAGGAGTGTGTCGTTTTAAAAGAGAGCGAAAGAAAGTGTTCTCTAATGATTTAAACTCAGACGAGTTACTTGCTTCAACATTCAATGTTATTGTGTTTTATTATAAGAAATCTACATAAATTCTTCAGGATTAGATATAGGTGAGTATTTTAGATTATGCTTTGTTACATATTCACTTAGAATACACTTGGACACAATAGCAGCGTGGTGTAAAGGACTGTAGGGTGTAAAAGGAAACATGGGCCCCACAGATACACCTGCTTCGCCGCCTAGCGTGATGCCCGCCAAAATGTTACCCTCAATACAAACATTCTTGAATGTCTGAGGGAAATGCTTGGCCAGTTTGCCATATGTCATATAGCGCTCAGAATCCAAATAACATCGTTCTGCCTTTTCATGTTCTCGCAACAAACCTTCTGTCATTTCAATGCATGTACGATCTGTGTAGCCTTCATCATTTCCATTGGCCAATTGCTTAGTCAGTAAGGGTCGAGTTGAACTTTCCATACGACTGTAGATGTAGTAACGAATCAATGAAATCAGACGCACACAGAGTCCGTGTAAATCATGTAGTTTGTTTGTCTCGAGTTTCTTGAGTAGACTATCTGAGAAGGGAAACAGACTCTTCCATGCCACAGAAGCTTGTTTAAAAGGTACATGCGTGTTTACCTTGTCGACAAAATAGAAGTTGAGCATATAGTCACAGAGCGCATGGAAATGATCAATGATAGCAAAGATAGGATCTGTTTGTGTATCGCCTCGTCTCTTATTGGCCAACGCTAATTGTTTAAACCTATTTCGAAAAAGAAAAAGATCAATACCTCTAAAAAAAAAAAGGAATTAAGCTATAACTTACATGATAGTAAACACTTTGTATTGTTCAGGTGTCTCTGCATTAGGTGCAGTAGCTGACACTGTCTTTTCATTGTTTAAAAAGGAAGAAGATAAAGGTGTTGTTGTTGTTGTTGCTGTTGTTGCTGGAATAGGTGTACTAACAACGGCTGAATTCGTTATTCGCTTACTGTTAGTTTTGGAAGAGGATGCATTGTTGTTATTATTGGAAGAGTTGGTATATTTGCTGTCCTTTTCTATTGCTGCTTGCACCTTTTCTTCATCTGATGCTACCTTACTTTCAGTCACTTGCCGTTTAGCAGGTGGTTCACCATCATGTTTGGATGATTTTGTTTCATAATCAGATGGATTTCTACGCTTATTTTCTCTTTCAGCTGATGTTGTGGCTGTTGTTATGGTTGTTGCACGAACAGGCGAACGACGACGATCCACATTTCTTTTATCAGGAGAACGGTTGCTTTTACTCTTGCTTTCTGAGCGGTGATTGCGACTGATAGGCGAACGAGATCGAGATCGAGAGCGCGAACGTGAGCGATGATGTGAAGAACGGTGACTTCTGTCTCTTCGGCTGCTATCTTCATGGTATCTATCTCGTTTAGATCTATCTTCATCGCGTCTATTGGTATTTCTACTGTGTTTTCTTGTAGATTCAGGGCGTTCATAGTCCTCTTCTTGTTCATTCAATGGCCGAATACGACGACTGCTTGAGTTTGTGGTAGTAGAAGTAGTACTTGCAGTCGTCGTCTGAACAGGCGAAGGTGATGGGCTGATTGTCTCTCCTTCCTCTAATTCCATCTCTGAAGCCTTATTACTCGAAGTGCTGTTACTTCTCTTGGGAATTTTGATGGATTTCAAAAATGCAGCAGAGACTGAACTAGGATAAGCTTGTTTTTCTGTAGAAGAAGGTGTAGGCGATGGTGCAGGCGACTTTATCATTTGCTTCTCTTCCTTAGGTTTTTGAGTTGTAGACTTGGTACGTGTTGTTTGATCGCTCTGCGATTTTTTTGTAACAGTGGTTGGCTTCTCATCCATGCTGGATTTAGATGGAGGTTTAGACAAGCTGTTATTTCTAGACGTTTTTGTGGATGTGGATTTTGTAGCTTCATCTAGCCAAGAGTGTTGGGATATGAACTGTATAACGCATAAAGTTACTTACTTTTAACAGGAGGTGGGGGTAATGTTTCTTGTGTACTGGAGCGAGATTTCTTATTTACATGTTGAGTTGGTTTGCTTTCATGACGAGTATCGGAAGTAGCACGACTAGCGACAGTCTTACCAGCTCTTGCTTTTGGCTTTTCTATTATAGGCTTAAGGATATTGCACTCTTTGGCCACTTTACGCATCTCTTCAGTTACATGCTTAAAGTGAAAGAATAAGACAGGTCTCTGGATACTATGAGTGACGCGTGGAACTCTATCGTGAAAAAAAAAAGTTTCAGTAAATCATCCCCTTTTGCGTTTGTACATACTCTTGTAATGTCCTAAGACTTCGAAATTCAACTTCATCCATATCTCCCAAGAGGTATTTACGAGCTTCAATAAGGTCCTACACAGACACACAGACACACACACATTACATCAATCATAGAGTCCATACAAAACAAGCAACTTACTGGTATATTTTCTGTATATTTTGCTTTTTCTGTAGGCATTGATTTTGAGGAGACGCGGGGACGTGCGCTTGATGCAGTTGTGCTTTGTATCACATTGAGGGGTTTCTTGACAGTACTCTGTTTTTCAGGGCTGATGGCGGGTTTTAATGCAGACGCTTTACGAGGCGCACTTGAAGCAGAAGCTGACTTTAAGTTATCATTCGGTCTGTTTGTATAGAGTTTAGGCGGTTTAGCAGATGGCTTTCGTCTTGTGTCGGTCAAGTTTTGTAAAACGCCTTTGATCTTATCGGGAATGGGTTCAATCAAACGCTTGTTTTTATCTTGAACACGTGTCGAAGACGACGATGGAGTAGGTGCTGAAGGTGGAGGGTGTTTTGTGGCTGTTGCTGTTGTATTTGGAGGAGTGACTTTATGTGATACGTGATTGCTTGTAGGGGTGTTTGCTTTACTGTACTCATTCATGATATCTTCCACCGGTCTTAGTTTGACACCCGTGCTTTGTGGATAGACGGGTTCAGGCTCTTTGAATTTCTTATTGGACATAGGCACTGTCCATAAACGATCCTGGACGCGGTGTTGTTTGATTAAATCTTGGACTGGTAAATCAATGCTCATGTCTTGCAAGATAGGCCAGGCTTCTTTTGGCTCGGCTCTAAATTCGTCTTCGTCTTCAGCAACATGGCTTGCAAACTCGCCAGGACGCAACCAAGTGCTCTTGTCTCGAAATCGCTTGTACGTGATGACATTTGTGGCCCGAAAGCCCTTCATACAACGGCTGATTTCGTTCTTTAAGGCAACATCAAAGCTTGTGTTAGTAGTGCTTTCTCTTTTGGTGGGAAGCTTGTATTCTCTCGAATATCGCTCTTCTTTAGTTGCCATGGAAGCTTTGTTTGCTACAGTAGTAAAGAAAAAAGAGAAAGAAAAAAAGGGTTTGAATTTAAATATTAGAGTCCTTTTGTACGTCAAAGAGAGAGAGAAAGAGAGAGAGCGAGGGGGGGAGTATGTGTATATATGTGATAGATATATTTTCCAACAGAAAAATACACAAGTCCTAAATAGAATAGTGTTTTCCTATTGCTTGATACTTGATGCTTAAAGAAAGAGAGAGAGAGAGAGAGAGAGAGAGAGAAAAGGAAGAAAGGAGAAGGCAACAAAATCATTTGTTGCATTTTCTGAGTTTCAAGTAAATGTGAACACGTCACGAAGCTCTACAAAAAAGAGTGGAGAAAAGGGTTTGATAGAGCATGATGTGATCTATTGTTATTGTTTGATAGGATTTTATATTTACGCGTGATAGATTTTATTTGATACCATCAACTGGCTTATCAAGGTGCTTATACTGCCACAGAATCGCTATTTCAAAACATAACCAAGAAAGGGGATTTCTTGCCATGCCCCATTTAGAACCTGAAATCAAAGTTTATGGTGTGTAACCATTACCTTTTTAACCTAAAGATCAACAAAGGAGTCATAGTTTGTTTGGTTCTCTTTTAATGGATAATATTGCAATAGGCATTTTAATGATGCCTGAAAGGAATTGCGATTCATTAGTCTTGTTTTTTTCTCTCTTCTTGAAAGACCACAAAAAGACAGATTGGTAACAGTCACTTTTTTTCGAGTTATTTAAGGGCCTTCTTAGTAATACAGAACAACTTTTTTTTTCTTATTTATCAAAAAAAAAAAATGCCACGCAGTGAAACAGACCTTGAAGACGTTTGGGCTGATAGTGATAACGAAGAGCAAATTGCTTATGAAAGAAACCTTGCTGAAAAAGAATGGGAGAAGCTTCAAGAAGACCACGGCAACGTAAGTTTATCAATTAGACATTATGACTTATAATAATATAGACGGGTTATAAAGAGGGTATTGTTGAAGGAAAAGAAGTCAATATGCAAAGAGGCTTTGATAAAGGCTATGTGGAAGGTCTTGCTATTGGAAAAGCTGTTGGTCGACTCCGTGGTTTAGTAAGGTAAAACAAAAAAAAGTTACTGGATAAATAAACTAATTCTGTATTAGCTGTCAAATTGTGTTTTATAGACAGTTGTGCAAGAACGAAGACGCAACAAAAGAACTGGATGCTTTATTTGATGAAATTGATAAAATCGAAGTCAACCATATCTACAGTGTAGACTATTTCCGAGACAACCAATCCGAAAAGCCTGATGGTTATGTTGCTCCCGAAGCATTTGTGAGTCAACTTGAAGAAAAAGTCAAGTCTACTTTAAACGCGGTTGCCACTAAATACCGTTCTTAAAGTTATTGGATCAGCAGAATTGAATCAAGATCAAGGTCTTGGTATGGAAGTTATACCGAAAAAGAAGAAGAGAAGGAAAAAAAAAAGATTGCGTAGTATTTATTAAATTTGATTTGCAATAATGTCTGCATGTTCTTGTTGAAGAGATGCAGCCATGACTGCAGCCATTATCCAGTCGAATGAACCTGGTTCCAAAATATGTTCATGTTGTTCCATATACTCAAGTGTTTGTGTTTGTATCTGACTTTGTGTTGCTAATGCTTGTTGTGCTAACCTATCACGATAATGATGCCAGCATTGATAGCTGCAGAATTTAATTTGTTGCATGACAGAAGGGTATCCGTGGTATGTCTTTAATCGGACAGAGTTGATCCATTCGTTAAAAAAGGGCTGTTGGCAATAAAAGCATAGTTTTTGTTTGTTATGAATGTCATACTGAATATGCTCAGGAACAAGTAAAGAACCTGTATGGTAATCATTGGAAGACAACAGCATTCTCAAGGCAATTTCTCGAAGGGAATAAAGTAAGACAGGGGCTGAATCATCTGATATTTCTTCATTTTGACTCTCTTCTTGTTGTCCTTCATCTTCTTGTTCGTCCTGTTGTAAAGCTGTGGCTAAATCAAATGTTTGAAATATGTCTGTATACGTTGACACTGGGTTTACTGCCTGTAACATCGTGTGTACTTGCTGATTAAACGCCCGACTGCTCTCACTGTTTCGATCCTGTTGATGATATGGATAGAGAGTAAGTGGATTGCCTTTTAATATCACATGCACTTGTCGACTTTGATCTAGAAGTTCTTCGGATAATACGCTGAGTTGATTGTCACTTAGATCAAGTAATTGAAGATGATGTGACCTTATCAGATCATCTAAATCTGATACAATGTGATTAGGTATTTTGACAAGTTGATTGTTGGATAAATCAAGTGTCACGAGGGCCTCACAGTCTTGAAATAGATGTGAGTCTGGCATATGGACCAATTGGTTGTTCGATAGATTTAAGTTTCGTAATCTCGTAAGTCCGATGAATGTACCAGGTAATAGAGTATCAATCTGATTAAATGATATGTCTAAATCAACAAGGGCATGCATCTCTGATAGTGAAGGAAGGCAACGAATCCTATTCCCTCCATATTCCGAACCTAGTCGAAGTTCCCGCAGCTTTTTCCATTGGTTGATTGTATTCGGTAACAATTGTACACGATTACCGTCCAGTATCAAAGTAGTGAGTTCTTGAAGATAAAGAGGCATTTCTTTGGATATACTTTCAATTTCATTTTCGGATAGAATCAAGTGCTGCAAATGCTTTAAATGTTTATAGATAACAGGAGGAATATGAGTAAGTGAGTTACAGGACATGATAAGGTGAGTTATGTTTTTAAAGTAAAAGAGTTGTAACGGCAACTCGGTGATATAGTTACGAGAAGCGTCGAGTGTCTTAACACGTTGAGGAAAGTTAACTTTAGTTAACTGTTCAATAAAGACTTGTGAAGTGAGTTGTTGTCTCCGAAGCATTAAAGTATGGTCATTTTTATCAGATTGAGATGATAGATAAGAACAAGAATAGGAAGAGCTTGATAAATAGGAGAAACTAGAGCCTTGACTTTTACTGAGATAATCATCTGATGCATCTTGATGCTTTTCTTCTTGATCAATTTCTACTCCTTGTAAGCTTCTTCCACCGATCAGATAAGTCATGATGATGGTGAGATAAAAAAAGAGCGCAAGAAAATAGTGGGAATTTATGTGATTAGCATTCCACATGACTTTTCTTTTTACTGCTTTTCCTATGCATAGATAACAAAAAATTTAGAAATAGATCTACCTTGTTAATTAAAAGCGAAATATACAGGTTTATGACTTTGTATATAAACCTTTGTCAAGAAGATAATGCTTCGTTTTTCTTTTGAATCATTAAAAAAATACATTCATACCCTGCATATTATCTCCTTCGTATTTTGTTCAGTATATGAAGGAGACGATTTTGAAGAAGATAAAGATGTGCTTTATATAAATTATACAGTACTTAAACCAAGAGCAACAGCAGCAACTGTAACAGAAACAGTAACTATGAACAGAATGCAAACCCAAGCGATTACTGAGCAAGTTACTGTAACTGTAGCCACAACAAAAGTTCAAGCAATGACTAAAAATGTAACCATTCAAGACAAAGTACATCTGGAAGATTCTACAGAAACCTGTTTACCAAATGGAGCTGTCCGTAGTTTCTATCGTTCAGGAGCTTGCTGCTGTGGTGTTTGTATCAATCAATATGGAACAGGTCTATGTGGTATTGCACAAATTCTGTTTAGCAATAAACTAATCTTTACTTGATAGTGTTTGGTCCTCGAGATGATCATTCAATGGATCAATTACTGCCTTAATGAGAAATCAAAGCAATTGGATAAGACTTTACTTAGAAAGAAGACATGAAAAATTTAGCAGCTGCTTAGATCAATACTTAGACATTTGATACTTATATTTAACTAAACTAAACCGATGAATGTTTCAAATTTGGTTCAATGTTGGGGTGACTGACGCTTATGAAGAAAGCAGAATAGTTTTATGAAAGAGCAAAGTGAGCATGTCTGAGATAACAATGGCTAAAGCTAAATACCTTCTCTCTTCCATTTATACTACTACGGTCATTTTTGACTAAGGAACATTCAGGACTATAACAAATAAAGGCACCTTTCATGTTTCTGTATCTTGTTGTTCCCTGCCTTCTGAACAATTGCTGGGGATGTTGAAGCTTCTGGAAACAGTAAATACAGGTTTGAGATGTACCTTTATTTTAATGCCAAAGTTGCCATCATTATACGCCTTGTAACTTTGTCTCAGTTTTACTTACCACTGTATGATAACAAAAGATGATAATAACCAAATTTTGTGCTGAGACTTAGCTACAATATAGCTTTCACTATTTCGATCATAATTTACTGCTACAGAATAAGATAAGAGTTTCATAGACCTAAGCAATTCCAGAATATAAACGCAATGGAGTATAAATAATCTACCGTGACTCAAGTATTCATGCGTAAGGCGTTGTTAAACACAACATGTATTGTATGTTGTAGAATCCTTCCTCAATTTTTTAAATAAACCATGAAGAGTAGCTTTCATTAGAAATTGCGCCTAAAAACACAAAGAAAAAGGAAACTATGATGATAGCTTCAGTCAATAGATCTTCAATTAAACAAAGAATAGGCCTGAATACTTTTAATGCTCTTGTTCTATCATCGCTCCCATCGAAAATAAATGAAAGTTGACATATCGTTCAGTTTCTCTTTGTTTCAATCAATGCAAATGAATATATCATAGCTAATTGTAGCCTTATTTGTGCTTGCAAATTATAGAGACCTACACTTTTTGTCAAGATGTTCTACTTCATAGCTAGATGGTTTATAATGTGATTAGGACTGTTAAAATTTCAACTCGCTTAAAGCTGTCCTTTGTTGCATAATTACGGGCTTTAAATCAATGGAATTGCCTGTGACTTGCATTGAAACAACGATGTGAAAATATTTTGCGCTTAGTGGGAATTGAACTCTTTATCTCTGTCGTTTAGCATAATGCTTGATACATTGATATCAAGAGTAAAAGAAGAGATTGGGATTGATGGAGAATCTGGTACATACCAAATTGATATCTTCCTTGTTTTTTTTGAATAAAAGCTAATCTATTCAACTCAGGTTCCAACATCACAACCGTATGGAGTTATGTCGAATCGGTTTCCAAAGAAATAGCAGCAGAGTCCAAAGTATCAATAACGCCGTTAGTGGACGAGAAATACAAAGCATTTCTCTGGAAATATCTTGTCGTTGAACCTGATTTGGAATTTTATGAAAAGAAATTGTCAAATGAAGAAGAGTCTTCTATGGTAACACAGCCTCAGGAGAGCGCAACTGTTGCTGATACATCTATGGAGGAAACAGTGACAGCAGCACCAGCGGCTTCAGAACTCAATGATAAACCAGAAGAATCATCAAAACCTGTAGAGGAAGATGCATCTAGCAAGAAAAGAAAAGCACCACCTACTAAGAAGAAACCCGCACCTAAAAAAGCTAAATCGAAACCAAAGAAAAAGCCAAAGCCTAAAAAGAAAGTCGCTGTAGGCGATTCTGATGATGATTTTGTTGCAGATGATGCTAGTAGTAGTAGCGAATCTGATTTTGACGAATTAGAAGAGTCCAGTGAAGAATCAGATCAAGAAGAGCTTTTATCAGACGATGATAACAGCAAAGAAAAAAACAAGAAGGTTTTTAAAAGTCAAAAAGACGACTTGAGGAAATCCAACCCCAAGTTAGTCACAGCTAAAGAGAAGGAAACAGGAAAATCAGAACTGCAAAAGATCACCAATATTCAAAGTCTGAGTTACCAGCAAGTCAATGAAAGATATGGCACTCGACTGTTTATTGTAGGATCACCGAAACTTCAAGAGGAACAACTTTATATGGGCATTCCTGTAAGCTCTATTTATCAATCTTGAAACAAATGCATTAATTTTGCTTATTTTAGCCTGGAACACATCTTTCAGTCAATTTGATTACTGTCTTGAGAGAAATCATCAAGACTCGTAAAAAAGGTCTCTATCAAGCCAGTGTCACCAAAACTTTGGAAATTGACAGTCGATCTACTGGTCATTACTGTAAAACATTGGAAGAAAAAGGCGCCATTGTTCGTAGTGGCGTTTCTATCAATAGTATGCATACGAACGTATGTATTCATATTCGTTTCAATGCTGAAAAAACAACAATTGATATGAACACAGTGGGCGATGACTCAGAGATGAACGAAGTTCCGTACAATGTGAATGCACACGGCAAAGTCTATTCGCAAAAGATGGTATTAGATGCTTTTGTCGAGATTGCTAAAGCTTCACCGAACCATACAGTTATTGCAAGAGATGTTTTGCATGCTTTGGTATGTTCTTCATTTGTATTTATATATATGTTTATTTATGAAATACGTAGGCCTTTGATTCTAGAAGAAAATCAGTAAAGAAATGGTTCAACCGATCTATTGATGAAATTTGCGTAAAAGGATATTTCAAGAAGCTAAATGTACAAAACAGAGGCAAAGGTGGCTATTTTAGAGCTCTTGAGATGATAAGAGAACCCAAAGGTAATAGGACTGACAAGCGAGAGTAACTGACTAAACACACGGCGCTTAGGCGAACAAGCTAATGAATTCAGTACAATGGCAGCTAATGAACACATTCAATTCCCTATCAAAATTGAAAGCACACAAAGCGTTGTTCCTATTATCCATATGCTCTCTGATCAAACACTAGAATCACAATGCTTTCAAGTGTTGCAGACAGCAGACATCAATGGCGCCACACAAAAAGATATCAGTTTTGCCTTAAATATGGATGAACATCGTATTCTAGGCAAGTTGATGGAGAAAATGATAGACGAAAAAACCAAAAAAGTGGGCCAATACTCTGTTGTTCGATTCTTAGAATTTGAAGGCAGACTGAAGCGTTATCGTTATTATACGCTAGCGGCGTATAAGAAACTAACAGAAAACATCGATGTCCAGTTTGAGCCTTTGCCTGATCCTGAATTCGATGAGTCCAAGTGTTATGAACGCAACATCTTTTTTGACGTGCCACACAACCCACAAGAGTTTAACAAATATCTTAATTTTATCAAGAAAAGCAAGTTGGATGCCAACATTTTGAGTCAATCCTTCTCTTCTCCCAAAAAAAAACAAAAGCAACAGGAAAACCACGAAAAAATCCTATCCAGAACAGACCAGTGGCTGCTTCCTCCAATACAGAAGAACCAAGTGCTGTTGAACTTCCTAACCAAACTCCTTTGGCTGACAACCAGGAACCCAATACAACATCCTCAGTTGCTGCGAATACTCCTGTTTCCAGCGCAGATGAAGGTGTGTCTACACCTGCTCCTGCAAAGAAGCGTGGAAGAACAGCTCAAGTATCGAATACTACAGAAAAAGAAAAGTCCGCCAAGAAACCAAGAAAAGCAACTCGTCAAACAACTTTGAAAGGGCACACACAGTCTGATTATCTTCTAGAACCAACTACTTCTTCCCAACCAAAGCTGCCAAACTCTGCTGAAGCTTCAATTGCTGCCAATTTGTCGAAAGAAAGAACGAATATGGCTCAAGAGACTCAAGCAAGCCAAGTTGTTAGTGATACTGGAAAAATGCAGACGAACCAGACAGTTGAAGCTGAAGAAGCTCCCTTAAGAATCACCAGAGGAAAGGCTAAAGAAATAGCATGTCAGAAAGAAAATAACAATGAGATTCTTCCGGGCATTCGATACAAAGGTAAAACAAAAAAGACAACAACTCAAGCCAAATCCTCTGCTATATCTAAAAGAACAACTGGAACTATTCCCCAGCCTGAACCCCTTATTCAGAATGAGTCAGTTAATGAAACTGAGACAGTAGTTCAACCAGATTTTAGAGAACAAAACGAACAACCTATTGAAAATAGACAGACTAGTCAAATTGAAGCACGTACTCAAGCAGAAGAAACTATTCAAGCTGAAGAAAATATTCAGTCTGCACAAGCCATTAAGCCTGAAATCAATGCTTTAAACGAATCCATTGTCCCACAGCCTCAAAATAAGCCTGCACGAAAGAAAACACTCATTGACTACTTTACAAGAACACCTAAGAAAAATGCTGCATCAAGCCGCTCTATCTCTGTTGAATCAGCTACTGAAGCCACTCCTTCTGGAGTTGTCACTGTTGAGGAGACATCAGTAGCCGTTCAAGAAGCACTAGTAGCCATTCAGGAAGTTAGAGATAATATTGAAAGCTCTTTGCAAACTGAAGCTATTCAAGCCGAAAAAGAAAGCACTGAAGCTATGGAGATTTGTGAGCCTTTACTCAATGAGTGTATTGATTCAAGCGAATCTGCTGTACTTACATCGACTTCAGAAGTAGTTGCTGTTGAAGAAACTTCTACAAACGAATTGTCTGCAGAGATGCCTTCTACAGAAAGCCCTTCTACAAAAGAGTCATTCACAAACGAGTCCATTGCGCAAGGACTTCCCAAAGATTTGTGTTCTCAAGTCTGTCGGTCATATTTCCGTGCCCGCCCTTCGAAACCAAAAAAAGTTGTTAACGGTGTTCTTCAGTACAGTCATTCATTATCCCATCAACTAAACAGATACCTTGAGAGCCGTATTCAAGTTATTGCTGCCATGTTAGAAAGTAAACCCATCATGGAAGTCAACAAAGACTTTCGCACTGAATATTTGAGACGTGCAAAGGAATTGAACATGACCACCAAGGGCACTGTCTGTAACAAAACTTTATGGAGAACAGCTCAGGAAATGGAAGCGCGCGGTATGGCCAAAACAAATATAGTTGCATGTCCATTACTGACGGGTGCTACCTTGGACAGAAAGACCATTGCTCGAGGTGATGTAGATCTGGAAGGTGAACAGTATCAACGCTTTGTTGATTTCCTCAAGGATAGTAAGGCGCTTAATACAAATGCGTATGATGCCAAAAGGTTCGAGGTTATTGAAGCGCCTGTTGAGCCATTGCATACACGTCTGGGTCATATGCAAGAACAGCTCAAAAATCTTAACAAAGACAGTGCTAAAGCGAAGGCGTTACAGGAACGCATTACGGAATTATCTAAAAACTTGGATCAATTCTCACGACCTGCGCGAGAATCTCAACACAATCTCTGGATGGTTATTGCCATGGAATACGGTTGGATTAATGCCATTATGCTTCGATCTAAAGTGATTCATGAACTGATGGTTCGCTTACTTGAAAAAGATATTCCTGGTGTTTGTAAAGAAGATCGCACTATAGATTCTACCACATTGATCAAGAATATGTCTATCACTATTCTTTGTCAGACTATCGGTTTATATTCACCTTCTCAGAGACTTATTGATTACATTTCAGATCCAGATAATGTCGACCATGTCTTTTCACAGATTCCACTTGATATCAAACAGGAGTTTTTCAGTGACCAGAACAAGTTTCGAAGAAGAATGCGCTCACTTTTCCAAATGTTAATGTATCTTGGTTTAATTACGCCTGTCTTTAGAGGATACGTGAAACCAGAAGACCAAAAGAAAATTGTCAACTATGCTCCTGCTTACAGAATTGAACGGGTTGTCAATATCGTTGATCGACGTATTGCTGGATCTCCCGTACGATACGAAAAGATAATCGACAACATGGACGACTTTGAATCTTACTGGAGAGATTTGCAGTATGTTTGTCTGAATCATGATCTCTCAAGCGTTGAAGAAAAGGATTTGGCACCTTTACCTGCAGACCCAGTCGAACTTCAGTTCCTCAAGACAGTTCTTAGTCCAGCTAATTGGAGTACTCGGTCTGTTTTCTCACGGGAACAACGCAAGATTATCAACAGCTATGTCAACAAGGCCAAGTATACAACCCCACTTTACGACCTACCTACCCTACGAGAAATCGCAGAAAAGGCAGGCTGCCAAATCTTTACTTTGCGATCTTATTACCAAAAATTACAAAAGGCTCTGGATATCAAATCAAAGGATGCTGAGTTGATCCGTCTTATACCTCGCGATAAACCCATTCGATCTCGCAAAGTCAATGCTAAAAACAGACTTGATACTTACAATGGCCGTCGTGTGATTACCATGAATTCCACGCGTGCTTTCCGTTTTTCAAGAGCCTATTTTCAAACCACTAATTTACCTCAAGTGGATCCTGAAACAGCTGCTTTGGCTGAAGAAGAAAAGAAGAAGTTTGCAGAGAAGCAAGCCAAAGGTGAATTACTGTACATGGATGACATGCAAGAATTGCCTGTATTGCCTACAAGTACTGCATTAAGTGACTTGCGCAGAACCCGCGTCAAAAGAACAGTCTGGAATACACAAGAGGATGACTTGTTGTTGATCTCCTCCATCATTTTAAGACACAGAAAGGGACGTTTCCAAAGATTCAGTTGGGCTCCTATGGGCAAAATCTTCCCTGAAAGAAGTCTAACAACCAGTAGACACCGTTTTGCTAAATTAATGCAAAAGCCTGTATGTCGAGAGTTTTTTGAGCTTCAAACACAAGTTTGGGATAAAATCTATAAAGAAGGCTTAAAAGCGGGCGAATTAAGTGATCCAGATCCTAATGATAACATAGACTTTGATTTAATGGGATTTGTAACTTATTTCATCCAGAAGATGTCAGAGACCGATACAAGGTACGATCACATCTACCTGAATTTATTTGTTAACTATATTCTTCTTTTATAGTGTGGAACAATTTGTCTTGCCTGCATCTTTAGAAGACTTTAACACTCACTTCCAAACAACTCGCAAAATCACTGGAAGCCAACGCTATTATGAAGACATCTTCCATAGCAGAAAAACAATGGTTAGAAGACAACAGGCTTTGTATAGTCAAACATTCAGTATTCGTAAATATGAGGAGAAACGTTACGATCAATCAGAAACTGCTATCGTGGAAGAAAGCAATCAGGCAAACAGAATGATGAAGATTCTTAAAACTTATGCTTTGGTATTGTAGCATAGATTATACTATGATAAAAACTAACTAGCTTTGTAGATGTGTTTAATGACACCCTCTGAAGTATTTGATCCCTTCTACTGTTATTCAGTCATCCAAAAGTTTCCTAAAGAATTACAAGACCGTGTCCTACTAGAGATGCGAAATGAAGGTGTGCTCATTTTAGCCAGTAACGATCGACCTATTCCGGGCACTAAATTTAGTCTGTCAAATCGGTTCGTAAAGAGCATGAATGGTGCACTTCCCGAAAAACTGTTTCAACAAGCCAAAGAATATGAAAAGTTCTTGAGTCAACAAAGCGGCCTAGTGCGTTTTACTTCTGCTTTTACCAGTAGTGGTATGATGGCCTGTGTGCTCAATCTTTTGTCTAACAATAAGGTAACAAACCCAGTCATGTATTCCTTTCACTGACATGTAGGATAGCTTTCTTTGTCTATGGCTAATTTTAACGATTACATGCAAAAAATCCAAAAAGCAGAGAGTAAATCCAGAATGATTGGTAAGTTGTTTCCCTTTCAACATAAGCGCACTGTACTTATTCTTGATAGATAAACGCTTTTTGAAGTTTGATGTTAATATTGACTTAAAGGACAATAGAGATCAGTTTATGCCTTATGTCCCTGTATTCGATAATCCAGAAGCAAGACGCATGTCCTCTTCCGAATTTGACGCAGAATTCCAAACCCTTTTGCAAGGTCAAGAAGATTCTTTTTCAGAGTTACTTACGGATATAATTGATTTGTTACACAAACAAGAAGCCGGTTTGGCATTGCATCAGCTAAGAAAACAAGTAAACCCTATTTACACAGACGATACCATGTTGCAAGCCATTCGTATCCTTTCTACCAATCGTCCTGCATTAGTGTGCCGGGTAGGTTTTGAAGCTGTTCGTTATGTTCATGCTATTTACTTGAGAGATTGGACTATCTCGACCAAGATACCACCCACAGAAGTTCACTCTGCTGAACTCAAGGAGGCCATGGAAAAAGCCAACCAAAACTATGACCCTTCTAAGCGAAAAGAATTGATTGTGCCTAACTTATGGACAGATATCAATGGCGCAGTAACAGAAATTGTCGTCAAAGACTGTAAGAAACTACTGGTTGATATTATTTTACGTAAACCTGGTATTACTGAAGCAGACATACATCGACATGTGATGAGTGCTCTAAGCAGAAGAGAACTTCAAGACCTCTTGAATTTCTTGGTTGAACAGCGTGTCTTAAGACAGATTCGCATCTCTCTATCCGGTTCAGTTCCAAAGAAGGCGTCTATCTTTGGTAAATCAAAAATGTCTCGCATATTACAAAACAATGCCATTGAAGAAGCAACACAATCTTGCTTTTGGGTTACTCAAGATGCTTTCTTCTGTATGGATTAAAATAGCTCAACGTAAATAAAGATAAATTACTATTAACGTCTTTAAGTTATATTCGCTTTTTTTTTTTTTGTTTCTTTCTCTCTTTGGTTTATACAAACAAAATCTCAATTAAAAGCATGAGCTTTTCTGATCAAGATAATGACTTTCTTGACCAAACTTCTTTAGGTATGTTGCTCCAACTTATTTTTTACTGACAACAGGTTGGTCTATATGAATCATACGATACAGATGAATACCAAGAATCTGAAGTTTTGGATACAATGTTTGCACAAGAACCTTTCCGTTCTTATCATCAGGTTGACTATTCAGTGAAAACAGTGGATGAACTAGCAAAGATGCAAACAATAGCAATTAATCATGTATCAAGTTTAATTGGTATTTTAGTTTACGTTGCATAAAGATTCTGAACTAGGATAGAGTTAAACAAGGATGATACACTTTTATTATTAGGCTATTTTAAATGGAATAAAGAAAAACTGGTCGAAAGCTACCTGACTTCTTCGGAGAAAACGCTACATGAGGCTGGTATATCCCTTTCCAAGACAAACATTGAAAACGATACTTCCATATGTGACATCTGTTTTGATCAAGATTCGGTTAGCCATAAGATGAGTATAGCTTGTGGTCATCTATTTTGCCAGACATGCTATGCATATTATGTAAATGAAAAGATAAAATCAAGCTTAAGCCCATTTGTCGCATGTCCTCAAGATGGTTGTCAATTATTTGTTCGTGAGACAGTTTTAAAGTCTTTATTAAATTCAGCCATGAAAATAAGGCAAGAAGATAAACAAAAATACGTTTATAGCTGATAAATATAGATACCAACATCTGTTGACTCAAAAGTTTGTGGATAACAACCCATTCTTAAAATGGTGTCCTGCACCCGAATGTGAATTTGCCATTGAATGTCATGTATCTTCCAGGAATCTGGATTTCATTGTCCCCACTGTGCGTTGTCGATGTGGATACCTTGTGTGCTTTGGTTGTGGACTAGAAGGTCATCAGGTAAATGAATTTAATTAGATGATATATCTTACAAGCATGTTTAGCCTACGCTATGCGCATTGGTCAAGAAATGGTTATTGAAATGTAAAGAAGATACCGAGACTGCTAAATGGATCTCTGATAACACAAAAGAGTGCGGCCAATGCTTCGCAACTATTGAAAAAAATGGAGGTTGTAACCATATGACATGTAAAAAGTGTCAGTATCAGTTTTGCTGGTTATGTTTGAGTAAAGAGAGAATTAGCGCTGATAGAATCTCATCACTTACTAACTACACTAAAGAGAACTGGTCTAGTCATCAAAACTCATACCAGTGTAATCGTTTTGCAGGAGAGCAAAACAAAGTCCATTCAGAATCAAAAAGTAGTATTGAACGCTATCTACATGTAAGTTATATACTTGAAATTTGGACTTATTCATCTAGTATTTTACGCGTTATACAAATCATGAAGAATCAGCAAAATTACAGCGCGTTTTATATGCCAAAACAGAGAAAATCATGGTTCAAATGCAACAAACAAATGATCTGTCCTGGATTGAAGTCCAGTTTCTTAAGCGTGCAGTAGATATTGCCTTTGAAAGTCGATCGACTTTAAAATGGACTTATGCATTTGCTTTTTATTTACAAAAATCAAACGAAACCACACTGTTTGAAGACAATCAACGCGATCTTGAAATGGCCACTGAACAATTATCTGAATTACTGGAAAACCCTTTACAGAAATCAGACATTGCTTCATTACGTCAAAACGTACTTGATAAATCTGTCTATGTCACTCAAAGACAACAAACTCTGTTGAGTGATACTGCAAAGGGTTTACAAGAAGGTAGATGGCTTTTCAATGTGGACATTTACTCTTAAGAAACATATTAAAAATTTTGTTCTGAGAATCCTTTATAGCTCGGGTGTTGATGAATTATATGGAATTTCAGGATGATTTCTTTATCAACTGCATAACTATCAAACAAAGCATGATTTATATTCCATCATTTTGTCTATACAACATATTTCTTTTGTCATTATATATATATTTTTTTTAGAAACTATCTGACCAACGATCTGTATTATGTCTTTTTTTCTCTTTTCCTATGCATGCATGAGAATAATGCAATTCAATGTAACCGAATATTCAAACAATAAACCGGAATATGACATTATTACTATTCCGACTATAGTATCAAATACGTACATAATTTGTGTGTGTATGCATCTAGAATTACGGAAAGCAAGTCGGCCAATGTTGAACGCATTATATGAATAATTAAGGTTTACACGTTTGAATTACCCTCAGTATAACAAAAAAAAAAGAAGTTAAAGGAAGCTCAGTTTAAGGCTTTCGTAAAAAAAAAAGGAGTTGACTGGATTCATTATTTTCTTATGACGAATGATGCCATTAAATAAACTTGATCTCATGAACCTTGAGTTGTTCATATAAATACGCTAAGGTAAATATTTTTGATCATTTAAGCCCTTCAAATGTCACATTCCAATAGATCGTCATTTAGAACTGCATCAAATTCAAAAATTTTATTTGACCCAACAGAATCTTATTATACATCACAACATGATCATCCCTATCAACCTTCTTCTTTTGAACATACTTTGTCTATTCATTCAGGTACTTCTGCTTCAGAGGGGTGTGAATCAAACCATACCGTCATTGAGGAATCTTCAGCCAACGAATACAAAAAAGGCAAAAACACTGAAGAGAACAATACCGAGCTGGTCCCGACCCCCACACATTCATCTGACTATGAACTAAAGACGTATCCTATTGCTTGGCTCCTGCTATTCTTTATTGTGCTGCTCAGAGCTGCAGTCGCTATTTTTGGTAACACCTTCAGTCCTATTCCTTCTGTAACAGCTGAATTTATGGGCATCTCATTATCAAGTATCAATTGGATTTACAACATCATGTCCATCTGTTATATTGTGGCAAGCTGCTTTACAAGTTATTTGTATCAAAAAATTGGCGTAAAATGGTCTGTAAGTAGCTCAAGACCATCATGATGCAGCCAAAGTTTTTGACTCTTTCTCTTTTTTTTTCAGTTACTCTTGTCTGGCGTTATTCTCTCTGCAGGCTGTTGGATTCGATGGATTGCAGTCAAAATCAACCCACCTTCGTTTCCTGTTCTTATGATCGGTCAAACCATTGCATCACTTAGCTCACCTATCAGTCTTAACATCATGACCATGGTAATATAAATGATTTCTTGTATGTATCTTGCTTACGTTGATTAGTTTTCCATGCTATGGTTTACTGAAGATAGAAGAGCTACTGCTGGCATGTTTATCGGTAAAGAAAAAAAAATACATGCTGTCATATTTTTGACTCACATCATCCTATAGTCTCAAACTATGGTGCTATTATTGCCATGTTTCTTATGCCAGCTCTTGCGACAGGCAAAGATAAAATTGAATTGACGGTAATTTAACACTTGTGTATCAACCTATCTCATGTATCTCTCTGTAGGTTATTGTTGTAGCATGTATTGCAACTGCCGCAACCATTCCCTTTGTGTTTTTTCCGACGAAACCTCCTACGCCAGCATCACGTCCTACTCAGCATCATCATGCAACACAGACACCCGAACTTACTCTCATGCAAGGAACCTTACTTTTGCTAAAGAATCCCCACTTTCTTATTTTGTGTGTCGTTCACGGTCTTAATGTAGGCTTATCTATTGCATGGAATGGTATCATGAATCAGGCTATTACGCCTTATGGATACACCGATAGTGAGATTGGTAATATCAATGCGATTGGTGTGGTGGGTGGTACTTTGGGTTGCCGTAAGTTCCTTATTTTTGTTAGTATGATGATTCACTAGACTATAGTTATGGCTGGTCCCATCATTGACAGAACAAAACAACACAAGACGTTGTTGAAAGTCATGGCACCTTTGATGTGTAGTACGTATGTGGCCTTTATTTTTGTGGGTAAGTGTCAAAGGCACACCTTTTTTTTTCTTTTTTTTTACTCAGCGTTTATAGTCAAGACAGATTCATTTGCTGCCATTCTTTATACTAACATGCTCAGTCAATTCTTTCTGAGTTTTATGGTACCTGTCTGTATTGAGTTGGGCGTCGAGAGTAAGTCCCAAGCATCTAAAACCTAGTTAACCTCCTCTCTGTTAGTCTCTTATCCAGTCGCTGATTCTTTGTCCACTTCCATTCTATGGCAATTCTGTCAACTTATTGGGTTTATTCTTGTGCTTGTGATTGACAAGTTTCGCGATGAACAGGGCTTTCCTCAAAACAATTTGTACAAGGGTCTTATCTTTCAAGCAGCCATTGCTGGTGTTTGTCTCATTTTTGCTATTTTGTTTGATGGTCCTATGGCACGAAGTGAAGCACTCAAACAGCAACAGCAACAGTATGATCTATCCAAACAAGAGAAACATGGCATAGCTCATCATTCGTCTACTGACACTATGCAAACATTGCTTGAAGATGGTGCTATCAGTAAAAAGCCTGTTAAAAATGATCATCGTGTATAAATGTATATATAAAATAATGATAATAATAAAGAACATAACTTGCGCATTGTACTTGTTTAGAGCTCATATGTCATTCACAAGATAAAGGTAATACATGCAAATCATTCTCTTTATAGTATACGGAAATGTAACACAAAAGGAGGTGTCTATCTCCTTAGAGCCTATTTTTTTTTTTTCATTCAAGGGTTGCTTATGTAAACATGAAGAAACTCTTTTGGATGTTATTCTATTGACATGGTTAATACAGCTATTTATCTCGGTTTAAAGCAATACAGTATGCTATTCAAAGAAAGAGAAAGGTATGATCATGACCAACATATGACTCTTGTACCATCCCCATCCCATGATTTGACTTTATTCTTGACAACAGTCACTATGTGTATTCATAAGAAATTCATGTGAGCTTACCAGAGAAAATTGCTTTTTCTTTGTTTGCAATGAAAAACACATTTACAAAACGACTGTATTCTACTGTAGCGGCCTACGCTCAACCACAACATCATCAACACTTCTATCTGAACAAGACACTCGACCATTACTACTCACAAAACCCAACGCCACTTACTTTACGACAACTCATATTTTATGAACGTCATTGTAATACCGAAAGGTTACTGAAATCAGCTAATTATGTTCGTACTGAACTGCCTATCCGTATTGCCCATCGTATCCGTGAATTTCAAAAACTACCTTATATCCTAGGCACCAATCCTCATATTGAAGCTGTGTATGATCTCTATTGGCAAGCATTTGAGCGTATTCGCCAAGTACCTGTGATTCAGACACGAGAAGAAAACGAAGCCTTTTGTGATCTCCTTCAGCAATCTTTGGATGCCCATCTTGTGGTGATACCTCAGCTAGCAAAAGGGATTCATGAATGCGAGCAACAATATGAGGGTATCATGTCCATGGACCGACTGGATCGATTTATGAATTCAACACTCAGATCACGTATCTCAAGACGAGTGATTACAGAACACCATCTAGTGCTATCCAAAAGAAAGAAATCGATATTCAACCTGTGTTCCTCACACAATGTCTTGACCAAATGTATTCACCTTGCTCAAGCGCATGCACTGTACCTGCAGAAACAAGAAGGGGGCCATACAGTCCTACCTAAAATACAACTGAATGGATCTGATACAGAATTTATGTATGTCTCTGACCATATTGAGTACATTTTATTCCAATTATTGTCGAATGCATTTCGACACTCGATGGCTCATCAACCCAAGGAAATCAAAGTCACACTCTGCTCAAATCCAACTGATGTCTTGTTTCGTATCTCTGATCAAGGAGGAGGTATGTCCAAACAAATGTTTCGTCATCTGTGGTCGTATGGACATGGTCGACGCTTTGGTAATATGGACAAGGTTCAAGAATTAGAAGCAAAACTGAATGAACATGAAAAAATGATTATGCGATTGGGTATTGGACTACCTATGAGTCGTGTCTATGCAGAATATTGGGGAGGTGATATCAATCTTGTTACGATGGAAGGATATGGTACAGATGCCTATGTTCGTATACCAAGACTAGGTACGACAAGTGAGAACTTGGGCGATCCTTTAGATGAAGTCATTATGTAACATTTGATTGGCTCAATAAAAAGGACACTAGTTTTTTTTTTTCTGTTCTTTATCTTCATTTCTTACATATGAGTTCAAGTAAAGTATGGAAAATGAATAAGAAACAAGATAATTGACCAGTACAAATTCTCTCTCTCTCTCTTTCTTTTTGATAGACTTGAAAATAGCTTGTGTTGTAAGTGTCTATAGATGTCAGATCGATCTATAACCTTATTATGTAGATGGTTGGTTTACCAGCAAGAGGCAAGACCTATATCTCTCAAAAAGGTAAAAGATAGCAACACACACGCTTTCTTATGATGATTAGTGTGTCGATATTTAACATGGTTGGGTATCAAGACAAAAGTATTCAATGTTGGAAACTATCGTCGCCAGCTCCATGGAGCCAATTTACCACACACATTTTTTGATCCACACAACTCAATAGGCGAACAACAACGACGTGAAGCAGCAGCAGCAGCCTTAGAAGACATGATACGTTGGTTTAATGAAGATCAAGGGATTGTTGCTATTTATGATGCTACCAATTCAACCAAGGCAAGACGTAAATGGTTATGTCAGAAATTGGGTGAAGAAGACATTCAGGTGCTCTTTATTGAGTCTATCTGTCAGGATGAAGCCTTGATTTTGGCGAATATTAAAGACGTCAAACTCAGTTCGCCTGATTATGCGGCCATGAATCCTGATGAAGCAGCCATTGATTTTAGAGCGCGTATTGATCATTATAAGGAGCAATATGAAACCATTACTGAACAAGAATTGACGTATATCAAGCTTATCAATGTCGGTAGTCAGAATATCATTAATCAAATTCAAGGCTATCTTGAATCACGTATTGTGTATTATCTGATGAACCTTCATATTGCACCTCGAAAGATTTATTTCAGTAGAGTAAGTAGATACATATAAGAGAGAGAGAGAGAGAGAGAGAAGCTTATAACTTTCTTCTTTTTTTTTTTTATGTAAGCATGGTGAATCACAGTTTAATCTATTGGGCAAAATTGGCGGTGACTCAAACCTATCAGAAAGAGGTCGCCTCTATGCTAGTAAATTGCCTGAATTGATCAAGACAAATTTGGGTGATCAGAGTCTGACTGTCTGGACTTCAACCATGAAAAGAACGATTGAGACAAGCGAACAACTCGATTACCCTAAACTTCAATGGAAGGCTCTAGATGAATTAGATGCTGGTGTGTGTGATGGTATGACTTATGAAGAAATAGAACAAGAATATCCTGAAGACTTTGCCAACCGTGATGAAGACAAGTTCAATTACAGATACAGAGGAGGAGAAGTAAAGTCTAGCCCATTGATTGTCACTCATTTTTGTACAATAGTCTTATGGTGATGTTGTCCTAAGATTAGAACCAGTGATTATGGAACTAGAAAGACATGAGAATATCCTTATCATTGGCCATCAAGCCATTCTTCGCTGTATTTATGCTTATTTTATGAACTATAGTCATGAAGATTTGCCTTATATCAAAATCCCACTTCATACAGTGATAGAATTGACACCTAAAGCCTATGGCTGTGAAGAAAAGAGATTTAAAGGTAACTCAAAAATAAGGTTTCCTTGTATCACACAATGACTTATTAATATACATCAACTAGTTGACATAGAAGCAGTAGATACACATCGCCCTAAAGTAAAGCGATCTACTTCTATAAGGAAATTAAGACCTTCTCTCAAGATGCCTGCAGTGGGTGCAAGTGGTGAAATCGTAAGGGATCCCATGAGTCCAATTATCCCTATCAGTCCACAACTGTTCCCTAAATCTTCTACTTCTACTGCGGCAACTCCTAAAACACCGTTAACCAAGCTTGATTTAGGTGATGCTTATTTATCTTGATAGTGATAATGAGAAAAATAATAATAAAAAACAACCAGCGTTCTTTTAATTATTAATTTTTTTTTTTGCTTCTTTTTCTTTCTATCTCTCTCTATCTCTCTCTCTCCCTCTCTCTCTCTCTCTCTTTATTCTAACGATGTCGTCTGTATTTGTACCCGATAATAATAATCATGGTTCACCGCAGAAACAACCAGAACAAGCAAGACCTAAAAGACCAAGAAGTAGTTTAGCTGTAACTATATCTATATATTCATAAAACTCGGAGGTCTAACTTTGAATGTAGTGTATTCGCTGCCGTAAAAAGAAAGTCAAATGTGATTTTGTTCAGCCAACGTGTGGCCGTTGTGCTATTGCAGGCTTACCTTGTAGTTACGCCACACCACCTCGTAGAGTAGACGGACATGCTTTTGATCAACTTGGCAACCATGTGGAAGAACTCAAGGAACGAATGCAAAAAATGCAATCTGAACTCGCCATGATGAAGAACAACTTGCACCCTTTCGCTTCTTCTTCCACAACTACCAACGACGATATTGTGGTGGATCCAAACGCCATGATGATGTCTGATAATAACATGGCTTTGGCCACGTCTCATCATAACACGGAGCAATCTGTCACTTGGAAACTATCACTGTCCCCTTCTGGTCTTCGGATTGACACGAATATTGCCAGTGTCGCTGATCTTTATCGGATCTTATTAAACGGTATCAGTCAACTGAACATCAATAATGAACCGACCACTAGTCTATTTAACCCTGAAAGTTCATCCGCGTCAACTGGTACACCTCTACAAGGTCAAAAGAAGCAACCAACACCATCGCAACCTAAATCAACAATGAAAAGAAATTTTGGGTCAGGCAATTACCTAGACAACACCATGATGGACTACAACAATGACAAGGGTGGTCGTTTATGGGAAGTGGATGATAATGAAGCTAGAAAAATTCTTCAAGAAAAGAAATCAGCAGAGGATACTTTACCAAAAAACGTATTGGATAATCTGATGCATACTTGCTATCATACGTGTTTCTTGGCTTATCAGATTGTGGACAAGGATGCATTCATGCAACAATACATGTCAAAAGAAGGATTAGAACCTCTTTTGGCGAATTCTATCCATGCCTGGGTATCTAAACACGGCTGTATTTACCACCATGCCAACAATGGTCATTCAGCAACCACAATGGGCGAATTTTACTTTAAAGAGGCACGTCAATCGCTTAAGCGCTGCTTTGATATCAGTAGTCCCACTACTATTCATGCCTTGCTTAACTTGTACATGTATCAACTCAGTAGTGAAAGATCAAGTCTGGCCTATCTCTATATTGGTCTAGCGATTCGTATGGCTCAAGATCTCAAGTTCCACAAGAAGGAGCACATGTCTGCTGATCTTAACCAGCGTGAAACCAACAAGCGTCTATGGTGGTCTGCTTACTGGCTTGATTTATGTGCTGCCCTTGAATCGAACAGACCGACCATGGTCGATGATAAGGACTGTGATCTAGACTATCCTGTTCGCCTAGAACACGAAGATGATGAGACAGGCTACCGTGTTCATTTTGCTGTCTATTCAATCAAACTGATGCGTATTCGTAAAGACATTACAAAGCATTTGCCTTCAGAACAATCAGGCCAGTCTTTGTTGTCTGCTATTTCAAGGCTAGAGAATGCATTGACCAACTGGCTTAGTGAATTGCCGAATGACTTGCATTTTGATGACCAAGCCAGCGTGTTTCAAAAGACAGGATCTTTTAGGGACGAAGCCTGTCTTATCCTGAACATTCAGTACCAAACGACTTGGATTATGCTGCACAAGTTCTTTTTGCCTAAACAAGATCAGACGGCTACACCCGTGGCTTTACTGTCTCTGAATATCTGTACGAAAGCGGCTAATTTGATCACACGTATGCTTAGCATTTATGCTGCTAACTTGAATTGGTGTCAATTCTTTTATGCTATGGATGGCATTATAGCCAGTGTGACGATTCATCAAGTGAATGCTCAAAGTAGTGAAAAAGAAGTCTCTTGTTTGGCACAACGTAACCTGATCATGACGGCTAATGTCCTGAAGGAATCTCCCTTGATGTATATGGTCAGAGTATGTGAAATCATTGAGAGTATTGAAGGCTTTTTGAAAAAGAATGGTCTTTCTTCTAACCTGCATGATTTACCTCCTGTCAGTGAAGACTCAATTAACCAACAGTCGATTTCTTCTGTCTTTCATCCTGCTGTGTTTGATTCCCAGGCGAATGTCATGCCACAGCCTACGAATGCTTCTTACACTGGTTCCTTGTCGCCTTCTGTTCATTCTCAACATACCATGATGAACTCACCTCAGTCTCAACACTCTAATCATATGCGTGTGCCTTCTCAATTGACACCCATGTTTCAATCGAGCTCAACACAACAACAGTCTTCACCTGCGGCATCATCAGCGTCTACGGCGACCCATACTACTACTACTACCAATACTACCACTGCTGCTGCTGCTGGTCAGCAACTCCCTAAACCACCTGTCAACATGTACAATGATCCTAACATCATGGTAGATTCAAACTTGTTTTTGAATGACCCTACCTTGATGGGTTTCAATATGGCTGCACCTTCTCAACCCAACACAGGCGATATGAACCAACTTTTATTGAGAGATATGGGATTTGATCTGAACAATGAGAGAATGTACAACATGTTTACACCTCGTAACACTACTAATACCACCAGCCATTCTTTTCCTAATAATGCACCTTACAGTCAGTTCAACAACAATTTTAACAGCTTTGAAAACACGTCTGCCACGCCACCACCTGCCACGACGACCACGACTACGACTTCTGCCACAAGTTCATACCCTCACTTTTTGAACCATCCAAATGATTTGTTTGGATTACAACAACAGCCACCCACTGCTACTTCTCCACAACCACCTCAACCACCACCACCATCATCGCAACCACCATCACAACCGTTTATGGGTAATACACCATTTGATCCTAGTTTGTTTGGTTCCATGAATATGGATCCTGCTACTATGAGTGCCTTACTTTATAATAATGGTATGCCTAATTTCAATGCATATCCTTCAGGCAATAACCCAGGAGATGAAAATGATTTATTGTATGCTAACAATGGAAGAAAGAGAGCACATCGTGATTGGGAAGATACTGCTTAAATAAAGTAAAATTTGTCATGTTGAATTTGCTAGAATCTTTTTTTTTTTTTAGTATTTAAATAGACGACGACGTATATACATATATATTTTTTTTTTGTTTTTTTTATTACTATTCGTTCAAGATGGCAGAACTTGTTCAACTTTATGTCTATGATTTATCTCAAGGACTTGCACGTACCATGTCACTTCAACTGACTGGAAAGCAAATTGGTAGGTGAATAGAACAAATAACAAATAGACGTTGATAAAATATGTAGATGGTATTTGGCATACTTCTGTAGTAGTGTACGGTACCGAATTTTATTTTGGTCAGGGCATTATGACCTCTGTTCCTGGGGGTACACATCATGGACAACCCTTACAGATCATTGATATAGGCGAGACATTTTTACCTAAAGAAGTTGTGTTGGAATACATTGATAGTCTTCGATCTGTCTATACGTAAGTAAAAAAAAAAAAAAAAAAAAAAAAAAAAAATAAGACTATGGTCATGATTAGACAATCAACAATAGAGCTGAGAAATATCATCTTTTGGATTTTAACTGTAATACATTTTCAAATGATGTATGTCAATTTTTATGTGGCCAATCCATTCCAAACCATATCACGGGTCTTCCTGCTGAATTCTTGAATACGTAAGTACAAGCAATATATTAATTCATGCTGACATTTGATGGGGTGTATATATATAGACCTTTTGGAAGATCCATGTTGCCTATGATCGAAAACATGTTTGGACAATCTCGGTTGAATACCGTACCTTCTTCTGCGTCTTCATCTGTGCCTGCAGAAGCGGCTTCCTTATTACAGCATGTATCTTCCGCTGCCACTTCTGCCGCACCCACTCAAGTGGATCCTGTGCAGATAGCTCATTCATCCACCACTGTAGATCAATTAATTTCAACCTATAAAGCCGTAGTGGTCTTTTTCACTTCAGCAACATGTCCACCTTGTCGCATGATCAAGCCTGATTTCGAAACCTTGATTCGAGATAAAAACACACATCCCAATCAACCCATCAAAATTTTAGGCGTTGTCATGGATACCTCCATGGCAACAGGTGCTTCAACATACGGCATTACGGCCACACCTACATTTCAGCTCTATCTGGAGGGTAAAAAGTATGCTGAGTTCAAAGGTGCCAATTATGCAGAACTCAAGAGTCAAGTAGACATGCTATTGTTTGAAGCATATCCTCGTATGTGATTCGATCTAGAGTGATGTACTTACACTTAAAATAGCTCATCCTCATCGCAAACGGCTGCTTCGATCCATTGTGGATCATCCCAATGTACCTATTTTATATGCTCAGCCTGGAAAATGGGACATGATTTATACCAAACTGAATGGGTTCTTGGCGACATTAGACCAGAATCAAAAAGCCATTGTAGAGCAATCAAGACTCTATTTGGAGAACAAGCAACAGACATTGGATATGCCATCATGGACGGTGTTTGTAGGTAAAGTAATGTACGTATATTTATGACATCAGTCTGTCTCACCTGTACCATCCAAAGACAACCTAGTAGGGACGTTACCTGTAGAACAACTCTTTCCTTTATTTGATATCATTCGCTCACTCTTATTGAATCAAGCTGTATCTGATTTTTATGTGCATGATCGTAAGTCAATGGAAGACCATAGCTAGGAAGACTCATATACAATAGCCACACCCTTGGTCAATATTATCAACCTTGTTCACAGACATCCTGCTAAAGCAACATGGCTCATGATCCTTCGCATAGCCTGTAATATCTTTTCCAATCCTACTCTCTCTACCACCCATTTCACCTCCAACCTTGCTGCTTCTCATCGTTCTCAATTGACACAGTTAGTGATCACCAGTTTACTAGCTGAAGATGGACAGATAAGACAAGCAGCTGCCTCATTAGCCTACAATTGTTCTACCGTCATTGCTACCGAAAGACAAAAGAAAGAAGAGGGCACTTTTGTAGGCATGGCTGAACAAGAAGACGATGATTGGCAAGTCGAACTATCCAGTGCCATGGTAGATGCATTGACCAAAGAAATCGATGAGGAAATCGTGCATCGTTTATTGGCAGCCATTGCCAAATGCTTGTTTTTAGCACCTCCACATACGTCATCTGTAGCCAACCTCTTGTCTGCACTCGATATCAAGAGTATCATAGAAGAAAAAAAGACATCCAAAGTGATTGTATCTACCAAAGTCTTGGGTTTAGCAAGAGACATTATAGAATTAGTACAATTGGATGAACAAGAATAAATATATTTTTTTAAGCTGATTTTTCAGTGTCTAGATAATTAGGATTGGTGGCTAACTTTCGAGACAGGTTATCATACCATGTCTGAAAGGTCTTGAGGGGTAAATAACCATTCTCTGTCAACTGACCCAAAGGAATAGCATGGACAGGCATGGTTTGAACAGTAAATGAGGTGACATAATTATACAGGTTTTCCAGCACTTTGCCAGCCACTTGGCCTACTTGAGATACATTGGCGGTTGTCTTCATCAGTGCAGTTGACATATTGGCACTTTGTAATGTAGCGATCTCTTGTTCTACCACTTGTATGGGTTCAATTGAAATACCGAGGGTAGCTGGTGTGGAGACTTGTGCAGTAACAGCCGATTCTTTTGTCTTGAGTCGAAAAATAGCACTTGGTTTCTCATTGGACAATCTACGGATGTCAGTGTTGATCTCATCATTATTGGGTGCACTTACCCTCCCAACATTTGCCATTCTTTGTTTGGCCAGAGTAAATGAACAGTGGCTGCATAACCAGGTTCAAAAGGGATCGTGCCAAGTAAGAACACAACAATGTGATTTATGTTTTGAGCATCAGAAAGTTCAAACACGTATTTATTCACGTCCACTTGTTGCAAGTTAGTTTGTACCTAAATATGACATAGGCATTAGAAAACAACGCATCTATAGTATTGTTCTTTACCAAACGTCCAGCAGCAATACAACCAAACATAACAATAAACAGAAAAAGAGTAAAAAAAAAAAAATCCAGAATTTTCTGTCTTGTAACACACACACATATATATATATACGCATTATGTTATGTAATCATTTTATTTACATGTCATTATCGCTATCAGAAAATTCACCTTCTTCTTTAGATACACCTGTTCTTCTGATCAAAGAGAAATAAAGAGGGCCATAGGTAGTACGATCAGGAGCAATGAAATAACCATACTTTGTTCTTTCACCAATGGGTAATTTCATTTTGACTACTTCAATAGGAATCTTGCCCTTTTTCATCATACGTTCCACTACTTTATCATTCTCAAGTGAACTAATAGAGCAGGTACCGTATAAGACAAGACCATCCACACGCACTGAATGTAAAGCAGCCTTCAAGATGGATAATTGACGTTTGGCATTCATCTGAGTTCGTTTAGGTGTCCATAATTCAAATTCTTTTTCGTCATGTAGCAAATGGCGTTCAGAGGAACAAGGAGCATCCACCAATACTTTGTCATATTGTTCAGGCTCACCATAATAACGGGTGCCATCTTTACCCACCACCGTACTCATTTCTATCATGTTAGGAGGTATATAAGACTCAATCACCTGTCTTAGGCGACGACGACGATCCGAAGCAATTTCGTTGGATGTTAAACGGCCATATTTAGGATCAAGACGTTGCAAGACAGACAAGGTCTTGCCACCAGGAGCAGCACAGATATCCAGTACATGATCTTCAGGCTGAATATCGAGTACTTCGGTCGACAACACAGAAGCTGCATCTAGGATATAATAGTCGGTAATATTGTTGTTGTCCTTCGAAGGTGGAGGGAATCGTGATTGCGATTTGGATGCATAACAAGGGATACTGACAAAATCCAAAAGTGTCAGATCATGCAATGTATCTTTGAGTTTGTGCTTGACATCGTCGACATTGGCATACTTGTTCATCATCATGCAGTGACGTACGGGTTTCTTCAGAGCTTCTAACAAGACAGGCCAGCGTTCAGGGCCCCATTCTTCTTCATAGTATTTGTTGAATGCGGCCATGACAGCTTGGCGACGTTCAGTCTCTCGCTGGAGCGCTTTTTCTTTCTTTTTGGAAAGAGCTGGTTTTTTTTTGTCCTGCTTTTTGGTGCCTCTTCGACCACCTTTTTTCTTCTCTTCTGTGTCAGACATTTGGTCGAGAAAGTGAAACAGGTGCTTTGGAAAACGAAAAATAAAAGGATTCAACAGTCACTGTGGCTGGCTAAATATCATCAAGCGATTCTACTTGAGGAACCAAATGGCATTCTTTTCAGAGAATCTTCGTCATAACAACATAGCTTTCAGAACTTACTCAATTCAAGCCATGGCTTGATCTCATTACGACGGCAGTCATCAAAAGAGCAGGCGAATACAAGTATATACATGAAAATAGACCATGATTTGATTTTTCTACTACTTGGTAGTACAGTTTCAAGGATCTGCACGCACTTCTGGTTCTTCCCAGTCGAAGTATGCTATTACCAACACTCTTTCTTCAGGCACTATTACGCCTTATATTGTCGGTTTAGAGAAAGATAGTGTATTGATCGATATCACCAACATTTATGATGTGAATGGCCTTAAACAGTTTCTTGGGTCACTTAATACCAATGAAGAGTACTATTTCTTTGGTACTTTACTTGTTGAGTGCAAGTATTTGCAGAGACGCTTTATTGAAACATGCTAGGATATTAACTTAGAAGTATACAATAAGTTGATCAACACCGGTTTGCAGATGGAAGATAATAATATTATCAAAGGTTACCGCAGCTTGCCCCAGAATGCGAAAATTGCTCGAGTTAAGGTTGAACGACTCCCCTTGATTCATCCTTCAACTCTCCGCGAGCAAATAACCAAACGTTTTTGCCTTTCTGGTGAAATCCTGGATCTGGGATTTCATATGGACGGTGCTGTATTTTTCGGCCAGGGCTGCGTCGTTGTTGATCTGAACAATCCTTACAAGACTGAGCCTGAGCAACTTGGTCGAGTAGTGGATTGGCCCGAATTTGATCGTGAACTTCTGCTTACGTGGGATGAAATGCCCCAATTTTGCCGTTTTTGTCAAAAATCCGACCATTGTCGAGCAGATTGCATGGAACTCATTAGTACTCGTCGTTGTTATAACTGCAATGAGCGTGGTCATATCAGCCGTAATTGTCCTCGTCGTAGTCATGGATCAGGCCACTCTCCTAATAAGCGTATTGGGATCACAAAAGACAAGGCTAGTAAATCAGGATCCAACCTGCCCAATGAGCAACTGGCACAAAGTGCGAAGCCTAAGCAAATTGTCTCTCCTGCTGCATTGACTACCGTTCCTCTTAGTCAAATAGCAACCGAGACTATTTAAACACTTTCAAACGATATTACAGTAGTCGAGCATGAATTGATGGATCATGAAATGAAAGAGCAAGGAGATAGTGAAGTAGAAATCATTGACTCCGATGGAGAGGATGATGATGAATATCTTCAAAATATTCCAAGCAATAATCCAACCCAAGAGGCTTTGGACTTAGAAAGGTTTATCCAGGAGCGTAAAAAGATCAAACTTAATCATGACGATGAGAGACATAGAGCGGTACCTAATCATAATACAGGTGGATCAACAGGTACCTCTCCTGACTTTCAATAAGATAATCTATGCCTAAAGACTCTATGCAAATTGCCACCTTTAATTGTCGTGGCCTTACGAAAACTTCAGATCCTTACAAACAGCCCTTGTTCATCCGCTTTCTACGTTCAACTAAATATGCCATTCTATGCTTACAAGAAACACACGCATCTACACTTAATATACAGAAATAGCTCAATCTCAAGTTCCAGACTAAATCTAGTCTTTGGACAGAACACTGTGGCATTGTTTCCTTAAAATCTCACTACAAAATTACAGCACATCCCACCATCAATTCTACCAATGGCCGCTTTCTCTTAGCGTCTATCGTTCATGCCTCTGAACCCTCCATTCCTTTTATGTATATCCTCAATATTTATGCTCCTGCTTATCGTAGTAGTCGATCCACATTCTTTCGCGCACTATCTTCCAATCAACCATTAATGTCACATTTACGGTCAACGTCTTTGCCTATTATTATTGCTGGAGATTTCAACTATGACATTTACCGTAAATCCAACATTAATCCGTGCTGGAATGATCTACTTCTTACTTCAAGTATGAATTGGCCTCAAAAGCACATGATATGACACAAGAAAGCGACCAAGTAGAGATGGCTTTCTTTTGTGATTACTCTTTTATATGTTGCTCTATTTTTCCAGGATAATTGATTGAGATGGCACCATTGAACAAAAGCAATGAAACAAGAAAATAAAAGACAAAGAACACTCCTCACCACTGGTATTAGTATAAACAGTAGACATAGCTCTAAATCATAATAACGTTTGCATATAAAATCTTCTTTGAAAGAGGAAGAAAAGTATACTTGACTTGTGTTGGCTCATTAAATGCTTTCTATTTATCTAGTCTTTGCATGAATTAAATTCCAAAAAATAAAAAGGATGCTTGGTTCTTTCAGAGTCTAAACCAAAAGGAAGGACAATGATCTGAGTTTTATTGGTGTAAATAAGACGTGTTCTTTTTCTTTTTATTTCTGCTTTTTTTTTTTATACATTAAACATGGATTCTGACGATGATCTTGATTGCCCTCTCTGCATGGAGGAATTTGATATTGCTGATCGCAACTTTAAGCCTTGTCCTTGTGGTTATCAAGTAAGTGTAGAAAACTTGAGGCATAATTGATTTACCTGAAAAAAAAATAAAGATTTGTAGATTCTGCTGGCACCATATCAAGGAAAATTTAAATGGGAGATGTCCTGCTTGGTAAGTACAAAAAGATCAAGGTCTTAAACTGATCTGCATAGCCGTCGAGAATATTCAGAAGAAATGGTTGAATTTCAACCCGTGAGCGCAGACGAGTAAAGTAATAGTTTATTCACTACATGGTACTTACTTGATTTTAGATTACAGCGTATTCGAAAAGAAAAGCGTGAAAAAGAAAGACAGCAAAAAGACATGGAATCAGCCAACCGGCGACATCTGTCTAGTATGCGTGTAGTTCAAAAGAATCTAGTTTACATTATTGGTTTACATCCTCGTCTAGCTACGGAAGAAGTATGTCTTCCTACTGCGACTTTTTTTTTCTTTTTTACTAATCATATTAGGTGGTTCGTTCGCATGACTTCTTTGGTCAGTTTGGCAAGATCTCTAAGGTAGTCATTAATAAGCGGCCTTCTCTTCCTGCTTCTCAAATGACTTCTCAACCAAGTGCTGCTGTCTATGTGACTTATTTTAGAAAAGACGATGCTGCTAAAGCTATTGCAGCTGTAGATGGTAGTGTGATTGCTGATCGAGTTGTTAGGTAAGGTGCAAATGGGCGTATACGCATTTGATCTAACTTGAGGGCAAGAGCTTCGTATGGTACCACAAAGTATTGTACTTATTATTTGCGCAACATGACATGTCCAAATCCAAATTGTCTTTATTTGCATGAACAAGGCGAAGATATTGACACTATCTCAAAGGAAGAATTGGCTACAGGGTAACACAGTATAAGATAAATGCTATGTTTGTACTGACATGAAATTAGCAAACACCATATGCGTGATATGCTGTCTGTAGATGAAGAAGAAAAAAATCGCAATGAAGCATCGCCACAACGTCCTGCACTACCACTACCACCACCACCACCACCAGCTCTTTCTAATGATGATTTCCCTGCTGTTTCTTCTTCCAAGAAACTGACGGACGATTCAGCTTTACCTGCTTCTGCTTCATGGGCTAAAGTAGGCAATGCAACTAGTTCACCTTCTACACCCATCATGTCAGTCTCAGATGCATTTGGTCCTAGTCTATCTGATGCTGCGGCTGCTTCACAACAAAAGACACAATTTCCTCCTATGCCAAAACGTAAAAGTGAAAAGAAGAAACGGAAAGAACAACAACAACAGCAGCAGCAGCAGCAGCAACAACAACAGCAACAACAACAACAGCAACAACAGCAGCAACAGGTGCAACAACAACAAAACACTCTATCTGAATCCTCTACTGCGTCCTCTCCTGTTTCTTCATTCGAACAAGGTTTAACAGGATTTGTATTAGGACAAGCATACAGAGATGTATGCCCACTTCCTTCAGAAACAGAGTTCGATAAACAACAAGACACAGACGAATTAACATTAGGCGTCTCTGTTTTACTTTTGAATGACGAGAAATCTCTAGAAGCAAATTCAGAACCTGTTCAGTCTACTCCCGTGCCTTCAGTAATTGATTTCTTGACTTATTCTACACCTACACCCAAATACACTGGTTTGTTTAATCCCTTTTCTCATATGGCTATTTTGGTAGGCCAGTCTGGAAACAAGGCTGCTTTAAATGCTTTATTGAACAGTAGTTCTGGTCTAGACTCTCCTGTTCGTAGACATTCGAGATTTGGATTTGCACAAGCATGACAATAATAATAATAAAAATAAAAATAATAAAAAGAATTTACAATGTAAATGGTTCAAATGATATTCCTCCATTCCTATTAAATTCAACCCAATGTAATCTGAGGGCATGTAACAAAGCAGATAAACCTTCCATAAGTAATAAAATGCTTATGGTCAATACAAACCACAGACTGAATTCAACCACAAGGCCCAAGACAGCCTTGTAGCTTGTTGTATTAAACCAAATACGTAGGGTCATGATGCTTAACACATTGGATAATTCTTGCAGGTAGGACATAAGTTGTGCATAAATTAAACTGCGCATCTTTATTTACTTACGTGCGTGTGCAAGAGACAAAGCCCAAAGACGAAGATAAGAAGCAGTGTTGAATATACAATTTAAGCAGAATTCAATGGTATGGATTGTCTGGTATATCAATACCTGAATAAAATCAAACGACTATCGATTTCTTAAAAAGAAGCCGTGATACGTGTGTCTTACCTGTGTTGATGTAAGTAACGCATTTTGCTTTTGATGCTTATATCTGAGATAGAAAGGTCTAGAAAGCCACATACATGGAACATAAATATATGCTAATACAAGCAGCGTGATTTGCACAAACTTTTGATGAGAAAACAATGCTTGGTCAGGGGGGACAACACCAGGGGGCAGAAACATATAAATCAACATGTTCAGTAGACTAGGAGGAGATTGCTGGACTTGATACCAGTCGTTAAGTCATTTAAGGACAACACAGACAGCCAAATAACCAAAAATAGATTCAAAAAAAAAGGATTTGAGGTAGGAACTCCAGCATAATATAAATTCTTTCTTCAAAGTGAAGATAGTTGACTACATTCAAACAAATGACAATGGATATCCAGATTAGACATGAGTTTTGAATTCAGTAGCAAATACTTGCATGAACAACTGCTTTGATAATGGCTAGCTTTATTTTGTATGCATTCGAAAAGACCAGATAATTAGAAGTACCATGTCATCTCTAGACAAAAATCAGTACTCGATAATAAATAGACAACTTACAGGATCAATACCAGAAGGATAAGCATATCCACTCTGCAAAAGAGTTGTTTCATTTGTTGAATAGTTTGCAGGTAAATCAAATTCGCTTGAAGCCATAAACAAAGACAATGAAAAAAAGTCATTGTATACCCATCCAGTATACATAGAGAAGATGCCCATCATTAACAACATGTATTTTCCATGATAAAATATCTTGAAAATCTCATCTTTGATTTGACACAACTGTTCTTCATATACAATCAAGTAAAAAGCAAAGCAAGTCAAAAGAAATTCATGGCCTAAATCACCAAACATGATACCAAACAAGTGTAAACAGGCCAGGATTGACTTCCCCATATTGAGTAATACCATAAGTGTCCACCAGCTCTTGAAATGGACGAGTAAACTTGTTCGTTGGGTGGCAAGTAGGAGGAGTGCGATGTGTGGATGGCACCATGGTAAGAATAGGCGACATGGTATTTTCAAGAGTTACTCTTGTAATGGCTGCTTGGACCATGTCGACTTGGTTTTTAGCACACCAGGCTTCTGCAATCATGCATTGTCGATTCGGATCAAAATTAAACATGTTCATGGCGCAGTAAATTGCTTTCTCTCTATGAACGATGTTTTTCTAATTTGCTAAATGGTCTACTATATCTTTTAATTCTTCTTGAGAAATATGTCTTGCTTGATCCAAGGCCTATCAAGAAAAAATAAGTGGAGGTATTTTAAAAGATAGAGTTACAGTATTCAGATTGTCAATGTTTTCTGCAATCGCCGTCAGTTTCTTTGAACGTTTTGATGCACTGACTTCAGCAGCGTAGGCTCTCCCGTTCAAACCATTCAAGATGCGCTCGCATTTCTTGAGAAGTTGCTGACTATGAGTAAAGACCGTGAATGTAACTTTATACTCGGTTTGGCTTGGATTAGATGGATCCGTGGCTACAGGCTCAGGTATAGTAGCAAACTGAATCAACAGATTGCCACGCGAGACTCGCCAAAGAATACGCTCAAAGGTCATAGCTAAATCTTTAGAAATAACACCCATCAAGTAATGAAGACGAGTGAGTCTATCTGTTGACGATGATTCAATATCACGGTTTGCTTCATAGTCTACAAACAATGGACCCATATCTTGCATGGACTGTATTCGAAATAGTTTGTATTTATCTTCTGCCTATCATTGTGATTGAATAGAGCTTTTACGTCCATTGTTTTTACCTGTTCAAAAAACATAGCAGTTTGTATTAATACATGACGAAACTCAATCAACTCTAAAAGTTGGTGTTCCAGTGATTGATACAAGTTCTTCAACCCACTTGTACGTTGCTTTTGGTCTCGAAGAGTATCTAATAAATCAATGATAGCTTGTCTTGCATAAGAATGATGTTCTTCTGATGTGGGCTGAACCATGCCAATATTGGCTTCTTTCATTTTGTTTTTTGAGAAAATCTAACGCGCTATAATAAATACGTTGGATTTCATGAGCTATATATACCACAGATGCTTTTCATCTCATTGAGCATTCGTATTTCAGAAACAAAAGTGCGTTGAAAAGTTGGTTTATCTTTATTCAACTAATAACTCACTAAGTGTCTCTAATTGGTAATATGTACACTTACATCCATAAATTGGACTTTCCCTTCTTGTCCCAACTCAGACACACAATCATGAGCTAGTTCAACCGGAATAAACAATTGAACAGGCACCATTTCTTCAAAGCAAAAAAGAGACATTCTGATATGGAGAAAGAAAAAAAAGGGAAAAAATAAAGGAGAACAGAAATAGGGTCCATGTTGATCAGTGATATACATGATTGACATAGTGTCTTTTATGATCTGAATGTAAGCATAATTTTACTGTATTCAGCGACTCGACAATTGAGTTCAAATGTGTGTAAATTATGCAAATATTGTGTGTCTAGAAGCTGATGTCCTGTTCTAATGTTTCCCCTTTTTAGGGCGTGATTTGAAAAGATTACATATCAATTAGATTATAAATATTTTTTTTTTTTGATTCCGTGTTTCTTATTTTTTTCTTTCTTTCATTTAAATATGATTAAAAATATTGGCAAATTCAAACAGGTAAGCTGGTCCTTCTCTTCTTTCTCTCTTGCTCTTAGAAAGAATACAAGTTGAACGGATCTTTATTAAAGAGACCTCTTCTTTATTTCTTTCTTTTTTTTTTTATATTTCTTGTTATTTTGCGGAGTTGTTTTATCATATTAAGACTTTCTTTAAATAGTGGACAGAGGAAAAGCTGGGTAACGCTAAAATCACCCTGCAGACAGAAGATTTCCAACGTCTTGAAGTCGAAACTGAAAGAAAACGTATTGCCTATGAAAAACTCCATGCTGCTGCTTTTTTATTACAAGCTCAATTGCTTAAGCGAAAAATTTCCCCTGAAGACAACAAATCAAAAAGAATACCCAATGATATGCTTGGTGTATGTATGAATAATTATGGTAATGAGTTTACAGACGAAACTCCTCTTGGTAAGTTCCCTTCTTGTCGTCTAGACTTTTTTTTTCTTATTCTCCATCTAGGTGTGGCTAGTATCAATTTTGGGCAAGCTCAATCCAAGTTGGCTGTGTTCCAAGAAGAATATGCTGATGCCATGAAGACTGTATACCTTGAGAAATTAGATGAAGGTCTCGCACAATTTAGAGAATACCAACAATTACGCAAGAAGCTTGAGTCTCGTCGACTTGATTATGATTCGAAGCTAAGTCGTTTACAGAAATCGAAAAAGGAAAAGCCCGAGCTAGAACAAGAAATGCAAGCAGCTAAATTAAAGTATGAAGATTCTGAATACGATGTGATTCAAAAGATGGCTGCTTTACAAGAGTTTGAGGTAAGAAAAAATGTGAAGGGGGAGCTATTTACTCATGCTTTTTTTTTAGGATGTGCATTGTGATGTTCTTCAACACTTGTTAGATATTCAGATGGAATACTTTAGTCACTCATTGGAAGTATTGACTGAAGTTCGAAATAACTGGGGCCATCGCCAAACTGCTCCCACGAGACGTATGACAGATTTGTCTCGTACATCAAATAACTCTTCTGTGGATGAAAACGCACCAATGAACATGCTGCGATCACCCGTCGTAACGCCTAGAAAACTTTCAGTAGGCAGTAAAAATGGAAGTTATGACAACACCCTGACTCTACCCGCTATGACCCTAAGTAACTCCAACACAACAAGACGTATGCCCCCTCCTGCTCGCAAAAACTCAAATGTCAGTGACGACTTCCAACGTACACCACCACCTGCTTTGCCCAGAAGACAATGTAAGTAGACATAAAATAGCGATTGTTTTTTCCCTAAATCGATCTTTGTAGCACTACAAGCCGAAGCACCAATGAAAAACCAGAGAAAAGCAACCTATGAATTTGGAGGTGAAAATTCAGATGAACTTTCATTCCGTGTAGGAGATGTGATCCAAGTCGTAGAAGAAGTGGATGAAGGTTGGTGGTTAGGTGAGATCGCTGATCCAAATGGTACTGTTCGTCGTGGTATTTTTCCTGTCAATTATACAGAAGCTGTTAGCAACGGTGCTGGTCCACCCATGCCTGCAAGACCTGTTTTATCTTCTCAGCATCCTTCACAAAGCTATATTCATGAAGAACCAGAAATGATTGAAGAAGAGACAGGTTCACCTTTTGGAGATCGTAGTGCCAACAATGGTTTCTCGTATATCAGACCTAATACTAGTAATCAGCCTAGTCGTACAGTGTCTTCAAGCACCATTGTTTCATCTCCTGCAAGTTCACCCGTACCTCAATACAAGGTAGCCACCACAAAGAGAGCTCCACCTCCACCTCCACCTTCTTCCACTAGACCCAATATGGTCAACTCGAGAAGTTCTTCAACTATGAAATCAGTGCGTACAGCACCTTCCACACCACAACTTCATGTTACTCAAACGGACAGTTATTTTGAATCTGCTGTTGCTTCTTGCCAAGAGTGTGGTTGTAATGATTTTACAGCTAATGTCTTTAAAAAGGGTCATTGTAACAACTGTTTTCACAAGCATTAACAATAAAAAAAAACTACATAATTCATGTCGTACAGTGTACGCCACAAACACAAAGCTTTCGTTAACACGATGAGAAAGTACATAAATTGAAACTAAAGCGTTTGTATTACTTTGAAAGTTGATAGCAAAGGCAACAGAAAAGGTGTTATAGACAACGTACAATTGTTATGGATATCTAGATTTTGGTCTATATTCGACACCAAATCTTGAATAGCACAATGGTGTTGATTGTATATAAAAAAAAGAAGGGGAGGGATAGTCTAGTTAGCATGTTTAATAACCATATTATTACCATTTAATTACTTGTATAAGAATATTATGGATTTGTAGTGCAATGTGATGTCTTTTGTATAATATTTTGTCTTGAATAAGACTAGATTGCTATCTTGTGTATGTCACATTAAAAAAAGTCTTTGATTTGTGAATTTAACAAAATCTCATATTGAAAGGCCTTACCTCCAGGTTAGACAACACAAAGATAATTATTGAGGAAATGTGCTAATCAAATACATTGAGTTGTAATGAAACACGACTTGCTGTGTTGCCTTCTTATTAAGCAGAAGAGTAGCAAAATATCAAGATGACAACAGACTAAGGTTAGTAGAGGACACACATGAAAAAAATCCGGCTAGTAACAGTTCTACCTTTCTGCTGGTCAAGCTGATATCTCCTCTTGGTTGAAAAATGACATGTGAAGAGCAGGAATCAAAGCTACAATAGCAATGAATATTAAAGTTGCTGAAGCGAAAGATAAACAAGTGGTACAATTCTACTCCTTGCTGTAGAAGACTTATAATTTTATTTTATATTGATTGTTATCAGATTCCCCCGAAAAATGCTCTGCAAGAAAGATTTGGAGAAAAAAGGAACACTATGAGCTTTTATTGCTATATATTAACCGTAAATAAAGCGTGGCACGGAGAGTTTGTATCACTTTGCCTATGTTTTTAATAGTGCGCTTAAAGAAAAATATTTTTCCACTTTGTATAAAATTTTTTTTTTTTTTTGGTTTTTCCATGGACCATATATACAAGCTTTTTTTATAAGGAAATGAATAATAGTAATAATAATAATACAGATATATATGAGAAGGAAAGGTCAAAAATATAGGTGATGCTGAATGAAAACGCTTTTTTTTAATATCTTGAATGTCTATCAGAACGCGTTAATTGACGAGATGAAGGAGAGGGCCTAATGGCAAGTGGATGTCTGGATGATGGATATGAATTCATGTTGTTGTTGTTATTAATGTTTGTTGAGTTATTCACTATGCGACGAGGCTATTCAAGAAGATTAGATTAAGAAGGCCATAAGAAAGAACAACTTACCATAGTGTGGGATGCAATTTGTGATGATGAAGTAGAGGATGTAGATGATAGTGACAGACGATTATTGTAAGGGTAACGACTATCATTCGAGTTGTAAAACCTGCTACGCTCATGATGGTAGCCACCATTTGTATTGGCATTGTACCGAGAAATCGGTCTACTGAATTCAGAATGACTAATACTTCGTGATCGAATAACGACAGGTCTTGCTTTTAGTGAACCGTCTCTACTCTGTGATCTTGATCTTTCAAGAGGGTGAGGGGTACTTGAAACAGGCTTTGCCGGTGATGTTGTAGTAGCAGGAGGAGCAGGAGACGAAGGGGTAGGAGGAGGACTGGCAGGAGTTGTTGCATTCATCTTTGGCTGCGATAATAAATCTTTCATGGCTTGAAAAAGCTTATGCTTTTCTTCTTTAAGTAATCTAATTTTTTCACGAATCTCTTCAGGAGACTCAGTAGCGGCAGTAGTAGCAGCATCAGTAGTAGTATTAACGACAGGAATACTAGAGATAGTATCAGCAGTACCATCGATAGAAGTGGGTGACTTGGCGTTCAGTGATAAGACAGGAGAAGGAGGTGATTCAAGTATATTAGTCGTCGAAGAGTGCATACTCAGTAAAGAATCTGATGTCTGTTCTTCTTCAAAAGAGCAGGACTCAATAGGAGGGGATGGAAGGCCGTTATCGAGATGGTGGTAAGGAAGGATTTTATCCATATCATGCTTTGAAGTAGGAGGAGTAAGAGGAGTGTCTTGTCGATGTTCGTTACGTTGCTTGATACGTTGCATGATAGTATAGCGAATAGCGTTCATATTTGTAGGAGGATAGAATTCGTATTGTTGGGCTGCCATAATGATTAAGAGAAAAGTTAAAAAAAAGAGAAAAAGAAACAAAAAGAAAGAAAAAAAAATCCCTCTATTTATTTTAAAATGAGAATTATAGTGTGTATATATTGCTAAAAAAAAAAAAGAGAACAGAGTCAAAGATTCGTTTATTTTGGGGAGGAGGCGTCACGTAGAGTTAATTTAGCCTCAGTCATCTAATCTTTACCATATTTGTGACTTTTTCGATAGTGCATTTACACTTTCTACTATACACACGCCTAATGTACATACATACACATTTTGTGAATAAAAGAAAAAGCATTAATAGACTGGTACTCAAGAGAAGAAGTAAACAAGAAAGATATCAATTAAGAGACCAGAACTCAGATAGAAAGCCAGTCAGGAATAGTGTATTTAGAGAAAGAAAAAAAAAAGATGTATCACCTTACCCAGGATAAAAATAATATTCAAGTAGGTTGTAATACAGAAGACAAAAAGAAAAAAAAGCAAAAAGTTCAAATGATTTAGTTCAAATGCATGCAAAAGGACAAGGATGCAGCATAGAGCGTTCTTATTTTGCGTTCTCTCCTTCTCTTCTCCCTTTCTTACTATTATAAATGTCACGAGATTTTCATTTTTTTTTTGTCATAAATTTCGATTGACCGCGAAACTCTTTACTCATATAAAGAGCAAAAAGTATTATAAAGTCAAGCTTTGTTATTCTTGTTTCGTTCAGGAAAAGATATACCGATTGTTCAGCAAACTTGCAAAATCGAAACTTAAATATATATGAAGTATAAAGAAAAAAAAAAAGAAATTAATGTTTATTGACTTCATTTATAGTTGAAGAGAATGAAAAAATTTTAGCCAGAGAAAAAAATTTTTTTTTGTGTTCCTCCAATCAAAAAGTATTTGTGTTTATGTATATCTTTTGTTAATGATGACCAAATCGTAATATGAAGCAGGAGGAGGATAAGGACCTTTGAATACCAGTCTAATAATCTTTTGGACAAGTTGAGCCATTCTCTTTGTTTTGCTCTGTTTTTTGTTCTCTTTTTGTAGAGGTTCTTTTTGAATATGATGTGCTTTCAACCAAGGATGAAATAAGATGAGATCAAATGAGGCACGATTATGCTCCGGTGACAGCATTTTTTGTATTAAGTCTCTTGCTTCTATTCAACCTGTTAGATCTTTTTTTTTCCTTCTTGTCTGATTTTTACCTTTGGATATCTGCTTGGGTATCTCAGGACAATGAGTCATTCTTGTATATATTTCTTTGTCAAATAGTCCTTGAGTATAAAATGGATATCTTCCTATCAGCATACGAAACAAAGAAATCCCCAATGACCATATCTCAACATGTTCATAATCAAAATGAGAGTGAGTCCACAATTCAGGTGCTAAATATTGTAATGATCTATAGCAAATTAATAGATCTGTTTGGTGTATCTTACTTTACCCTCCAAATCCTAGGTAATCTTCTCTTGTACCATTTTGCATGATAATAGTGATTCCCTTCATATCATTGTCGTTTTCGTTGAACAATAGATACATGTCTTTTGGAATATGTTTGGGCTTTTTAAAAAGATCAAATGCTGTTATGACCATTTCAGCAAACACAGTTTTCGACTCTGCTTCGTTATATTGAAGAACAGGATCAAACCGCGGCTCGCATGTAGACGCTTGTGCTAGCCATTCAGGAATAGGAATATACCTATGATGATACTCTTCTTCGAGAATCTTCTCAACATTTGGTTTTTTGACTTGCGAAATAATGAGATCAAATCTGTCACTTGAGGACGATGCATTGTTCAACATATTTCCTTCGGCTGGATGACGAGATTTTGAACTAGAAGTATTTGTTTCTGAAGTTTCTTGTATAGGATACAAGTCTCGCGAAGAAGAAGAAAAAGACAGTACAGGTTGAGTGGGAATAGTCGAATCCTATTTAAATGCATCATTGTTGATGTTAGTCTCCTCATTTTTTCTAATTTACTCAACAATCAAAATTTACCTTGGATTGATGCTTGGAAACAGGATCTGTAAAAAGGAATGGCAAAGGCGGTTTATTGGGTGAAAGGCTTTTCCAGTCTTTTATGTCTTGATCATGTGGGGCTTTTTGGTTTAGAATGTGCTTAAGTTGAGACCATGATGTCTTTTTTTGCTTATGATTGCTAATTGGCATCCATCCGATATGCCTCTTAGTTTAGAGGCATATAGACAATAAAGGTGTCGAGTCGAAAAAAAAAAAGGAAAGAAAGAAAAAGAAAACAAGAAAAAAAAACTGCTAATGACATGATATCAAATCATAGAAAAATTTACATATTGGGCAAGTTCTATTACATCTGTGGAACAAATCTCGGATTAGCACTGCCTTTTCTTTTTCGGTAAACACTGAAGATAAAATCTTGTCTAAACAAAAAAGAAAATGTCAACAAAGGAGATTGGCATGTCTACTTTGTTATCTGATTTTTTTTTTTTTTTTGCATATCAGATCAAGAATATCAGTGGATTATGATCATGCAAAGTATCGATTGAATGTACCAATACATCCAAGAATGATCAAAATTGATATAGAAATCTTTCGCTAGCAATTATGTATATATAGCATTGAAATTGACTATTCATTCTGAAACTTGTACATAAATTAGTTATGATTAGAAATACTAGCAATAAGAGTGCGATAGTAAGTTGCACTTCAGGAGCTTTTAACAATACAATGTAGACATACGGCAATAATGCACACAACTAACAAGCTCTCTTATTAGAAAAATTCATATCAATAAGTTCCTGAAGTCATGGTATAAAGCCTCAATCATATAATCAATGATATTTAGTATTTTTGATTCTGTAGTGATGACACTTGGGAAGAAAATGCCGAAAACAAAACGAATACGTGTTATTGCTTGAGGCCAAAAGAAAAAGCTTATTTTAGAGTAAAAGGGGCAAAATAAAGGAACATATACCGATCCAATTAACTTCTTTAAAACTTATGATTGCGTCACCAACTAGATTCAGGTTCCGTAGAGCGAAACTGGCAAGGGATTAAATGATGGCCAGATCCTTTTAGAAACTTTTTTTTCCTCTCTTTTCTCAACCAAAAAGGTAAGACGTTTGTGAACAAAAGTACCTTTTTTTTTCGACTAACATTCTGTTATTGTAGATTTTATTACATTAAAAAATGGGTGGAGCTAAAGCAAAGACTTACATGGGCTGGTATGGACAACATACTCAAATATGATTAATATACTAATATACAATAGGTGGGGCCATATGGGTGGACCTACCCAAAGAGTAGGTGGAATATTAGAAAAAAACGATAGACAGCTAATTTACATCTATAAATAGGGTGTTGTTACCTACCTTTTATCTCCCTTTGAACAAAAGCCTTTTGCAGGTGCTGCCCACAACGCTGTTTTCAACACTGCTCGCCGTGTCACCTCTCAAGTTCCTTACGTTGGTGTCGCCTTTGGTCTCGGTTACTTTATCTACACTAGCGCTAAGAGCAGACATGCTTACCTCACTTCTAAGGCTGGCCATGCTGCTGAAGGTGGTGATCATTAGATTGAATGCAATTAATATACGCAGACATACATACACAGACACATACACAAACGCACACACATACACAAACGCACACACTGTATACGCAGCACCAAGCAATAAAAAAATTATCGATCTATTTATCTATGTCTACATATTGAGAAAGAGAGAGAGAGAGAGACAGAGACAGAGAAAGAAAAAAATAGAGGGGGGGATAGAAACGACTTGAGTTTTATTATATTTACAAAAAAAGTGTTTTTTAACGTTTTGCTTTTCTGAACAAAAAGACAAAGAAGATAAAGGCAAGACAGTTAAATATTGTGTAGGCACACAAAATACCAAAGTCTCGCCATCTATTTGAGAAGGACCAACCAATTCTTTCTTCAAAGTAATCATTACCTGTTGAGTATTGACAATAATTACAGGAACCTGTAGCATCAGGATTTCCGAGATAGCCTGGGCCACCAGATTGAAAGAATTCTGACATATAGTCTTGGCAGGACTGTCCGGAAGGCGCATTAATCACAATATAATCTGAATCCGAACATTGTACTGGAACACCAGCCATAACATTGACTACTAGACCTTCAATCAAATAGTGATAAGGATCGAGCCAGTACATCCATGCACTCCAGAAATGAGGCATCTGGCTTGGAGGTTGTACAATACCAGCAAACAGAATCAAAATGGAGGTAAAGAAAGGATTAATGACAGCAGCCATGGGTGGTGTACTGGAAAAGGCAGCAATCGTGAAACCCAAAGAGACAGAGTAGAACAAGAAGACGATGAAATGAATGTAAAAGAAACCAATACGACTTGAGTCGTTTTGTAAACCAGCAGTCCAGTAGAAACAGAACAAAAAGATAGTACCGAGCACAATCAGATAAGGGATTTCAACCAACAAGCAAGACAGAGCAAAAGGTGCCCAACCATAGTATTTACTGGCATATTCTCTACGGAACCACATTCTTTCCTGCATAAATCTTGGTTGAGCAAGAATGATCAAACTGTTGGACATTAAAAGGGTAGTAAAGACAGAAAACATTCGATTTTGCATATCAGGAGGTGAGTTACCCAACTTCCAGAAGGAGAAACCAGAAATAAGACCAATAAAGCAGACATTGAATAAACGACCCAAGTTGTAAGTAGGACAACGCCACCAGGAAACATTCATACGTAGATAAACAAGTTTCAATTGTTGCCACAAAGGAAGAGCATAGGTAGTCACTTTACGCTTTGTATCATGGTCTGTAGAGGCATGAATTTCAGCCAGTTCTTGTTCGAGTCGCTTAGCTTCAGGAGATGTCTGCCAAATTTCAGACCAATCCTGTGTCGAGTTTTTTGCAGCAGTACCAGCACCAACACATTCCAAGATATATTCGGCTGGATTGGCATTAGGAGAACATTTAGGACCATTGTTACGTTCAAAATATTCAATCATCGTTCGAGAGTCTTTACCAATTTCACCAAAGTAGGCAGTTCTACCACCACGAACTAACAAAAGCAAGTGATCAAAATGTTCAAACAAAGTAGCAGAAGGTTGGTGAATCGTACACAAGACAGGCCAGCCAGCATCAGCAAGTTTACGAATGAAACGCACAATATTATAAGAAGACTGAGCATCAAGACCAGACGTAGGCTCATCCAAAAAAAGTAGCTTAGGTTTACCAACTAATTCAGTAGCAATGGTCAGTCGCTTACGTTCTTCGACAGAGATGCCTTGTCCTTGTTCAAGGTCACCTACAAGGGCATCACCAATCTTTGACATTTCCAACAGTTCCAAAATTTGTTCAACATATTCATCTTTTTCTTCTTTAGGTACTTCAGCAGGTTGACGAAGATAAGCAGAAAAACGAAGGGCTTCGCGCACAGTCGCTGCAGGATTATGAACATCCATTTGTTCACAATAACCAGTGATACGTTCAAAGTCATCAGCGAGTTTCTCACCATTCAGGTAGATATTACCCTCGATTTTACCGATCGTTTTTCTTCTAGCCAAGACATCTAGCAATGTAGTTTTACCTGCGCCAGAAGAACCCATCAAGGCAGTCAAGTTACCGGGCTTCACAATACCGCCTACGTCACATAACAATTGACGTGTACCCCCTTTGACAGGCACGGTGTAGTCAATATGATGCCATGAAAAGGTAGTACCTTCAGATACAGCTTCCATCTCTTGATCATCAGTAGTAGCTACTTGTTGCATCATTTTTTCATCAGATTCAGCCTCAGGCGCGCATCCTCGCTTATAGACTTTTGTAACAGAGCCTTCTTTTTGAAGATCGACATATTCCATAGCAAGCGCTGTAATGACAGTAAAGAAAAGGAAGAACAAGACAACAGCAACAAAATTGATCCAACGTTGCCAGACATAATAGCCATAAACTTCTTCTAGATAATCATCACCTAGGACATAACTAGCACCAGGTTGAGCACCAGGGAGAAGACAAGAACGGTATTGTTGATCTGTGTAAGAGGGACCATAAGGTACACCAGAAGCGCCTTCACAGCTGAATTGCAAGTTTCTCATTTCATTGGAAAGCAAGGCTTTGTAACCATAGGCCAAGGGATTAATCCAATAAATCCTAAAAAATCAATGTGTTAGTGCCTTTCAGAGGTTAGAGAGGACTTACCAAAAGAGCCATGGATGCATCTGCTTGTAAGGGATTTGATAGCCACAGTAAATCAAGCAAGCAATAAGCAAAATACTAGACAGTTGAGAAGCAGTAAAGAAAGTTGGACTAACGGAGCCCCAGAAACGGAAGAAACCATTCATACAGAGATTGGTAACGACAAGAATGATCATGAACGTAAAGAACTAATGGGCATTAGCATTGCTTTCATACTGTTGCATATAGCTTACTCTTCCTGCTTCAAGTACTAGACCCATCATAAAATAGACACAAAGTTCAAAGACGAGAACTTGTATAATAGCCAAAGGAATATCAGCAACAACAGTAGCAATGTAGAAAGCAGAAGGATGGTACAAAGCATAATGTTTGTGTTTTTCCAAGACACGACGACCTTGCATGAAAGCTATAACAAAGTGTCAATCAATGAGCATAAAATGCATGTTAAAATTTACCTGCTAGTTCAGATTGAGCAATTAAAGCATTAAATAACAGAGAAAACAAGAAAGCACCACCACGAGAGAAGGCACCAGAGGCGTCAGTAGGCATCATAAAGAAACAAGAAGCCATGATAAGACCCTTAACAACAACACCACCATAACGAGACACAAGAGCACCTTTATCACCAAAGATCAACTGGAATTGACGAATTGTAAGGGACTTGACTTGTTGGTAGTAAGTAGCAACAAAGGGTGATCGTTTAGGAGCATGCTTTTGGTGGGCTTCAACAAAGGCTTGTTTAAAAGCTTCAGCAGGTCTATCTTGATTGATTCGATTTTCATATTCATCACGTTCGTGAAGCATGTCTTTATAGAGTTGAGACTCTTGAAATTGTCTTTCAAACTGCACTGCATTGAGGGGGACCTTGCCATCAAAACCTTCACGCACTTGGCGTTCATTCATATTACAGAGGCCCGTTAAGAAGTCAGGTGTGGATTTACGCTCAGGACAGTAGAAGCCCATATCAGAAAAGAATTGCTTAGCGGTGGCAGTAGGTCCAAAATAAAGAACACGACCTTCATCAAGCACCATGACCTTATCAAACAAATGGAAAATACTATCAGAAGCTTGGTATAAAGTGGCAATGGTTGTCTTGTTAAAAATGTCTGTCATGATACGTAGTGATCTGACATAATCCAAAGCAGAAGAAGCATCTAAACCACGGGTTGAACAATCCCAACAGTTAATAGAACTACGAGTTGTCATTTGTTCAGCGATTGAAAGACGTTTTCGTTCACCACCAGAAAGACCGCGGACAAAAGCATTACCAACCATGGTATCCATTTGTTTTGTTAAACCAAGCATGTTACCAAGAAGATACAGGATTTTATCAATAAATTCACCTTTAGATTCATTAGGAAGACGCTTTCCAGGAGTCTTGTTTTTAAGTGCAAAGCGAAGCGTTTGTTTAGTGGTTAATGTTGGATAATGAAGATCTTCTTCTTCGTTGTAGCAAACTTCGCCTCTAAAATGCTTGCCAAATTCTTTTGCTTCAATACCACCATATGACACTTCGCCTTGAATATCAGTATATGATGCACGCATATTAGCAATCACACGAAGTAAGGTTGTACAACCAGCACCTGGACGACCCAACACCAAAAGCATTTCACCTGCTTTACAAAAACCGTTATTGTCTTTGAGGATAGTGAAGTCATGTCCCTTATGCTTTCCCCATTTCCAAAATTGAACAAAGTCAGACAGAACAGAAAAATTAGTTGGTATCACTTTCGCATCAGCGCCTAAGCCTTGCACTGTCAGATCTTTCCAAACGACGCCCATATTTTTAGGCTTTAGTCCTGCATCCATGATTTGTGAATGTTGGTTGGTAAGAAATTCTGTCAAGTCAAATTCTTTTTGTTCTCCTTTTTCTTCATCAGGAGCAACTGAGGCATCGCCCATAGAAGGACCTGCTGCAGAAGGTCTTCTTTGGGATTGTCTTGTCATTTCTCGGCGCACGGACTCATATTTTTGCAAAGCACTATCAATGTCTACAGCATTGCCTTCAGATTCACCATAACCACCTGTTGTTTGGCGAGTATCCATTCTTTTTATTTCTGTTTGATCAGAATCAGAGTTGTCATTGATCTCTTTTAAATGTTCTTGTTCTTGCTGGCGTAGATTATATTCATTGTCGCGGTCAGGGTAATTATCCCTAAAACTGCGAGCTGATGGCATATCCATTTTGGCTCAACAATAATGAATTAGACAAACAATATATACTGAAATAAAAAAAGCGAAACACTCTTTATAAAAAACAAGGCCACATTTTATAGACGACATGGCATGACGACGTCAATGGCAAAAATCACTACCGAATATCTCTCTTATTCTAAAACCAAATCAAAAACCCCGCTGTTCTGGAAACAACATTTTGATAGTAAGCCTAAATCATTCATCCACGCATGATAAGTCCCTTGTTCACTGTCTGAGTAGAACAACGACAAAAAAAAAAGCTAGACCCTAGGTCCTTTTTTGTTTATAGAAAGGCGCCATATGCTGTAGGAAATGATGCTAAAGTATCAAACGACAATAATGCGCAACTTGTGTTACCATTCTTTCTACGTCATGTCATACTCTGACTAGCAAATAAATAGAAAGAACTTGTCTTGAAAGTAACAGTAAAATCTCGATAGAATGAAAGATGTAATACGTAAATTTATCTGGAGCCGGATTAACATATTATCCTTAAACTTAAACAAAATTATTGGCCTCGGTTTTCTGCATACATCAATAATATGTAGATAGATCCGAAAAGTCGGCAGTAAAGAGAGGAATGGTGTCAATACCACATATTTTTAGATCGATTGTCTAAAGTGAAATAATATATCCTTACATGTGAATCTATTCAGAGCAAATAATGAGAAAGCGATCTAATCTTTTTTTTTCTAGAGAAAGCGTCCACATCTTGTCCAGAACTGGTTGCTTTGTTCAATAAATAGAACCCTGTAGCCAGTTACGTAAGAAGTTACAGCTTGTAGTCCACAAAGAATATTTCAATCTACTTGAAAAGCTTTATAGACAGTTCAGGTCAATTATGATATATTCTATACTTTTGTACATATAAGAATATTCGTGGTATGTGCCGGCATATGATATGGTATCAAAAGAAGAAGCAGGAAGAAAGAAACAGAAGACAGTTGTTTGTCATTGATAAAGCTTTGAAGGGAGACTATCCTCTGCCACTTGACATGTTGATCATAATGATGGCGTTCGTGTTTCTTGGGAGAGACCTTCAGGTTAAAAAAGGCGAATTTGCCATTGTCAGAGGATGAGCTTGATTAATAAACACCTAGTCGACAAAAAGTATCTTTTATAGATAAGCTACTGTGTTTCATTTCTCATGGTTCTGTACCTAAAAATTAGATGTGCTTTTGTCAAGCTATTGTAATATACTACGTATGCATATCACGGCAACTCATATGAATTCACATGCCATTCAATTGTTATCTTATTTTTGCATTTGTAAAACAATTCCATCCAAGTGAAAAAGTGATAATAAAAAAGGTTGATGATAGAGGCAATATTTTTAAGTGTATATCGTTTAATAATTGAAGTATTGTTTGGGTACTAAAGGAAAGCTATAAACATTGACGCACTTAAACAACTGATCAACTCATATTTAGATATGAATTATCAATCAAATCAGTGATGATTGCAAACAAACAGAAAGGATAAGAAATACTAACGCATTGCTGTCTTTTCATTGGATAATGTTTATTTACGTACAAAAAAAATTAATTTTTTTTTTCTATCTCTGCTGGGTTCATGAGCCCCCTTGTTGTATGGAATATAAAAAAATAATTGCTGGTTTAAATAATGATCAAATAATTTATAATCTATCACGAGAGTACCTAATAAACAAATAAGTATATACATTCGCGTTTACTCTGATGGCTTACTTCTTGTCGAACTTTTGGTTGACAGTCATGAACTTGACTTGAGTATCTTGATCAATGTTTTGCCAGGGGTAAGGGTTGTTGGTACGATCCCAAACAACTTCAGGACCTCTAGCGAGACGGGTGAGATAGTAACCAGCAAGACCACAGGCACCACCAACGGTAACGAAGATAGGAACAACTTCATGCTTGTACCAAATACTCCAGAAGGATTTCTTAGCAGCGTTAGCAGCAGCACCGGCAGCCATTTTGATATATATATGAAAAAGGGGTAATCTTTTCTCGAAGCGACCGAATAAATTTGCGTTTTTATAGTTTATCATTTTTCAAAGTCAGAATAAGTTTCACTCCCATTTTGATATTTCATTGGTAAAGATGGATGAGATCGAAATTAGAAAGCTAAACAAAGTATCCAATCATGGCTGACATGGATAAAAAAGAAACCCACTTAAACAAGTTTTGCAATCACTTAAAAGAAACAAATTCAGATCCTAAAAAGCCTTGGTATTGAGATATATGAATAGATATATGCAGAGATATAAAAAGTCTTGCATTATCAGTCAGTTTGTTTTAAAACATAAACCAATGTTTCAAACTGCAAAGACACTACCAGTTAAAATAATCCTTGAATTAACAAAACAAGGACAATGCTATTTATATGGAACACTATAAGTAATAAGATAATGGCACCTCAATCAGTACTTACAGGATACTGATTGGGTCGAAATTAAAAAGTGATTATACATTTGGAAAACAGTACTAGTATGTTTCAATTGCATAAATAGGTTTGAATACATAGAATTTTTATTGGTTCTTTTGCTGATCTTGCAAAGTAGAAGGTGCTACACCAAACTCTTTGGGTGTAGTTATGTCTTGTTCAACACAAATTGATTTAATAGATGCATAATGATGAATCTATCAAAGTAAATATAAACCAAACTCTATGTTTAGACTTACAGCATGAATGCAACAATAAAATAATTCTCTACCAAACGAAGAAGTGAATTGGTATTTATTGTGATCAGAAGCTGTGATAGTGGCAGATAATGTCAATGGTGTCTGTAAAGAAATAGTGTGTTCTTTGATCGTATTTTGTAATTCAGCAAATCTATCAATAGCAATAAGCCGATCACTTTCGGAGGGATCCTATCAATAGCAATTAAGTAAGGCACACATAAGCATTATCACACTATTACGTTGCGTGCCCTTGTATCATAGTCTACAATCCAGTTCTCTGGAATAGGATCGTGTTCAGCATACAGCAGTCTGAAATGGTCATACAAGTGTCTAATATATACTATAAATACATGTGCTAGTATACACACATACTTGCCTCATATGTTTGCCTATGGTTCCTCCAGGCATTACGCTGGATACCTTTGTATATTGCTCATTTTTAACAAGATGTAAAAGATCTATAGCTTGCTGAATGATATCATGAGCCATTTCCTGTAAGGAAGTTTCTGGTGATGGATTTGTATCAGACATAGTAAAAAAAAAAAATAAAGGGAGAAATAGAAAAAAAAGGATTACACCTTATGACATATGTGACGTTATTCAATATGTCTGCATTGTAGAGCGAGAATAAGCCAATCAATCCACCGGCCAATAAAATAAAATAACGTAGGCTGTAAAATTAAATTTTCCAATTCATTCATTCTTTCTTTTCCCCTTTTTTTAGTTTATTATGAAACTACGTTTAGGCATACCTAAACTAGCACTGGTTGCAGTATTTACTTCTGTGACAGTAGCTATGAAGTTTGAGGACTTCAAGACGTGTTCTCAGTCGGGTTTTTGTCGTAGAAACAGAGCTTATGCCGACGAAGCAACAGTGGCCTCTTCCCCTTATACCTTATTGACAGACTCTGTTCAGCTCTTACAAAATAAAGTCTATGCAGACATTAAAAATACAGAAACAGACGCTCTCTTGACTCTGGAGCTGCATATCCTACAAGACGCCACAGCACGCGTCCGTATCAATGAAAAATCACCTATCAAGCCGCGTTACGATGAACACAGCAAGTACACATTGGTAAGCGAACCCGTTTCTCAAGATGCACTATCCATGACCAGGACGAAACAAAACAATATCGAGATTCAATTGGACAGTACACGTAAAATCGTGATTCATCCTCAACCTGTCCAGATTCAGTTTTTGGTCAATCATCAGCCTATGATTACACTGAATGACCGTGGATTTTTCAACTTTGAGCATTTACGTACAAAAGAAACACATAAGCCAAAGATGATTGAGAAAAAGAACGAAGACGGTACTGTGTCTACTGAAGAAGCAGAGTCAGAAAAGGATCTTTGGGAAGAAACTTTCAAGACATGGACAGATCCTAAGCCCAATGGCCCTGAATCTGTAGCTATGGATGTCACTTTCCATGGCTTTCCTCACGTTTATGGTATTCCTGAACATGCATCCAGTCTTGCATTAAAAGAAACACGCGGGGGTGAAAATGCTTATACCGATCCTTACAGACTTTATAATACCGACGTATTTGAATATGCACTCGATAGTCCTACTGCTCTTTATGGTGCTGTGCCTTTGATGATAGCTCATAAAAAGGGTTTATCTGCAGGTATCTTTTGGATGAATCCCTCTGAAACTTGGATTGATATTGTCAAGCACAACAAAGCTGATGACAAAGTAAGTTAAATCCTTTTTTTCTAAAAAAATCATGCTAATGCCCATTAGAATGCTGTTCAAAAGGTACTTGGTCTCAACAAGCATCAAGAAACCTCAACGCAAACACACTGGATTTCAGAAGCTGGTGTGCTTGATGTATTTGTGTTTTTTGGTCCTTCTTCAAAAGATGTCCTTCGTCAATACACTCGGTTGACAGGCACACCTGCTATGCCTCAAATGTTTGCTGTAGGTTATCATCAATGTCGTTGGAACTATATCAATCAAAGAGATGTATTAGAAGTAGACAAACAGTTTGATGAAAACGATATGCCTTACGATGTGATCTGGCTTGACCTTGAATACACAGATGACAAGAAATACTTTATGTGGGATCAAGCTAAATTCCCTGATCCCATTCGCATGGAAGAAGCATTAGATACCAAGGGCCGTAAATTAGTCACTTTGATTGACCCTCATATCAAGCGTGCTGATAATTACCGTGTCTGTGAAGAAGCCAAGTCCAAGAGTTTGTTTGTCAAACAAGCTGATGGTAATGACTATGAAGCTTGGTGCTGGCCTGGTCAATCGTCTTGGGTTGATTTCCTTCACAAACCTTCTTACGATTGGTGGAAGCAACAGTTCAAGTTTGACAAATTCAAGGGCACAAGAGACAATGTGTACATCTGGAACGATATGAACGAACCCTCTATTTTCAATGGTCCCGAAATCACGATTCAAAAAGAAATGATGCATGATGGTCGATGGGAGAACCGTGTCTTACATAATCTGTATGCTGTCTTGTCACACACAGCTACTTCAGAAGGTGTTCGTGAACGTACAGAGGTACAAAAGCGTCCATTTGTCTTGGGCCGTGGCTATTATGCTGGTGTTCAGCGTGCAGGCCCTATCTGGACAGGTGATAATATGGCGAACTGGGAATCCCTTAAGTACTCTAACCCAATGATTTTGTCCAACAGTATTGCCGGTGTCGCCTTCAATGGTGCTGATGTTCCTGGTTTCTTTGGCAATCCTGAACCTGAGTTGTTAACAAGATGGTATCAAGCGGGTGCTTTCCAACCCTTTTTCCGTGCCCATGCTCATATTGATACAAAGCGCCGTGAGCCTTATCTCTCTGCTGAACCTTACAAGTCCATTACCCGTGCCACGTTGCGTGAACGTTATGCTTTGTTGTCTTACTGGTACACCTTGTTCTATGATGCTTACAAGACAGGTACGCCCATGATGCGTCCTATGTTTATGGAATTCCCAGATGATGAACAAGTCTGGACTATGGAAGATCAATTCATGGTAGGCAGTGCTCTTCTTGTCAAGCCCGTGACAACTGAAGGTGCTGTCAAGGCGGATGTTTATTTCCCTACAGAGCAATTATGGTACGATTACAAGACGCATCAAAAAATACAACATACTGGCTGGCATACAGTTGAAGCTCCTCTTGATACTATTCCTGTCTATTACCAAGGTGGTCATATTGTACCTCGTCGTGAACGTATTCGTCGTAGCTCGGCTGCCATGCGACTTGACCCATTCACACTTGTGATTGCTCAAGACAAACAAGGTGATGCTCATGGTGCTTTGTATCTCGATGACGAAGAGACCTATGATTTCGAAAAAGGTGCTTATGCCCATACTGCTTTTGATTACCATCAAGGCAGTTTGACGTGTCAAAGCATGCATGAAGACGGCAATGTATTTGCTAAATCAAAAGAAAAGATTCGTGTGGAGCGTATCCATATCTTGGGCTCCAAGAAACCTGCCGGTGTCAAGGTTGTTCAACAAGGTACATCTGTTGAAGCAGACTATACGTTCGATGGTCAAACAATCACAATCAAGAATCCCAATGTGTCTGTCATTCAATGTGGTTGGTCTATTGTGGTTTATTAAATAAATCTTTAATGGCGTCCTGTATGCGCTAATGACACTGAGCTTTGTAAGGAATGCATTTGATATTTGCCTACGGATATCAATGAACGAATATTATCCTAAAATCATCATTTAGTTCATGTATATATAGCTTAAATTGAGCCATTTACAATATTTGTTTCTTTTCTATGACGCTCAAAATCAGCTCGAGCAAACTGGATCAGTTCCTTAGCATCTCGTTTGTCCATGCCCTTTGTACAGCGAACAATGCTTCTGTACAAAGAAATAACTTGTCCACGCAATATAAACTATATAGGATGTTAGTGAAAGTCTGACGTTGTTATTTTCAACTTGCATGGTCTAGCGTAAGTCCTTCTTGAAAAAACTTGGGAACGGCAGGTGCTTTGTGAAGTCGAACAAGTGTAGATAACATATATGCGTAGTAGAAGTAAAAATATATATATATGTATAATTATCTCGAAGAAAAAAAAAAGATTTACTTATTTCGGATTTACTTATTTCAGCCATACATAGGGGCTTAGAATAGAAAGTGTGACGCTTTCGTCTTTCTTTTGCTATTGCAATTTGTAAAGCATGTCTGCACTTATCCTCCAACGATATACAGCCTACTATAGATTCTAAATCACGATGGCTTTGTCAGGACTACTTCAGAGTTGAAATTCATTGAATAAAGTCTCAAATCTCATCATGTTCGCACTTTAAACAGTGCTAGATTCATGCATGCAAAGGACAACAACCTTTGAGTCAAATATTACACCTAGGCTATAAATCTCGACTGATTAGTTATCGATAAAAATTCGGTTCACCAGACTCACCAGACTCACGAGTCTGATTGGCACTGGCTTTGTCCTTTTGTGAGAGCGTTTATATAAGCATTTCGTATGAACAAACACTAATTTATTTTTCTATAGCCCTCTCTAATGTCTTTTGTAGCTTAGGATGGGAAGCATACACCGGGCTAACACGCCATAGACCATGAACAAACTGAGATTGGTTCAAGAGTAAGGACGTATGTAGAATGGAATGGTCTAACCATTTGGCTCCTAATCTGGTAATAGATGATTCCGATGCGCATTGATACATACATAATCTATTGTAGTCATAATTATTGGCCGACACTGTACATCTTGGTGTTTTTTTTTGGAGATTAAAGATATTCATTCTGCCTATTTCTTCATTCTCACCCTCTAAAAGCAAAATTAAGAAAGAAGCCCTTTTAGAAGAAAAGAACTTAACTACCAGAATTCGAGATGCCTGCAACGGTATCCTTGGCAACATTCTGCAAGACTTCTGTAAAAATTCTGCATTTAGGGCTTTATTGTTTGTGTCGGTTCAAAAAGCGTCCCAATGATTGGTATAATCCTTTTGAGCTTATTACTTTGATCTTTTCTCTCGCATAGTCTAAAGTGCGAACATGATGAGATTTGAGACTTTATTCAATGAATTTCAACTCTGAAGTAGTCCTGACAAAGCCATCGTGATTTAGAATCTATAGTAGGCTGTATATCGTTGGAGGATAAGTGTAGACATGCTTTACTAATTGCAATAGCAAAAGAAAGACTAAAAAATACAAGACAAAAGCGTCACACTCTCCCTTAGTGTCTCTGGATGAAGCAAACCCGAGTTAAGGACATACATCGAAAAGCAGTCACATCACCCACTGGCGAGCGGGCTCTCAGTGTGAAGCACACACTTCCCAAAAGGTCTCATCAAGTCAACAATCCTGAAGACCTTCCTTTTTTATCAGATTTCATCATGGGTAAGAAACTCATCGATAGATATATTTAGGTGCATAAGAACGAGAAGAAAGAAGAGAAAGGAGATGGTTCGATGGATGGATGGATAAGAAGTCTTGATGGATAGATGGACTACATTAAATAAGCGAATGCAATCTTAAATCTCTATTCCCCTTTTTTTTTTATCATTCAGCACCTTCTCTCCTCTCCTCTCTCTTTATCTCTTTCTCTTTCTTTCTTATGCACATGAATCAAGACCATTGGTTACTAATGACTCATGTCTATAGGTAAGGGACAACCTAGAGGTTTGAACGCAGCTCGTAAGCTCCGTATTCACCGTCGTGATCAACGTTGGGCCGATAAGCAATACAAGAAGAGAGCCCTCGGTACTGCTTTCCGTTCTTCTCCCTTCGGTGGTTCTTCTCACGCCAAGGGTATCGTTCTCGAAAAGATTGGTGTTGAAGCTAAGCAACCTAACTCTGCTATTCGTAAGTGTGTCCGTGTTCAATTGATCAAGAACGGTAAGAAGGTCACTGCTTTCGTTCCCAACGATGGTTGTTTGAACTACGTTGATGAAAATGACGAAGTTTTGATTGCCGGTTTCGGTCGTAAGGGTCGTGCTATTGGTGATATTCCTGGTGTCCGTTTCAAGATTGTCAAGGTCGCTGGTGTTTCTCTCCTTGCCTTGTACAAGGAAAAGAAAGAAAAGCCCAGATCTTAAATCACTCAAATAAAAGAACTCCTTTTTTATATATGTTTTATATAAGAGTAAAGAAAAAGAGAGAGAGTGGAGGGGGAGGAGGAGGAGGAGAGAAGAGAATGTTACTGTACATCTAGAATGAATATTATACAAATAATTTTTTTTTCATGCAAGTGCTTGTGTTGCATAAGCAATGCCTGTCAAGACAATCCCTAAACGCCAAAGACGACCCCATAAGTTTTGCATTTCGGGTGCTCTTTTGCCTGGCTCTGAATCATCACCCGCTTCTCTACGTCTCCTGGCAGCATTAGCCATTCTTTCTCGGCGTCGATGTTCTTCTGCTGCATAATGTTTATTGTAATGCTCACTATAATTAAATCCACCTTGTGTTCCCTGTCTCATTCTCTCTGCTTGTTCTTTAGCACTTGCAGAACCTGTACTTCTTGCTCTTCTGTTCCTAAAATGCTGCCAAGCTTGCGTGTTACTGGTATTGGTCGCTCTTGACCATCTAGACGCGTTGGTCATGCCATCCCCATCATGACGGTCATTATCGTATTTTCTCTTGCTTGCTTCATTACCAAGCACAGCATAGGCTTCATTGATCTCGAGAAACATTTTATGTGCTTCCTTGTTATTTGGGTTGAGATCAGGGTGGTATTTTTTTGACAATTTGTAATAATTTGCCTTGATTGATTTCTTGTCGGCCCGTTCTGTCAACTGCAAGATTTTATAGAAATCTTTTGTTCGAGTGGCAGTAGAACTGAATGCGCGTTGGATAATCATAAGCGAAAAAAAGGGAAAAAGCAAGGGAGAATTGGAATTCAAAAAATGAATTTAATTCCACGCTCTGATTGCATAACAATCAGTTTCTTTAGGATCAAAGAAAAATGATGTCATTTAAGCAGTAGAGCAAATAATGCAGACTGAAATAGTACGACTTTTTTTTTTTTGTCTATGTCTTGGCTTATTAATATTCTAACTATTTCTACTGAATGTCATGATTTTTTCTTAAACAGGCACACAGAAAGAAACTTGTTTAAATAACCGCTTGCTCCGAAATTTTTTCTTTTTCTTTTTTCTTTCCCTCTTTCTCTCTCCTTGTTTCTATCATGACAGAGGCACAGCCTCCTTTTGACAGCCATACCATTACTTCAATAGATACACTTCGAAATAATTTCATAGATAAAGACGCTGTTGTCACTTCTGCAACTATTGCTGACCATATCAATTACCAACTATCTCAATCCTCTACATATACCCTTCATCATACCAACACCAGTCCTTCTGACATGGCTGAATCACCCATGACAGCTTTCATCAACAACCATACCTCCAATCAAGATTTAATAGACAGATCCAATCAAAATTCGGTTGAGCGTGTCTTGGAATGGTCTCCAAACAAACGTTATTGTCGACTCAACACATTACTCGGCAAAGGTGCTTTCAAGGTAGTCCATAAAGCCATGGATCTTGAAGAAGGATATGAAGTTGCCTGGAATGTCTTGCATGTAAGTAAAATTGCAATAAAAGCAAAGTTTAATCCATGGACGATTAGATTGGCCATGATAATAACAAGGATGTAAGACATGAAATAGAAATCCTCAAATCTGTGCGTCATCCCAACATTATTGCTTTTCATGATGCCTGGGTCAGTGAGAATCGTACCGAGTTTATCTTTGTAACAGAACTGATGACTTCTGGTACACTTCGGGAATACATTCGCAAACTAAACTTACCCAATCAAAAAATCGTGAAACGTTGGTGCAGACAGATCCTGAAAGGCCTTGCTTATCTCCACGGTCATCATCCACCCATTATTCACCGTGATATCAAGTGCGATAATATCTTTATTAATGGTGCCCATGGTGAAATCAAAATTGGGGATTTGGGTACGGCTGAGAATATGTGGCTGGGTGATAAAAAGTATACAGTCATCGGTACACCTGAATTTATGGCTCCAGAAATGTATGAAGAAGAAGGCTATAATGAAAAAGTGGATTTATATGCTTTTGGCATGTGTCTGATTGAGATGACAACAGGCGAATATCCTTATTCTGAATGCACCAATACAGCACAGATTTATAAAAAAGTGTGTCAGGTAAATTCATACTGCTTCTTTTTTGTCAAGCCATGAATTAATGTAGAGATATAGCATATTAAACCTGAATCACTAGCTAAGATTCATGACCAACAGGTATTAGAAGTCATCAACAGCTGTTTGTCCACGAATGAAGATGAAAGGCAAGTAGTAGATCAAACAAACTGTCGTTTAACAGGACTAGATTATCTGCACAAGAATTGTTAGAGTGTTCATTCTTGGCTGTTGAACCTGATGTAGTCATTTTGGAAAATGACCCTTTGCATACCATCGTGACTTTACAGGTCGTCTTTAAAGGGTCTGATAAACTGTCTGTTAAGTTTGAATTCAATACGGTATGTTGTCCATGTTAAACGAATGACTTATTCAAATAAACAGCAAGAAGACACAGCAGAAGAAGTAGTAGCAGAAATGGTAGATAATCTTTTGAAAAGAGGTTTGTATTGACGCTTAAATTAGATTGAAGAACAAGTATTACCAGAAAGATATCAACAGTGGATTACGAATGAAATCAACCGTATTTTACGAGACCTTGAAAAGGACGAATCTGATGCCGAGAAATACAAGCATGGAGATGGTTCTCAACCTGTTTGGCGCAGAGAGAATGATATTCGGTCAGAACTAGAGAAATCAAAATTAGAGTTGGTCAATCTAGCCAATAAGGCAGCTGATATTGAAAAGAAATGTGAGATGCTGAAACACCAAGCCATGCTTGCTGAAGAGAAAGAAAGACATCTCTTATTAGAATTGGAAAAAGCCAAGATACAAAGCGCTGAAGAATCAGATGAAGGAGAGATATCTGATCTACATAAACTCACGACAAGAGGTAGTGTTGGAGGCATTTATCCTAAACAACTCATTGTGTGTATAGATTATCCTGATGATACCAGTATTGATGTATTTGTGCATGATACAGCCAAAGCAGTCAACCGAGATCCATCTAAAGCAGAAGAATGGATTCAGAAACTCAAAAATCAAGATATTATGACTGTAGGTGATTTAAGAGAATTACTTGATGAAGATTGGTCTGGCATTGGTCTCACTGTGTTTGCTATACGAGCACTAAAAAATATGCTACAGAACAGTCATGATAACAGTACAAATAACAGTGATACTTCCATGCAACAATAAATAGTTTTGTTTGTACTACTTTAAATATTGCCAAGAGTAAACACATTACTTTTCTTTTTTCTTTTTTTTTTTTTCTTTATGACAAATCCACACCTTGAATTACCCCCACCTTCTTCACCACAGTATCCTCAGGTACCTTCTGAATTACCAAGTTATACAGCGTATGGATACCCTGTTCCACCTGCATATTATGGTACAATACCACCACCTTCAACAACAACAACACAGCCCATGCCAAGCAATCCTGTAACTCAATCCATATCTACACTAAAAGCAGATGCTGCACTTGTTCAATGTCCTCATTGTAGACAGCTTGTCTATACTGTACTCGATTATGATGCAGGTTTGTGTACTGGTCTAAGTGTGGTTGGTTTGTTTATGGCAGGATTTCATGCTGGTGGTTGTCTGATTCCATTTTTATTCCCTTGGACAAAGGATGTCACACATCATTGTCCTTCTTGCAAACAAAAGATTGCTACATTTACAAGACTTGAAAGAGATACAAGACTCAATTAAAGACTTTATTTAAGCTGTCAAGACTTGATCAAATTCTCCACTTTCAATCTATTTATATGTGAATAAACAAAACAGAGTAAAATTATACTTTACCATTTCTTTCACAATATCTAATCCACCTAACAATTCTCCCTTATAGAATAACATAGGGAAAGTGGGCCAATCAACGTGCTTCTTTAACCCTTGTCTGACATCTTCATCAGACAAGATATCAAAATAACCATACTTGACATGTCTTTCATTCAATAAAGCAACTAATTGTCTAGAGAAACCACAACGGGGTTCTTCAGGTGTACCCTTAATAAACACCATCACAGGTTGCTTTTCAATCAATTCTTGAAGTTGAGTAGACAAATCTTTTTCTTTAGGTAACACATCTTGGAATTCACCCGAGGCAATCATTTCCTTAATGATATCTAAACCACCCATCAATTCACCATGGATATAGATTTGAGGATAAGTTGGCCAATCAGAATAAGTCTTTAATCCTATGTCCTATGAGTTCGGATTCAAACACGACAACAAAGTCCATTTACCTTGACGAACATTTTCATCAGCAAGGATGTTGAATGAACTATATTTGACTTTTTGTTCAGCCAATAATTCAACCAATTGACGAGAGAAACCACAGCGAGGTTGTTGAGGAGTACCCTTGATAAAGATCATGACAGGAGCACTGTTGACAAGCGCCTTAAGACGAGCATGAAGATCCTTGACAGGCTTGACATCCGTGGCTTTATTTCCAACATCAAGACTTTCATAGACAGCGCTTCTTGCATGCTTGGCAACCGTGTTTGTTAATTCAGCTGCATTTGCACCTTCTACACGTCCAATCACTTTATCACCCTATAGGGAATGGATCAGATATGAACATAGCAAGAATTCAATACCTCTAAAAAGACAAAGGTAGGTACAGCAGCAATAGCATAGTTTTCAGAAATATCTGGGTATTCTTCTGCTTCAATCTAATCTTGATCAGTTGATGACTCCATGTTTTTTTTTTTTACCTTGATGAACTGAACTGCGGGATATCTACGAGAGAGTTCAACAAAGACTTCATTCATTTGTTGACAAGGTTCAGCCCAAGAAGCCCAGAAGTTCAAGACACGAATGGTTTTTTTCTTGGTTAAGAGTTCTCCAAACTGTGCTTCGGAATTAAGATCGATCAAGTTGCTCATGGTGATAGAAAACAAAAGAAAGAAAGAAAAAAAAATTATTTGTAGAAAAAAAAAGTAGATTGCTTTGATCTTTATCTGATTGGATAAGATATCATTTTACCATGGTATGTCACCATGCTCTATGCTTTGTTACCCAGAAAAAAATAATATCTTTATATTTACAGTTTATTATTGTTATACATCATGATTTATGCTGTAATTGAACCCTTCACACTTCGAATGATCTCGGCAACTGAAAAGTGCTTGTGTTTACTTAATGGTCTAGTAGCTTCAATACGGACAATATCACCCAACTTGCATACTCCTTTTTCATCATGAGCAAGGTAGTTTTTGTGTGTTTTGATGGTCTAGTATGATGAGTATCGCATCGTCAGGGGTCATAAACTTACTTTAAGAACAACAGGATGAAGCTTTTGAGATGCCACTTTGACCTTGACAGTCTTTTGCATAGCATTGCTGACAACCATACCAATAAAGTTCTGTCTCATGTTGGATCACTTGTCGAAAGGAAAGAAAACAAAGGGTATGGGGAAAAGGGAAAAAAATAACTGAGGGGGGTGACTGCTCCAAGTCGAATTGTATTTTTCATCAAATTTGAGAAAAATAATTTCAGTTCATGGCTAAAGGGTACTTTCATGAAAATACTTAAATTGTCAATTTTTGTTCTTCTTCTGACGCTGCAAGACGAAAAATAAAGCTATCAATGAGATTAAATACTCAGAATGATTTCCAGACGTTATATCCTTTGATGAATGTGTTTGTTTGGTAATTGTACTACAAAATAATGAGATATTAGCAAAAAACCTCGTAAAAGTTTTTGCTGTTTTCTCAATATTTCAGCAGCAAAGCTGGTGTGTTCTTTACATCAATAGACTCAAAAAGCAAAGATCTGCAACTTTTGTAGTTGCACCAAAGCCGAATAACTGCATCTTCAGACTGTTCTCAGCAAAAGCTCTACTTTTTTTAATGATTTTATTTGCCGCACGTATTAGTGGTCTCGAGAGGGACCCACTAAAAGAGGTGCTCGATAATCATTTATTATAAGAGGATTAAAAGAAACAAAAAGGGTACTACAATTTCAAAAAAACAAAGAAATCAAGAAAAAAAAAAGAGCAGCTGTTACGAGGAGAAACCTCTCAAGATGAAAGGTCATTCTCAACAGCTATTCGCTTAATTTGATATCGAGTGCTGTGAGGGACAGAGAGGTAGTGGAACTGATGACTCTGCATGGTATGAGCCCAATGGGCCTTCCAGATCTCAGAGATACCGATTAAGGTTACCATGGCTACTGAAAGAGGACAGTTGGTTTGAGCCCGAATCCGAGAAAAATTGAAGGATGCAGGTGCATCTGAAACTAGATCCAGAGAGGTGCCTGGCCACAAAAACTCTCTGATCAAGGTATCCCAGAACAGAAATTTTTTGGGGCAGTGAAAGAAGAAATGATACACCGTTTCCTGATCGCCACACAAAATGAATGCAGCAGTGGAAAAGCGAGCAGGAAAAATCCTAGACAGAAGCATACGAGTGGGAATCTTTTGGGTTAGAAATCGATACATCACGTTTCTCTGCACGGCTGTAATTGGCGTGCATCAAAAGTACTTCCAAACCGCAGAAGAAACTTCTTGCCGAGCAATGATATCAGACAAGGCAGCTTGTGTGATGACCTTACGGAAAGTATAGCCACCATTTTTGAGAGCAACAAAATTTGCGTTGTTAAATGGCAGTTTCAGCGTACGCACAAAGAAAGAAAAACCAAGAGACCGCTGTATTGCAGGAACATGCACAGGATTGTATAGGTCTAATGAAGTACGAACAAGGCATTGACAAAAAAATGGTTCCAGTTGACAATGGTTTTGATTTACTGCTTGAAATTATTTTCTAACACTAGAATTGGGATCAAGAAGCTTCGGTATTGTCCGCTGAATTGATCTATCTTCTCTCCAGAATTTCCCTGCTTTGAGATGTTCTATTTCGGCAGATTCATCTTGCAAAATAGCAATCATTTTTTCAACCTTCGGCAAAAGAGATGGTAAAATAGATGTATTTTATGATCTCGTAAGATTATGTTGCGTTTGGGTTGAAGCTTTTTCAAAGATTTGGATCGCCAGTTGTTACGCTCGATTTGGAAGGATCGAGTAAAAATGGAACTAGGCGATAAACTATAGCTATTCATAGAAGTATGCTTATGTCAGGGTTCATCATTAGCAACAAAGGCCTTACATAACTTAGATAATCAATGAACAAGCAATAATAAGAAGAAAAAGAAAAATATCAATCTTGGACTAAGCGTTTCTATTGTTATTGATGGGTTTATGATTTCATTTTGAGACCACTGAATTTAATTAAATTATATTTATAATTGCTTGAAATGAGAATTTATGAACCAAAAGAATAAAGATTATGCCAAAGTAAGATCAGACTCAACGCGCTTACTCCCATAAGTAAGTAGTAGCACAAGATGCTCTTATCCGTTTGGGAAAGCTGCCTTTATCTTAGATACCGATTTACAAGGTTTGATTGGATATGAGGGATCATTATTAGGTACTCCCAAGTTCAGATCCGGACAAGTCCTTACGGCTTTTCAAGCCTGGTTCAGCGGAATTCCTCAGATTTGAAGGGATTGGGCTCATATACTACTCAAATAAAAAAAAGTTATAGAGCCCTTACGACTTGTCCGGATTTGAATTTGAGAGCTCTTCTACACATTCCTCTGCTTCTCTCCTTTCATTTGAATGAATTTCCTCGTCATATGATTTATTCATTTGCCTTTACCTTTTGTCCTAAAAGGGTTCTTAGCTTCTTTTACTTTACATTGACCTGGCTAGAGCAATTCAGTTTTTAAAATGTTCATAAGCCATAGTGATTATAAAGTCTATACTTGATCGTACAAAGTATTGCCCAATGACAAAATCTACCGTAAATGACGTTAGCTGATGTAAAGGAATTACTACTACCATTTATGGTGGTACTGCGTATCGCAATCTCCATTTAAAAGCATTGTTTAGCTTAATAATTACGTATCTCTGTAATTTATAATCCAACTAGACATCTGGGTTGTACATTGAATAGGTTTGCGACTCAGACCTGTTAATGGGATTCGAGAAAGTGCGTTGACGAGAGTATTTTGTTAATTTCGCCATTTCAATCTAATTTCATTGGCCAAGTTGTCATCTCCATGTCCTAATTAGGTACAAGTCGTTGCAAGGCTATCAAAAAAAAACTCTCCATATATAAAAAGAAAAAAAAAGTGGAGCGACTCTCTCTCTCTCCTTTCTATATTATTCTTTAATTTAATTACAATGCCTTCTACTACATACAATAACAAAATTCAATCTAGTTCAGATCTAACACCTGAAACCTTAGAGCGTTTAAATGAATACCTCTCAACCTTAGAACCTAAAGAAATCCTTGAATGGGCCATCAATTGCTTGCCCAACTTGTACCAAACCACTGCCTTTGGCTTGACCGGCTTAGCCACACTCGACATGATTAACAAAATCAGCATTGATCGCAACCAACCTCACTGTGTTCCATTGATCTTTTTGGATACACTTTACCACTTTAAAGAAACATTGGACTTGGCCGAACGCTGCCAATCTACTTACAATGTTCCTCTTAAAGTCTATAAGCCCATGAATGTCTCAACTACTGCTGAATTTGAAGCTGAATACGGCGAAAAATTATGGGAAACTGATGAAGACTCTTATGATTATCTTGTCAAAGTCGAGCCTGCTCGTCGTGCCTATGAAGAACTTGGCGTGAAATCTGTCATCACTGGTCGTCGTCGTAGCCAAAAAGGTGACCGTGAAGCCATTCCCATCTTGGAAGTAGATGGTACTGGTCTTATCAAGTTGAATCCTCTTGCTTACTGGGACTTCCAACAAGTCTGGACATATATTCGCGCTAATGAAGTTCCCTATAATGCTCTCGTTGATCAAGGCTATCGTTCTATTGGTGATTGGCACTCTACACATGCTCCTGTTAATGGCGATGAACGTTCTGGCCGTTGGTCTGGCCAACAAAAGACGGAATGTGGTCTTCATAAAGATTACTTTAAAATGCGCGCTGCTTTCATGGCTTCCAAGAAGAAAAGAGAAACTCAAGTTCAAAATGCTATTACCGCCTAAATATCTATTTCTCATTTTTTCATAATCTCGCATTTACATACATATCTCATCTTAACTATTATTTATTCCTCGATAGTATCTGTAAATATTCTCTTTTTAATAAAGAACTATATATTTCTTTTATTTTGCATTGATAAGATACCAACTTTCTCTACATTCTACGGCTTGCTTTCTAACAAGTCGTTTCTTATCGTCCAAAGGTAACGCAATGGCTTTTAATGTGCTCTTGACGTAAGGCAGAGTAATGGTATGAGAAACTTTTGTGGCCACCAACCCAATGCATTTCAAGGCAGCTATTCTCACCTGCATTGGGTTTTCTTCAGGTCTTGTCAATGAAATGAATGAAGGCAAGAGTGTGATAATATGCTTTGACACAATATCTGTTGCTTCACATAAAGCAAATTGAAACATATTCAAGGTAGACAGTTTCAATGTAGTATCCGGAAAAGATAGAGATTCAATCAGCAAAGGAACAAGCTATCTATGTAAGAGAGAACATCTTTCACATATTACACATACCGGAGGAAGTTGATTCATAAGGATAGAGCGAGGCACATTCTTCAACAGATAAGCAATGGCAACTAAATAGTTTGACTTTTCGTCTATTTGATTATCAGTAAAGATCAGAGAAGTAGGCTTGTTACCTTTGGTAGATGCGTTATTAAACGTGCTCAACAGTTTTGGCAATGCATAGTTCATGAACTTTTGTTTGTAAAGCAGCTAAAAACTAAAGTTAGTTGGCAATGTAGATAAAGTTATATCTGCTTACGGAAATAACAGCAAAACATTGGTTGTTCAGACAAAGAGGATCATCGCCAATTAATATATCAAAACTGTTTGAAGCTTGACGGCCAAGCTTGGTATCACGAATCCACTGTAGTATCATGTCGGTCATTTCAATGCCATTCTTACGATAACGCATAACTAACGCCTTAGCCACCTAAAGAAAAAAAGAATGGTCAGCAGAAAAAAAAGGAGGAGGCTCAAGAAACTCACCCAAACATAAATGGTCAATGCTGAACTCGACTTTTCATCTTGAACAAGGTTCTCTAGTCTTTTTTTGAGATAATTTATATAACTATCTAAAGCATCGGCTATAAACATAAAAAAAGTTAATTTTACAGTGTTGGATAAGGATAGACTACCTTGTGTCCATTTATTGATTACAGAAGCAATAATTCGACAAAATGCAATTATTTGCGTTTGAAAAGTACTTTTGAGTGCTTCTTCTATCATGGGGTCTAGAAATGCTTGATTGGATTCTGTAGGTAGAGAGGTATCTTTGCGCATGGATGAAATAATGGTAGCAAATAACTGAGTGCATGCTGCCTGAGCTTCAGGTGCATTTGAGGAAAGAGGACAAAAGTCAGTCTTGTCAAAGAGGTTTTCTTGTTTAAAGTGTTTAAAGTATTTGTCAACGTAGCTTCTTTGTTCTCTATACATACAGTAAGTTCAGCTTAGTTCTTTCTTTTTTATGACATACTCTGTCTTCATGTTTCTCATGACAATAAGAATAATAAGGTTGATGGCTTGCAACACTTCAGGATTCAGAATAATGACTTGATCCTTGATGGAAGATGAGTCCATGACAGCAGACTCAATGGATGAAATGAGACTGGGTAAAAGAGTGTCTGCACAGAGGTGAATGTCCTTTTGTTTTTCATTGTTTCTTGTTTCTAAAAGCAATAAAAGAGTACGAGCAACTTCCAACGCATATTTTCTATCTTTGTCTAATAAAACACATATAAATCAATCTTAAATATGACACATATGCATCAACTTACTATGACTACAGATGTAGATAAACTTTGTCAATAACTTTTGTTCAACTGCGTTATAGATTGGAGTAGGACAGCAAATTTTTTGAATTGTTTTGAGAGTGAGTTTATGCGATACTAGATTACTTTTATCATCCATTGAAGAGAAATCAGGTAGGATACTGATTAACATGGGCATTGTAATGTCTTTGATGAGTAAAGGATCAAAATGAGATATTTCCAACAGTGACATTTCAACAGATGATCTTAGTTTCTCTTCTTCTTCAGCCTCTAGTACGCTGCCTAATGTTTGAACACAAAGAGCTCTCTACAAATAAAGGATCCCTGTAAACAAATGTTTTTTTTTAAAGAGCTTGTCTTTTTGTTACCTGTTCTCTTTTCATGTATCGTCTCAATACACAGAGTAAACCTAAGCCAAGAATGCCCATAAGACGAAATTCAGGATGCTCATTTCTCTCTTTGATTGCAAGTGTAAAGTTTTCAATCATACGTGTCTTGTAAGAAACCAGAACTGAATCATGATGAACTTTGATCATGTTAAATTGTTGGTAAAATAAAACAAAATACTTTACCATTTTCTTCATCTTCATCGTTCTCGCTTACTACATCATATACAATCTTTCTAGCTTGAATGATAGCAACCATAGTACATAGTATAAAATAACGTTCGGAGATGCCCTTGTTTTCTCTATATAATCTCAGTAGTTTTGGCAACACTGTATTTTCAATTAAAGCATAAGCAAAGGCTATTAGAAGAAGTGAGTATTCATGCAAATATTTTAATTGTTACTTACGTGAAGCAGAAGCTATAGCACGTAATACCAGGCTAGCTGGCTTTACACTGTCTTCATCTAATTCATCTAAAAGAAGAACACAATCGTCTATAAGTGATTTTAATACTCGTGTAACATCAGCTTCTTTGACAGCTTCGCTGGTTGTGATTGCTTTGGTCAAAGCAGTAATTGCATCCAAAGAAGGTTCTCTTAATCCAGGATCAGGATCCCCACTCAAAATTTCAATCTTGATAGAATCAAGCAACCTTGTACCCACTAAAATGAGTTCATGAACAGGATAGACGGATGCACAGGCTGTCAAGGTTTCCATAGCATCTTTCTGTTGATTTGTATGAATCGCCTGCAAAGTCGAAATGATACATACCTTGGCACTTCCAGACATGGTTGACAGTTTCTTCAAAAGTAATGGTATAGCATATTTTGAAAATAAAGATGTTGATGCCATACATTTTCTAAGTAATCCGATTTAGGTACATGCATTTTGTTAAAGACCGCACAAACCTTAAGCTTAATTTGAGGTCTTTTGCAGTGATTCCATATGGATTGTCTGGTGGCGGTCTAAACGTGATAGGAAAGTAACAAAACGTAGCATCAAACAAATCCTAAATAGAAAAGAAATTAATGAGGCATATTCAAACAAACAACCTACCTCAACATGATTAGAAATATCAAGTGAGTTCACCATCTTAAGAATGGTAGCATAAACTGTGATCAAGTTGCGCGGATCTTTTTCGCCTGTGATAGACTGAATGAAACCAGATATAAATTCGTCTGTCATGGCTTTTACGTCTGTTTATAATTGCATCAGTATATGACTCCCATCTTTCCATACGATGTGTACCTTTGCAGTGGTAATCCAATAAGTTCTCAAATACTTGAATAGCGGCATTTCTGGTAATGTGCGGGAACGATTGAATCTGAACTTGATGTACTAAACTTGAAATTGGAAAAAAAAAGTCAGCAAACATACATAATGAAAAGAAAATAGAAACAACCTTTGTAGAATAACTTTGGTGCAATTGGCATTTAAATGATCAAACTTGCTTGTAAGAATAGCAAGGCCCGGCATCAAGCTAGGCACAGTTGCTTGATCTGTCAATCGACTGCAATAGAAATTGACAAGAACAAATACTATACACCTATTATAAGTGCATTCCTTTAAAGAAAAGCTTACTTGTAGATTCATCGAGCCGTTCAGAACCTTCCACAACGCAAGTCAACAATCCGATAGCTTCAAAAAAAAAAAAGATGAGTATTCAATCATTCGAGATTTTTTCTTTTTTTTTTGGATGCTACCTCTTGAACGAATCGTATCATCTTTATGCGTGAAGTATTTGTCCAATAATTGAATTAATTCCAACATACTGGAACTTGTTTCTTTATTGTTTACAACTGTTAATAGCATGAGTGTCAAAATAAAACATTTTAGTCTTACGTTCAATAATATTGTTGATAACATCATCGCTTTTATTTTCTGATATTATGTACTTTTTAATAGACGTATCCATAGTGCAAAAGAAAAGGAGAAGAAAGAGAAAAAGGAAAGAGTGATAAAAAAAATAGACGGAGTGTAAAGATAACAGCGATAGGCAACCCAGTGGGCACACACAAACATAAGTCTTTGTGACCGTAAAACTGATATTTTAAATGGCTATCTTCTCTTTATAAGAAACTGTACCTTATTACATAAGGATCTATTTCAATTGATATTTAGATCTTTTGCATCGATCAAACCATCTCTTTTTAGTTAAAAAAAATTGACTCCTTATTCGTTAAATCATTAACATAAAAAACCGAGTTGATTGCTACAGGTACTTCAGCAAATGCTGATCTTTACAAAGCAAGTCTCAATGGAACTCTCTGAAGCCAGGTAACTCTATTACGAATATAACTTTTGTTTATCAATAAAGATAAATGTATAATCTGAGCTCTGCTTTAATTGAAACCGGGAAATGTAAGGGCAGTCACTTAAAGAGATACAGAAAAAAAATGCCTGGTAATTTCGAAACTTCTTTTTCCCTCTTTACTTTCAAAAAAAAAAAAAAAAAAACAAACAATGGCAAACATATTTGTGGTGAGTTTGCTTCTAATAAAAGCCAGAGAAAAAGCTTATGCATTATCTAGCAAGCTACAAAAACATCAGCCCTACTTTTTCCCAAGCGAACAATAGCTACTGGTTTGATTTGTCAATGTAATTATCCATTCATTTTCTGTTTGATTTGCTGACATGATATAGCTAAAGCTAAAAAGACCGCATGGTCCGAGAACTTATCTGCACCAGTTGCTGCTGATATGATTGGCACACCAGACCCTATCTCAAACCTTCGACCTGTCAAATATTACATACCAACTGATGAAACAGAACAAGTAAGGATGATAGCAATTACTCGAACTATATTCACTAAAAACCTTGCAGGAAAAAGAATGGAGAGAATCATGCCAGAAAGTAGATGCTTTTAATGAAGAATTTTGGCATAAAAACAATACTTTATTTACACAAGCCAAAGCAGATTACGAAGCAGAATGTAAGTCAATCGAGGTGAAATGAAAAAAAAAATACTGAACTATCCAAGTGAAAGCAAAAGGACAAGAAATAACTGCCGAAGCCATGTCTGTCTTCTACAAGGACTTTTTGGATAAAGCTTATGATCGTCAAATGGAATACAACCGTGCTTGGTGGAGAATGAATATTGCTCAATTATACCCTGGATTCAAAGCAGCATTACGCTCCCTGAAATCGGAAAATCATCATGCAACTCAACAAATAAGCAGTAAAGAATTTAGCTTTTGGGAAAAGAGTTTTGAATCATAGAATAAAACTATTTATTTCGTTATAAGTTGGCACCAGAGTTTCTTAACAAAATCTTGTTGACTCGACTAGCCTCCATGTATTCCTTGACAAGGCCACTAATCCCTTTGAATTTTTCATGCTTGGCATCCTTAACCAATTGGAAAAGAACAGATTCCGAGGTAGTAATAACAGCGCCAGCAGATCTCATGCGCTACGGTAATTTAATTAACCCTTATTGGTGTCTGTGTTTTTACTTACAGCAATAGCAATGTCAATTTCGGGATGATTTTGAGAGGAAACAGCATCTGCGAGAACATGAACATCATAGTCATTCTCAAGAAGTTCAAGTGCCGTTTGAAGCACACAAACATGGCTCTATAGAGACTTGCTTAGTATTCCATTCAACCGTTTAACCGAAAACAAGATACCTCAATACCAAGCAATAGGACTGATTTCGTGCTGTTCTTTTTCAATACATCAATTACTTCAGGAACGTACATGCTGAATTTGGTCTTTTCAACACACAAAGTCGCGTCCGAAATATCGAGTTCAGAGACAGTGGGACCAAATGCTATAAAAAGTTTAACCCATTAGTTCAAAGGGGATAATCTATACCTTTGGGATACTGTTCAGTCACTACAATTGGGATGTTTAAAAGCTTACTAGCCTTGATCTATAAGGAATTTATATTAACAAAGCAAATATTAAGTCATCATTGTTTACCATCTTTCCAGCAACAGTAATAACAGAAGGATACTGCCAAATAAGACCCTTGAAGCGTTCTTGTATATCACAAACGAACAAGGCAGTTGTTTGAGGGGCTAATTTTGCCATTCTATTGATGGACATATTTGGTGGGAAAAAGGGAAAAAAAGAAAAACGATTAGACTTGTTTCTGCAAGTATAAAGAAAAACTGAGTCTGAAGTATCGAATATAGCCGACTCATACTTTAAAATGCATAAATTTTTACTGCATAATGAATAGGACCTCTTTTCTATATACACATGAAATTAAAATAACGAAAATGCATGTTATCATACAAACCATGCTTAAGGATAGTACTGTCTTGGTTTCCTGTTTACAGAAAAGACATACTCTTTCTGAAACGGAACCGTAATGGAAGCGTTTGTGTACCTTAAAAATATCCAAAGATGCTAAGACCTGTACGACAAAACACTCTGGAGAAGCAGCATCTGATTTTCAACAATCACTCCTGCAAGAGTGCGATGTTGTCTTTTTTCCGCAAATTTGTTTTCCGTATTTAATACAAAAAGAATGTTAGAATAACACTTGTGATTACTATTATTGCACAAACTCACTATAAAAAGACAATTTTAATTATTGTTTGCCAAGGTCTCCGCTTTTCCTGAGGTAAGCTGTAATGTTGGATTAACATATTAATAATTGCTGTTCAGGAGATTAACAATGCAGATTCTATTCTTTGATATTATTATAGACGTGATATCAACGGATTTGTCCTCCTTAAAAAAATAGATATTTAAACACTCTCTTCCCTTCTTTTCTTTTTCTTTTTCTTTTTAACTCTTGATAACTTAATGACACCAGTCAGCATCTTCACCAAAGTAAATGGAACTCAAGACGATTATCTTTTGAGCTTGCATTCAGTACGTGACAGATGTTTCAAAGTTCAAGAAGCAGCAGGAAAAAATAGGCTTCAACATTTTGATATTGATGCCTCAAAATTAAACGATATGGCACAATTTGTGATTGCTCTTATTAAACGAGACTATGACGATCCTTCTAAAATTCCAGTTTATGGTTGTTGGCGCCACTTTGATACAGGTGGACGTCCTCGTATTCAAACATTAATAAGTACTTGGGCTAGTCTCGGTATTGATCGCACTGAACAGACCAGACGGGTTCTGGACTTATTTGTCCTTACTGTCTTGCTTGATTTTGATCCCGGCAATCAATACGTATTTCGAGAATCAACTACAAACATTGCACTCAAGAAAAGAGAAGGTATTGCTGTAGCCATTCTAGAAATGTTTGTGCAAGGCGTTTTTTCCACAAGCCCTAATCAACCTCATCGAGTGGACTGTAAGTATTCTATAAAAGGCTTCTTTTATTAACAAAAAGCACAATAGCGGAAGCATTGATGCATTTGACTCTACAAGATTTATTGACTGGGTTCAAAGTTGTTTCCCCTGAAACGTTGATTGGTTTAAAGGAACGGTTTGAACTCTTAAAGCACCTGGCTCAAGTACTACAACGCCGTCCTGACTACTTTAGCGGAGAAGAAGGTCATATTCCGCGGCCAGGAAACATGATAGGTAAGAGAAGCAAGTGCTTAAGGAGGAACATTTTACTAAATAATACAATAGATTATCTTGTATGTCATCCGACTACTATCAAGACCAAAAAAGGACTCTTAATTCATTTAGAAACACTTTGGCCAATTGTTCTTGAGATGAGCGAGTTGTGCATAAAAAACGATGGTGCAAATCAATTAGGAGATGTCTGGACATATCCTAGTATGGGCTCAAGTCAATCTATCTCATTTCACAATCTTTCTCAATGGATGATTTATTCTTTAATCGAACCTATGGAAAAACTTTTGGGGGCCGTATTCGAAGGAACCGAACAACTTACACCTCCTTCTAATTATTCAAATGGTAAGAAAATCTTTACTTTGCTCCTGAATGCTCAACAATCTTCATTCCCTTTTTTTGTATTAATATAGGTGGTCTTTTGATAGACTGTGGCTTTATTACATTGAAGAAAAAAGACTATGAACGAGGTATAGCCATGTATCGTCAAAATTCCCTTTTACCTGGCCAGCCCAAGGTAGAAGTGGCACCTATGTTTGAGGTATCAGACCCTGTTGTAGTGGAATGGCGAGCACTAACTACTGCTTATGTGGATTTGATTGCTGAACGTGTAAGGTCCGTTTTGAAAATGAGTAAAAAATCATTATCGTTGTCGCAAATTATCCAAGGTGGCACTACTAGTGTAAGTACAGTTTGAAACTAAGGAGAACTAACATTCATGATTGTGTAGGCTGGTAGAGAATTGGCAGAGATTTCTCGTCCTAATACTCAAGAACCCCCAATTATTATTAAAGTAAGTGACATAATAAAAAAATTTCTGAATTGACCCTGATCATAGTGTACTGAAAATAATTTCATAAGTATGTAAAATACTCTAATAATGATAAGATAAAAATAAAAGTTACTCCTTGATTTTCTTTTGTCATATGAAACATTTTACTCCATATAAGTTTTGCCACGTAAACCTTGATAAAGGGTGCATGATTCGTAGCACCAAAACTATAATCTACGTTCTACTAAAAACAAACATCACTCTCTAGGTCAAGGTATCATCAATGACGAAACTTATATGGTCTGTTATTGGTGGAGCGTTTTCTGTATGCAAAGCAAGGCAAATTCAATTATTGATCAAAGGCAATGATTGGCTACACAAACAGTTACACTAACAGTATGTAATTCTTGGAAAAGGATCTTACGATGAACAATGCTCATAAGAATTATACGCGCATTAGTTACAAGATACTAAAAGGAGATTCTTCTTTTTTTTTTTACTTAAGTTCTTTGCTGAAAAACAGTGTAAAAAATAAAGCATAAATGTTACTGATCGGAGATCAGCAAATCAGCATAGCTCGCAATGTTGATTGGTTGTTAATTTGCAGTGGATTGCGTTCAGTCCAATCCGATTGCTCCAAAAGATTGAGAAAGAGATCTAACAGGGTTGTTTGATAAAGAAAATAATGAATGATTTCGCAAAAACAATCGGTTTTTTCAGACAATAATTTATCTCTGATCAATGGTTTATGCTTTAGCAGTTATATTCGTATATTACTATGCAGAGTTGACAAATGGGTAGCTTTTTCGGTTTTGTTTACAGCATGAAAAAAGATCAAGATCATCAAAGCCAGATTAAAAGTCACATCGTTTAAGGTACCATTAAGTGTTTAAATAGACTTCCAATCCCCTTTTTATTCCCTGTTTTTTCTTACTCTTTTAACCACTTGCAACGCATTTTAGCACTCATAAACTTGCAATTGAATCAGTATGAAAGTCATTGATAAGATTAACAAAGCCGAAGAAGAAGGACGTCCTTTCTGGTCCTTTGAATATTTCCCTCCAAAGACGTCTCAGGTAAAAAGATAATGCATTTAAAAAAATGAGTTGACATTTAATGATTAGGGTGTCCAAAACTTGTATGATCGCATGGAAAGAATGCAACGTTATGGTCCTGAATTCATTGATGTTACTTGGGGTGCTGGTGGTACCTCTGCCGATTTGACTACCGAAATCGTTGCTACTGCTCAATCTGTTTATGGTTTAGAAACCATGATGCACTTGACTTGTACCAACATGCCCAAGAAGCAAATTGATGATGCTTTAGAAGTAAGCCTAAATGTCATCAGATGAATTCAGTATATTTATGCACTCTTATTAGGCTGCCAAGAATTGTGGATGTCAAAACATTCTCGCTTTGCGTGGTGATCCTCCTAAGGGTCAAGCCAATTGGGAATCTTGTGAAGAAGGTTTCGAACATGCCATCGACCTTGTTCATTACATTCGTGAAAAATACGGGGACTATTTTTGTATTGCTGTAGCTGGTAAGTGTATAAAAAGAAAGGCTCAAATAGATAATATACTAACTATAAAATAAATAGGTCATCCCGAAGGTCATATTGATAACCCAGACAAAGAAGATGATTTGCTGCAATTGAAAAAGAAGGTCGATGCTGGCGCTGACCTTGTTGTTACACAACTCTTTTTCGACATTGATGCCTTTATTCAATTCTACAAGAAGGCTCGTGCTATTGGCATCCAAGTACCCATCTTACCTGGTGTCTTCCCTATCCAAAACTACACTGGTCTTAAGCGTGTCATTTCCTTCAATAATAACTTTGTTCCTCAAAAGATTTGGGATGATCTTGAATCCATTAAAGAAGATGACATTGCTGTCAAAGAATACGGTATTAACTTGACTGTCGAATTCGTCAAGAAGTTCCGTGAAGTTGGCATCAATGGTTTCCACATCTATACATTCAACTTAGAACGTTCATCTCGACTTGTATTGGAAAGACTTGGATTGGTTGCTCCTGTCGAAAACATCAAGCCTTTGCCCTGGAGCCCTTCTCTTACTACCAAGCGAGCCAAAGAAAATGTCCGTCCTATCTTCTGGAAGAATCGTACCAAGAGTTACATTCAACGTACTGAAACTTGGGATGAATTCCCTAACGGCCGTTGGGGTGATTCTCGCTCTCCTGCCTTTGGTGAACTCGATGGTTGGGGTGTTAATCTCAAGTACCCTGTAGAACAATGTCTTCAAATGTGGGGAGCTCCTAATACCATTGATGATATTGCCCAAACTTTTGCTCAATATTGTAAAGGCCAAATTGCTGGTATTCCTTGGAGTGCTCAACAATTAGATGCTGAAACTGAAATCATTCGCCAACGTTTGGCAGCCATCAACTTGTTAGGTTACTTGACCATCAACTCTCAACCTGCTGTCAATGGTGCCAAGAGTTCTGATCCTGTGTATGGCTGGGGTCCCAAGAATGGTTATGTTTTCCAAAAGGCTTATCTTGAATTCTTTGTTTCTCCTGAAAAGTTAGATGAATTGATTGAAAAGATTGGCAAGGACCATCAAGTAACTTACTATGCCATTAACAAGCAAGGCGATCTTCGTACAAACACTCAACATGACGAACCTAATGCTGTCACTTGGGGTGTCTTCCCCGGTAAAGAAATTGTTCAACCTACTATTGTTGAAGCTGTTGCATTTACTGCTTGGAAGGATGAAGCATTTGAACTCTGGAACAGATGGGCTCGTATCTATGAACGTGAGAGTCAATCCGCCGAATTGATCTTGGACATTACTAACAACTGGTATTTGATTAATATTGTCCACAATGATTTCCAAGACGAAAATGGTATCTGGAAATTGTTTGATCTAGAAATTGATGGCGAAATTTCTCGTAAATTATTACAGTCTACCACTGTTGCACGATAGATTTATGAATTGTAACTGTATTCAACATGCCTACTCCCTTTTTTTTATATGTATACATACTTTTTTGTTATTTATTTCTTGTCATATAGTATTCAACTACCCTATTATTTTTCTTCTAGTTATTCATGATTCCCCCCCCCCCCACAGCGTTGTATAAAACAATAAAAAAAAGACTTGGTTGCCAATGCATGATTAATGTGACTTGAAACCGGGGGAAACTTTTTCCAGTGGTGTTTTGATTTCCCTTTAATAAAAACTGATCCACTGTGAACTGTTTTTCTTTTTCTTTTTCTATCTTAACTAGATATGAAGAAGAAACAGGCTTCAAGCGATGAGTCGATTGAAGGCAGAAAAGGGTATCTTTTGATAGTATTTATTGCAACTCTAAACTTTATTTCAAATTAGCTTTTTTGAAATGTCTCTGGGAGGTGATTATCATTTTTCTTATTCGCCAAAAGCTACAAACAGGAGTAATGATGATACAGCAGAAGCCAGACCGCATCCTAACACACCTGGGCTTACTAATGATTATATAAGCAGTAGCAGCGATAGTAGTGGGAATGAGAGTGATACTGACATCACAGATCATGATCCAAGCTTCTCTTCGAATCTAGAACAGGTGCCCTCTATTATACCCGATAAAAAAAATTCCCTCTCGAAAAAGTCAACTGCATCTCCCGAGCACATGTCGCGCAAAGAAAAAGCTTTAAGTTATCTCCAGAAAAAACTTCCAGGACGACTCGTTCGCCGCGCTTTAAAATGTACGCTTGCTTTTTTTATCTCGACTTTATTTGGTGTGGTGACTCCCTTGGCCCAGACATTTCAGCCAGCACCATATATCGTTTGCGCAGGCTGCTTGCTGAGTCATCCAGGCCGCACATTAGGAGCTCAATTAGATGCTACTTTGGCTTCCATCGTTGGTACTATCATTGGCATCATTTATACCTTAGCTGGCGTTGCTGCGGCAACAAAGTACAATATAGACCATCCTGGATCGTCTGCAGGTACAGCCATCAATTGTGCGTTCTTGATGTTTGGTGTATTCTTTGCTCAAATTGTTCGTCAAAAGGCGCCCAAGCTTTTTTTCTTTACCATACAGTTTCTGGTGATTGTCATGTTTTCAATGACAAGTAGCGCAGGCAATACAGAAATGCATTTATCTTTATCAAGCCAATATGGTATACCCTTCTTTATTGGTACTTTTGTTTCTCTTGTAGTGAACCTGTTTTTATGGCCTGAAACTGCTATGGATGGATTAGGTATATTTTATTTGATGACATGAATTTGATTTCTAAACTTTATGTTTCTTAGGACGTGCATTAAATCAAACCTTATGTGACACAAGAGAGATGCTTGATACGATCACTCGACAATTCTTCCTAGATCCAGAATCACCGATGGTTCCTGCGCATGTTGTGGATGAATTAGCTGCGAAAATGCGGCAAGGCATGGTAAAAGTCAATACAGCTTATAAGGAGGCCAAATATGAAGTTGTGTATGCATATACTTGCTCTTCAGACCTGAACTCTTTACGTCGATCGCTTGATATGATTACACGACACTTGAATCTTCTTGGTTCTAACTTAAAGACGGAAAGAATATTGTTTAAAAGCGCAAGCTCGATTTCTAAACATCAGGAGGAGATTGTTACTGATTCTTATCAACCAATTGAAAATGATTGCTTGCATCAATCTGTTCGCGATGCTGTCAATAGCTATCTTGAGGATGGAACGTACCATGCTTCTATTAAACCACATGATTATCATAGGAAGGAATCTTCTCAAAGTGATACTGGTCATAGTGAAAGCAGCACTAATGACGAAAACATATCAAAAGAGCCCCGTATGAAAGAAGGCTCTAAATCTAAGTGTCACACAACGCCTTTGAAACGATTCTCTGAGCCTCAAAATATGGGACATGAAGAAGGCAGCAAGGAAAAAAGAAAGGGCCATGTTCACTCCTTATCGACCGATGATGCAAATCAAGAAACAATCTCTTCAGTAAGGTCATTTCTTAACCTTGCCAAATTATCAGTTTCAGCTCCAAAGCCTCCACCAAAGTCAGAAAAGAAACTCGAATCTACTTCAAAGCGGTTGATGGTAACCTATCTTGATACCTTGCGCGATCCCTTGATTTCATTGGCAGCCGAATGTGCTCTGGTCCTTGACTGTATACGTGATAGCTTATGCGATCAACTTGACATATCGAATGACGATGATGCCTATGTTCAACACAAAAGTGTTTGCAGTTATTTGCTTCACTTGCTTAAAATCAAGACAGTCAATACTGAGTTTTACCTTAAGTACCTTGAAAGAAAGAAACGAAACGCATCATTTCTCTGCAGTTGTGCGGATACAATGCGGTATCGAATTAAACAGTTTGACAAGTGTCAAAAGATAAGAATGCAAGCACTTTATAGACTCAACCAGACACATCTGCACCAACAAAAACTGGATTCGGGTCTTCAAGAAGATTTGTTTCTCATCTTTTTCTTCATCTTTACCATGAGGGAAATCGCATTGGGGCTAGGGCAAATGGCAAGAGATATGCGCAAAATTCAAGAAAAAACACAACAGGAAATACGCTCCAGTAAACGACAAAGTAGAAAAAAGCATCTTTATATGCCTCAGGTGACTATCCAAACTTGGAAGAAATGGTTCTTATCAAACAACTATCGAAATGTCTTGGATCGTGGTGGCTACTCATTTTCGTATTTCCAGAATTATATGCCTGCAGATATTGAACCAAAAAATGCAGAGGAAGAATATCGTTTATCGAAAATAACAACAAACCGAAACAACCAAACATTGCAAAGCGATTTGGAAAACAGAAATGTAAATGTTCATGAAGACGATACAGAGGAATTGACACAGATGCGTCATAGAAAAAAGACACAGGAATATAATCTTTCAAGTTTAGCAAAACTAGAATCAGGGCCTTCTTCATCTCTCAAGGAGACAGAAAAAGTACCTTTCATTTTACGGTTTCGATACAGATTATGGTTCCTTTTACAATTTTTTCAGAACTATGAATTCAGATTTGCTTTAAAAATGTCAATAGTAGTAGGCGCCCTCACTATACCAGCATGGATACCCAGCACAAGAGAATGGTTTGCAGCAATTCGTGGACAATGGGCTGCTTTGACGGTAAGTCGAAGTAAATCTTTGTAACCAAAAAAATAACAATATCGATTGTATAGGTTATTTGTATTATGAGCCCCACAAGGTAAGCAATTCTTCTACTAAAGAAAAAAAAATAACTAAAAGTTTAGTGGAGGAACCTTATCCGCTGGTCTTTGGAGATTAGTTGCTACTCTTGTTGGAGGGTTTTGGGCTTGGGCAGCATTGGAAATTAATAGTACAAGTGGAGCACTCTTATCTGGGTTTGGTGTGATACTAGGTAACAGTAAACTGAATTAACATAAGAAAAAAAAAAGACTGACTTGGGCCTTTTCGTAGCCATTCCATTGTTCCTTATTCACTTTTCAACATCTTATAGTAAAGTTGCATTGATTTCACTAGTAACTTATGTGGTTATTGGCTTTCAGTCTGCTTCGCCTATAAGTTACCCAGAATCTATCGCAACTATGGTTTGGTATGTACAAGACTAAGCAATAAGTATATGAGTTAACATGTAATTAAAGGCAAAGAACTACAACTCTTGTTATTGGCTTAGTTGCCGCTCTGCTTCTTAATTGGATGGTTTGGCCATTTGTAGCTCGAGATGCTGTTCGAAAGACATTAGCAAGTGCTATTGGCGATTTAGGCGACTACTATGCCTATGTAATGGGTACTTTTCTTTATCATGATGAAGGCTTGTTTCCCACCATAGACGAGTATAAAGAAGCTGAGAAAATTGAGCGCAGACTAGAAAGCATGCTGACTACGTGTGGTGTCTTGCTTGAACTGACGGATCATGAGCCAAGACTAAAGGGCCCATTCCCAAAAGAATTTTACAGAGAAATGATTACATCTTGCATGAATATGCTTGATTGCCTTGTTTCTATGAGAATAGCTTTTCTAAAAATGTCACCAAGCGTAAAAAAAACTGTATGGAGTCTGGATCAGAACTTTTATCGAAGAGATATGGTACGAAAAATGATAGACAATTTTTAGTGTACTTACTCATTAGTGACTAGGTTGCATCAATTCTGCTACATTTTTATACTCTTTCTGCATCTTTAAGAGCAAAGATTCCTTTACCGTCCTTTATGCCATCTGCCAGACAAGCTAGATTGAAAATATTGCATCGTCGACGTCCAGAAGACCGTCCAAAAAAGCTGCTTCGATATCAGAACCTGACTTGGTTTTCTATGAGTTTTTCAACCGAAGAACTTATCGAGGAACTTGAGCACTTGACAGAGTTAATTCGTTTTATCGTAGGCGATTCCAGGTTTACCTCGAAAGCGAGACGACTTGAAAAGAGCAGAAAATTCCAAATTTATGAGTAGTTTTTTTACATGTATTTTAGGAATCAAAGCGTTTTTTAAAACAAATTATTAAAACAGAATTGTTTACTATCTTTTGATTTACTATCTAAGGTGAAGGCATTCGCTTGAAGTAATATTGTTCTCTTTTTCTTTTCAATAAAAGCTAATTATGATAATGCTTGAACTCTTTAGAAGGCAAACGGAATTACTAATGAAAATATAAATAATTTTCTGCTCTGCAACTCTCTGTTGTTCAAGCAGGGTACTATTCGTCAATTGGGTTTACAAGTGCCGTAGAATGATCGATTCGATAAACAAGGATTGTTGTACACGGCATAACCAATAAGCAGATCAAAGTATTTTTGTGTAAATGGAGAGCCACGATTTCTGTTTATTTGTTTATAACCTTTACTATGAAATTGCCATTGTCTAGCTTACTTGCCCTTGTTGCCTCTCGATTGATATCTTCCGTTGCTGCACACTCATACTCGGTTACTGTTCATCCTCCCAGCACAAACTCAAACCTATACACATACTGCGCTTAATAAAGCTCATGTGTTTAAACTTGCATGTAATCCTCTATTGCAGAGTCGCTTATATTCTCCACTCCAATTGTTGCTGCAGGTTGTAAGCCTAGTGAGCCTGCAACTGCAGTTCAAACTGTAAACCCTGATAGTACAGTGCTCGATCATCTTATTGTTCAGGATACTGGCGACTTTGCTCCTTGCGTTTATACCAGAACAGATCAAACAGGCATTGATTATTACACTTGTACTTCTGTAGCTACTGTTCGCATTATTACTACTACTACGGTTCATACAGTAGCCACCACTATAGCTACAACTGCTGTTCCTACTTGTGCAAACTATGCCACTATTTTCGGAAAGAAAAAAGGAAATGGCTACAATGGCGATTGTTGTAAGACTCAGGCTGACTGCCAAGATGATTGTGTCAAGGGTAAATGTAACGGTCCAACCAAAAAGGCTACCACCACCATGAAGAAGGCTGCCACCATCAAGACCACTGTTAAGCCTACTGTAGCTTCTACTGCTTGTCGAAGCGATTATAAAGGAAAAAAGAAAGGTAATGGCCTCAAAAATGCTTGCTGTTCAACTCATTTGGATTATAAAGAATGCATTCAAGGAAAATGTACTTAACTTGATACCTTACAAAGAATTGAATTAAAGATGATTTTAGTTGAAACAATTTTATCATCTTGATTGATATTGAGATTCCTTTTCCATGCTTCTAGTATACGCTTTTCGTGTGCTGTCTATAATCATAGATATGCTCAAGCATAACTCATCTATCATTAGTTTGCATATGTCATATCTACTAAACAATCTAGATATCCTTTTCATCATTAGGAACACGTAAATCTCACTATAACAAATGCCATAATATTTAATTTCTTAAGGAATATGAAGCCAATTCGAAATCCACTTTGCCGCATCAAACTGAAATTCAAAAGAGCTACATAATGCTATCGTACTTGTATTGAAAGCGCTTGATTAGAACTGTCTACAAAGTTTGATTCATTTCTTATTTCATGCTGTTTAAATGTTTTTCATTACTGATTTTTCAATGAATACCAATCCGAATCTAGATCAATTTATATTGATAGAGGCCATTGAAATAAGGCTTTCGAATGTTGTATCATTGATGTTAATCTGTGTTCGAAAGGGACAAAAAGTACTTAGACTAGAGCAAATAAATCATTTCTACAGCTAAAATACTATCATTTCACATTTCTGGCAGGCCTGATGACATTTGAACATTGAACTATGTATCTAGAATGCAATAGCTATCGAAAAATTACTTTTGTAATGTTTTTTTGCGTTTGAAGGTATTTGAGGTCTCTCTGGACCTGCATTTTTATCAAAAGTGGTTTATTTTAATGCAATAAAAACGTACTGTTTATTATGGTTCCCCAACGTGAAAGGATTCTACATTGTTATGGATCATCCTCACAATTCATTTACCTGAAGCTTTTGAATCTATCATGTTAGGAAAGAGAAGGAAAGTATATACCAGTATACTTCTCGCTTTACTCACCTGCATTCAATCCTATCAAAATGTCCTGGAAGGACCAAGTCAGACAAGGCCAATCAACTGATGTAGCAACTCTTTTTTAAGAGTGGCTGAAGATAGCGAGAATGTTCAGCTTGAATATATTCAACAGTCAATCTATGTATTCCCTAAACGTTTGAACAAAGAACCTCTGTCAATTTTTTAACCTTAAATATTCCGGTAAAGTGTATGTTTGTTGACTTCTTTTTTTTTTTTTTTTTTTTTTTTTTTTTTTTTTCACCTCGCATACTTTAACTTTTAAAGTAAACTTCTTTTTCATTTCTTTTTTTTTTTCAAATATGATCTCTCCACTCTTTGTATGTGTGTCTTATGGCGTATGGATATTTTTGATTCCATTCTTGTTATATAGTTCATATATAGGTGACATCCTTTCACAACTGGCTTATTTCTTTCATGTGGATTTTTATGTTAGCAAATTAGAGCCTGTTGTATTATGCTTGGGTTTAATCACATTCTATTGTTTTGTGTTGATGGGATTTGTATTTGATTTAATTCGATCTTTACGCAGACAAAATGATGTGTCACACTTGAATGCAGCATTCTTATTTCGCTTTGAAAAAGCTTATGCTGAATTACGGCAATTGTTTCCTCGTAAGTTTATTACTGACAAGATATACCATTGTGCTCAGTATTGATTAGCTTTTGTTGTTTCTTGTGGTCTTTTGTATGTTAATACAACACGATTTGATACACTTCGAAACAGGTGAATAGAATGATATCAATGTGTTTACTGACTCATGTCCCACTAGTTTGATGGTACTAGAAACCCTTTTTTTACTGATTCAGCCCATTGCTTCTATGTGTCCTCATAGACACCCAGGACTTTTATGTCAATACGGATTTCGTTCTGTCTTGTTTTGGTCCTTAATCTATGGTCTCTTTCCTCGAGAAACACTCCATGTGATAGCAGACATATCACATACACTCACGTATTATATGGGAGTCAATACCTCTTACTACCCACACTCTCCTCACTATCCCTCCATGACTTATCGAGCAGGATCAAGTCCAGCATGGATACTATAAAGTTTTTTTTTTTTTATTCTAAGCAGATTTCTTTTTGTCAGCATCTAATAAAGACACTGGTATCTTTTCATCAGGATGAGGGGATAAAGGTCGTGTTTTTTTGAGTTTCTCTTGTTTGTTGATATAGGCCTCAATACCAATCGAGGCAAACACAAGAGCCACACCAGACCATTGACCGAGATTTAAGGTATGATTGAACCAAAAGACACTCAATAACATGGTAAACAACTTGCGCGTCACAGTCACGGTGACAAGGCGCAAACTACCATAGTGTTGAAGGGTATAAAAGATAAAGCATTGCCCAATGGCACCGCATAAACCAAACAACAGCACATCTCGGATCACAGCAGGATGGTCTTGAAAGAACCCAAATGCTTGTTGCAATTCTGAATTGTAAGGATGCAAGATCAAGTAACAAGCTGATAAAACAGAGCCAAATGCGTTCATATAGAACATCATATGCTGACCACTGACGAGATGACCAAACTTGTTAAAGATTTGATCTTGTGTGGCATTGGTTAGACCATCAATACAGAGATTTGTACAGAGTAAAAATAAACCCCATAAAGAACTGTTGACAGGTCCGTTAGATTTTTTGGTAGGTTGGCATAACATAAACATAGATACACCCAAAGTCACTAACCCTACACATAGATACTTGTGCAAAGCAAATTTACGACGATAGACCAAGACATTCATGATCAAGACAGGCACCAATTTACATGATTTGCCAAGAATCATAGTAGGATAATCAATGTGTTTAAGAGCAGCATAACCAAAGGGAGAGCCAATGCAATTAAAAAAGGCCACTTGCCCATACTTCAAATAGAGATGGCGAGGTGTCTGTTGCATGTTTAAGCTACGCCCAGAAGCCTTGAGATAGACAAAAGCAACGATGGCTGCGATGATGGACTGGATCAAGTTGAGGACAATGAAGAATTTGAATTTCTTAGGTGTTTCTGTATCACCATAAGGTGTTGTACTGACACGTTCCTGAACTACTCCCCATGTAAGAAAGCATGTATAGATGCCTATCACACATAAGGTGAATCGAAGCATTTTCAATTTAAAAAGAAACCAAAAAAAAATGTAATTCAATCTCACTTTATTATGCGAAAGGTGGGTTAGTTTAATTGGTTCAATTGCTCCCTTCATTGTGACTTGCTATAGCAAGAAAAGAAGGACTTTTCGTCTCTTTGAAACAATACCATGACCATGAACAAGGAAAAGAAAGAAGACAAAGAGAAGCTTATCATTTATCTCTTTGCTTGATACTGTGGGGGAATCTCTCATAGGGATATTCTACTTTTATTTTGTTTTATATATACAGTGCGGCTGGTAAATTTTGTCCGTTTCGAAAAAACAAATGTCGGTTATCAAAAAATAAGTGGCGCTAGCTGAAAAATGATTGGCGGTTTGTTTGTCTTTTAGAAGAATTCGGTTTCTTTATCAGATTGTCATTTACGTACAAGTGAATGTTTATTAAAGAAAGGAGCTACTTAGAATTTTTTTATCATAGCAATCGATGATTTGACGTTTAGAGTGCCTACAAAAGCCATAAAGATCACTGAGACGGCAGTTCTTTGCGACAGATTTTCTTCATTTTTTAACCTGTGGCGCCTCATTTTTCCTTGTACAAGAGCCCAAAACTGCTCAATCAGGTTCAGCTCTGGTGAATAAGGGGGCAAATACATCACTTAGCAACCTCTGCTCTCAATCTTTCTTATCATTGGATGTGACTTGTAAATAGTGCAGTTATCCATTACAAGATAACTGCCAACAAGGCTTTCGTCCGTGTCCATGATATCAAGAAGCTCACTCATGAATTTCACAAAATGAGCAGCTGTTGTACCCTTTGCTATTGGCTTGTTGTTTTCGCTGGTACTACTCTCCTCAATAATAATGTCCCCGGCTCTTTGCTCTTTGCCTCTCACAAGCTTTCTCCTCTTTGGTTTCGTTGTCTTCGTAGTCTGACTTTCATGACCTTTTAGCTTTTTGGATGGAGGCTTTTTCATAGCAATATATATAACTCTAGAACAATTTATAGCACCAATAATGGTGTGTGAAGGAGAACAAGTTTTTTACAATTTCTACTGGGGCCTAATTGCTTCTCAGAAATGACATTTCAAGGATATTCTAATGGTTTATTTTTATTAACTTTAGTTTCTACTATGACTTTATGGTTTAAAGATATTTCTAGAAAAAGTATGGAATTTTATTATAAAGTGCCTTCTTTAAATCTAACTGTATGCTGGAAATTCTTTAGAGCTTTTGGTACTAATTAGTAACAATTCAAAAGATTAGACAATTAGCAGGAAACCAAATATATTATTAGTAGGATCCTCAGAGTACAGTCTTTATTTTGATTACAAGTGGAGACTTCATTGAGAATTTATTTTCATCAGAGGATATTTTTCATTTTCCCTCAAACGATATTAGCTTAAAAGCTGATTTTTCGCCTCTAGTTTTATTTAATACTCGATTGATGTTGGACATCGCTCTAGTCCAGTATTCCTGCTTGATGGTTTCAGTGATCACTGATATCTCAAGTTATAATCCTCCAGCCAATCCAGTAAACCTCCCACCAATCCCACCAATGGAAGATGATCTCGAACTCCAATACTTGTTTGACACATTGAGTGGAAAAGTTCCTCCTGGTCCCATACTGGAACTTTAAAGATGTTCATCTCTAACGTTAGGTGAATATTTATCTGGATCTTGGTCCACTCAGTCGATTTAAATACCAGTTGACAGAAGAGCCCAAAAAAAGAGATCAAAGACCAAAAGATGGACAACAGGAAGATCCAAGACTATACGATGTTCTGTAACTACAACAACAGAGACAATAGACCAGTTAGTAACAGTTGCAATAAGAGAGTCAACAACATCAACTATTGAAAAATTAGAAAAACAATAAGAACTATGTTCAAAGGTAGACACTTTTCAAAAAAAAAAAAAAAAAAAAAAAAAAAAAAAAAAAAAAAAAAAAAAGAAGCAAGTCTATTAAACCATATTTTTTTCTTTTTCTTTACTTGATAGACAAACAACCACAGCATACACTGGCATACGCACACACACACACACACACACACACACACACACAGACATAAACATATGAAGTTCAGGTAGACTACTCTCCTTTGACCTGAAAGAAGGTTCTTTTATTGATGCCCTCTGTTCTTATTTATGTAGTGCTCTTCTTCACTTTTCGGCTAGAAAAGAACTCAAAATGCATTCTAGTAAAAGGTGTAGCACTCAGAAATAGCACAGATAAGGTAATTCCCTTAATAAGGCTTTCCCATCCACTACAAAAAGAAAAGTGATTCCTATAACTTGTCGGTCTAAGTAGTTGTAGGCGTCATAAGATGAGGGTTGAACCCTTTTTTTCTTTATGAGTTGTGAATATGTAAAATGTATTTTTACTATTGTGTGTACGTGTATAGAAAAATATATAGGTATGTATGTAAGCAAGTAAATATGTAATCAAGTAAGTTTAGAAGCAAGTAAGCAAGAAAATATGTATTTATGTATGTATGTCTGTATAAGAAGTAAAGATCAATATATTTGGAGACTTATGCATTGTTGATGCTATCAATTAAGGATTTCTTCCAAGTAAAGAGTGATTCTGTTTGGTTGAAGAAATCTTTCAGCTGAGAAGGAGTAGTAGGTAATTTGACTATGGTATGTGCCCTTCGAACAAGATGATTGTCAACGAGAAATACCAACTCAAAATAGAGTTTCATGTCTAGATATTCGGAACAATTCAGTCTACTTATGCATACGACATCTTAAAGGGCAAATAGCTTACCATGAAACCTGATGAAATGGCCTTTTGCTGCATTGGTGTATTCAATAAAGTCGATTGTTCCTTTCTCAATCTTCTTCTCGTCAGAGCCAGCTTTTTCTGGTTTGCAATTTTTCTTAATTCCCCAGGAAACTCAACTAGGCAAAAGCCTATTTTTTGATCAGATCCAGCCCGGAAGCCAACGCCATCCCACTTGGTGCTTTGAGTCAAGAGAGTTTCAATTTCAATCCTAGAAGAAAAGACATCAGCAATCAGTTTCAGGTCGCAAAACGTCTACTAACTTACCAGCTGAAATTGATTTTGTCATTTGCTGACAGAAACAAGTTATTCAATAAAGCAATGGTAGTGTGGATTGCAGCTGTTCTCTCAAGTGTTGGTTGTAGTAGAGGATTTGAAGGGCTTTGATTCAGGTTTAAACTGTATACTGAAGATATCAATAATAAATCTTTTAAACAAAAACTTGGTACTTACAAATGATTGCCCATTGTTTCAACGAAGTTTAGATCAGAGTGGGTGAAAATGTCGAATCTTTCATTTTCTGGTAGATTGAATCTTTTGATGATGCTTCTGTAGGTATAAAAGTCGGGATTTGCCTGGTTCAAAGATGTTAGAAGAAGAGTAACTGAAGATGATAAATGTTGACTTTCAAGTGTTGTTTGTTGTCTTAGGCCTTCTAACAGCTCTTTGTCCAGCATAGTCTTCACGCCATCATCATCAATATATAGAATTTGTAAGCCAGTTATCCTATAAAAGAGAAGGTTCAAATTAAGACTACGATTATACATAGTAGGTGAATGTGTAAACTCACTCTTTGTAAGTTAAAGTAATTTCATTTAAATCGGTAATGCTGCTGTTGTTGCTGCTGTTGTTGCTGCTGTTGTTGCTGTTGCTGTTGCTGCTGTTGTTGTTGCTGTTGTTGCTGCTGTTGTTGCTGCTGCTGCGCAACTAAGAGAATAAGTGATACAGTCAGTAATTGGTTAGATATTTTTAAAGCATATGATTACACACGTACGCGCTTTGAAGAGTCTACGATAGAGTCGAAGACATTGTCGGCTATCTGCTCTAATGCCTCATGTGCACGTTTCTCTATTCTTCTTGCTGACTGATTTATTTCTTCCTCGTTTCTTACTCTCCAGTATTCTTCATACGCTGAGTAAAAACGCGAGTTCTTGCTATCTTTTTTCTGAAAAAGAAAAGAAACAAAAAAAAAGCTTAAGGTTATCAAATGTATTTCCTCACGATAAAGAGATAATACTGATTATTACATTGTACAAGACAATTGCATCAATGATTGTAGGCTTCTTTTTTTTGAAGCATTTTGCAAAGTGTTGTTCATTAGGGTTATGTACAGAGAGCCTGTTGTTGCTTTATCTTTCATGACCGTATTGGCAAAGTTGAAATAATCATATTTGGGATTGAGGTCAACGGCTGTTTTAAGCCAATCTTGGTAAGCACTGGTTCTCGAAACGTGATGAAACATTTGCAACAGGAGTAGGAGCAACATATAACTTTGAACGCACTTTCAGGATTTTGGAAATACGGAGCTCAACATTTTATACAACCAATCAAAGATTTCTCAGCATCAAATTCTTATGCAGCCAATCAAGAATTTTCTAGTCCATAAAAAAAATAAGGTGACGCACCTCTTCACATGATGCTAAAAATCGAACGACTGGGCTGGCCCAATTTTTTACAGACCTCTTCTTCATCTCAATACTTTTTCATTAATCTCTGCTCTCGTCTAACGAGTTCAGCTTTGAAGCGACGGCCTCATACTTTATCATCTTTCAACACAGATGGTAAAAAGGTGTACCTAAAGCTCTGCTAAATCACTCGGGACATCTACTGTCACCAGGTGACGAATGGTCCTTACGCAGTGCTATGTTCCATTGTGAACATAAACCTCGGCGTATAACTGTGGAGTGCTTCAAAGTTGAGAAGACAACGGCCTCATACTTTATCATCTTTCAACACAGATGGTAAAAAGGTGTACCTAAAGCTCTGCTAAATCACTCGGGGCATTTACTGTCACCAGGTGACGAATGGTCCTTACGCAGTGCTATGTTCCATTGTGAACATAAACCTCGGCGTATAACTGTGGAGTGTCTTCTCTCGAACTATTAGATTGAGATCTTACTTACGACGGTTATGTATTTTTTTTTTCATTCAAGATTGATACTAAACTATTTTTTTTTCTTTGCAAGGATTTGAATAGCTGAAAATAGAGCGGGTCTTATCCATCGTCTTAAGAAGCGCAAGTAGTACATTCAACGCTAAGGACTTGTAGCAGGTTATAATACACGTACCTTTACCAAGGTAGCCTTCATGCATTTCTTCAACCTAATTCGCAAGATGCATCGACATTCATGTGAGTTTTCTTTTTTTTTTTACCCACTTTCTTTTAATTTTTGTCCTGACCATAATTATCAGAATAATATAGGTCAATCCTATCAATTTTGTTAAGCAACACTGGTGTCCAAATAAAAGACTGGCCTAATTTCAATCTACAAAGGCTCAATAAAATCAGCAGGCATCTTTCCCTAAAAACAATAAATAACTCTGTAGTGAAATAGGTAATATTTCTCCACATAATCAAATCTCACATGGAACCATGATACAACTATTCAAACAAAGATAATGCGCATTCACATTTAGATAAGAGATGACAAATACTAAACGTAAATACCCTTGGTATTCACAACATGTTGGTACGTGATAAACCCAAAATACATATGAATCAAATAAGAATGAGTAAACCGTTGTATAAAAACGCATGATTGACTAGAACAAATATATATATTATATTATAACCAAACCAGAAAAAGCATAAAATAAGAATCATCATTTTTCAGTTAGCGCCACTTATTTTTTGATAATCGACATTTGTTTTTTTTCGAACCGGACAAAATTTACCAGCCGCACTGTATATATAAGAAATGACTGAGTCTTAATCCATACTGAAATGTTCAAGATTCTTTTTTCTTATGTCCACCAAACAAAGACAGAGTTCCACTTGTAGTGAGGACTTGTCTCGCTATGAATTTGTTGACTACACTACTGCTTCTGACTTTGAGAAATTAGTTACGCTGATTGAAGAAACCTTGTTGTCTTGGGGACTTCACGATGGCGTCCTTTTAGACACGCAACACCAAGAAACACTCAGTCTTGGTGAAGAAACCTTTGAATTCAGCTACCACTATCAACCTACACCGACAGACAACAAGGACTTGTCTTTTTTTGATATCTATCGATTCAGCACCAAGTCATTTCATCCGCTCCATCGATGGACTGGACACGACAGATTGATGGTACTGAAACCTATGCTGAAGAAAAAGATATTTCATGCAAATCCATCAACTGTGTATTTATCACAAGCCAAGTATTTGATATCGTCTTGTGCAGTTGCATTTCAAAATATAGGGTGTCGTGTGCCTGTGTTTGTGCCTGTGGGACAGGGAAGACATGATCTCTATACAGGGTACATGCTCACCACTCAAACAGACACAGCTTATGACCAAACAGAGACAAGATACAGCATGACACTAACCACACCTCCTACTTCACCCCTGAATTCGCTGGATGGACTCAAAGCTTTATTTTTACAAAAACTCAGTGTGTTTCGAGAAAACGAGGGTAAGGTTCATGTACACCTGGTAGGCATATTAACGTATGGAGTAGGCCAACCAGGGGACACAGACAATGTATGGCTATCTGCTATCTATACCTACAACCTAAAAAACTGGTTTGATGAACGATGGAAAGAATGGGAACCTGTGGAAAAGAGACGAATCAGTTTCAGTGATGATTTTGATGATTGGGATCAACAAGAAGATACCAAGACACCGATGCCCTTGCCTTTTGGGTCCTTGAATGATCCTTTGCGCACACTCACACTGGCTGCTATTTTCCCTTCACGCCATCTATCTGAATTCTGCTGGAGTCCCATGGATGGATTGACAGCCAGTCAGTGGCAAATAGCGCGTGAATTTGCACCTGCATCACAACAAAGAGCTTACCTTTCTCGTCTGTTGCAGAACGCGGTTCATTCATGGATTCAAGATCCTGCGAATCGAGAATACTTGGCACCGTACGATGAAGCGAATGAGGATGCCAGCAGTGACCGTGTGATGAGAAGCTTGTTTGGACCCAACTCATCGACAGATCCGATCACACTGATCAAATCCGATCAAGTAGAAACGGTACTGACTCGTCTATTTGAGCCTACACAACAAGAAGAACCTCATGAACGAGTACGATGGAAGCTTCACCATGGATCCACCGTGCCCTATCGTTCATTCTTATGGAACATGATCTTGTATAGTCTCCAGACCGTGGCTCAACAAGACGCACAACAAGGCCGACAACAAACTAACTTTATTGGCTTCTTGCGGGTGGTCTGGTTAGAAGTATTGAAACAGATACGTTGGCATTGGGACCATAGGGAGCCATTGCCTGATTTGAATCCTTATCTGTATAATGACAACGACAAGACATTAGGTATTGATCTTCGGTACAATATGCTACATCAAAAACTGGCGATGGTGAATTGTTGTATTGTGCGTCAGTCACAAGAACCCATGGCTTCAGAGCCCATGTCTGATGCCTCATCTGAAGAGGACAGTGATGTGTTTGTCGATGCGATGGATGATGAAGAATCTTCGTTTGTTAGTCTACCCTGTGCAGATCAAGAAGCAATACAAGATCCAGAGAAAGCAGAAGGTCAATTAGAACCCCATCCTACCTTGACATTACTCCAAACAGGTCAGGTCATGCAAATACCCATCACTCAGGACCCTGGATTCATGACAGAAGATATGGTGACAGAACAAGCGGATGTGCTGCGTAGTCTAGGCACTTCTGACGATGCGACACAAAAGAGAGCCCGTCTTCAATCTGCTCAACTCCTGTCTGACATGCAAGCATTTAAAGCAGCCAATCCCTATGCTTGTCTTGAAGACTTTGTACGCTGGTATTCACCGCGTGATTGGGTGGATGGTCAACTCAGTACACGTATGTCTGAACCCAACAATATATGGCAGGAATTATGGCAATCTTCAAAACGTATCCCTTGTTCAAGACAGAAGCCGTTGTTTGACATGAAAAAAGAAGTAGAAAAAGCCCTGTTTTATTTAGAAACATTGTCTGTTCATGATATGTTTGCCATGTAAGTCATACCATGTTGACTGTATCAATTCATATTTTATATAAGGATGTTGCCTACTCTAGGATGGATTGCGTATGATACCTTATCCAGTCATCCTGTTGTTCAGTCAAGTAAGTGTGTTGAAAAGGGCCTTAAAGATCTAGGTCATCAACTCAGCCAATTCTCTTGGGAAGCATTCAGGTAAATTATCTTGGATTGCCATTCTCTAGTTAACGCTCCCCTCTTTCTATATCTTAGTCAAGGCAAAGTGACATTTGATACCATTTTGGACTGTGTTCGACACCAAGAATCCATCATGTGCCATGCTATCTCACTTACAAGAAAATTGCCTCGTCAATTCCAACTGGTAGATCAATTACTTTGCCATGACCAAGTGATAGTCCAAGAAGGCCAAGAGCGATCTGCTGTGTTTGAATTATTCAAGAGTGAGCGTAAGTTCAATCTTTTTTTTTTTTTGTATGACTCGATTTCACAAATAGAATGAAATAGGCAATGGTATTGGTGAACCTTCTTTTCGAGAATACATTCTCTTCAGTGACTGTAAAGACCTTAGAACAAGAGATCAACTCGTATTGCCTTTTAGACAATATGCACTTGTCAAAGATAATGAAATTCGTATTGTAGATATGCAATCTACAGATACGTTGTATATTTAAAATAATAATAATAATAATAATAATTTTTTCATCTTTTTTCTTCTTCTTCTTCTTTTCCTATTATTGTCAATGTGGAAACATAGAGACCTTTATAGAAAAAAAGGACAAGATAGTCTTGTTCTTCAAGATCAGCTCTGTTCTGAACCACAACCCTCAGAATCAAGTATCTATGGGGGTTGTGAATTTGATGTGTTTGGCCATAAAGATCTAAAAGAACATCAATTTGCACCCTTATATTCAGCAGAGAAATTCACACCTAAACCAGAAGATAGAGTGCCTTATAAACGAGGAGAAGTACTTGTTCGAGCAAGAGAAGCATTTGAACTGGGTGATACACTAGACAGTCCAACCAGTCTAAAAAAGAGGAAATTGACAGATCCACCATTACCTACACATGTGTTTATTGAACCTACTGCAGCAGTCAATACACCCATTGCTCATATGTTCTTGAAAGAAGATACAAAAGAAACAACCCAACTTGATTTAGAATACGCATAGAATATTTGTACATAAATAAACAAAATTAATTTTATATATATATATTTTTTTCTTTTTTTTTTTGATGACTATTGAACACGCCATATTGAATATTCAAGACAATATGACTCAAAACAAGTACACTGTTATTCTTCCTACTTTTAATGAACGCGATAATTTGCCTATTATCACTTGGTTACTTGTCAAGACATTTAAGGAACACGCTATTGATTGGGAAATAGTGATTGTCGATGACAATAGTCCTGATGGCACTCAAGATGTAGCCAAAGACCTCATTCAAATCTATGGTGATCGTATTGTATGTTCATATGCTATTTAGACAAGTATTGACTTTTGTCATTAGCAATTAAGACCTCGTGCAGGTAAACTCGGTCTAGGTACTGCTTATGTTCATGGTCTTCAATTTGCTACTGGTACACATATTATCATTATGGATGCTGATTTCTCTCATCATGTACAGTATATAATGTTATTTATTTATTTTATTCATATATTGAAATAGCCTAAATTCATTCCTCAAATGATAAAGTATGTATATATTTGTTTATGTTTATACTCAACCCTAATCATATAGATTACAACAAGAAAAGAACTTTGATATTGTCAGTGGTACTCGATATAAATCAGGTGGTGGTGTCTATGGTTGGGACTTGAAGCGTAAACTGGTCAGGTAAAATTCAAGGCAGACTTTATTTCTTAACTTATCATTTTAGTCGTGGTGCTAATTTCTTGGCTACGTTGATGTTACGCCCACATGCATCTGATTTAACAGGCAGTTTTCGGTAAGCTAACAAAAAAAAAAAAAAAAAAAAAAAAAAAAAAAAAAAAAAACATCTGATCAATATTCTATAGTCTCTATAAAAAAGATGTCTTGTATCAACTCATTCATGCCACTATTTCCAAGGGGTATGTGTTCCAAATGGAAATGATTGTCAGAGCAAGACAATTCAATTACTCTGTGGGTGAGGTCCCTATTACCTTTGTCGATCGTGTCTATGGTGAAAGTAAGATGGGCGTGTCTGAAATTGTTCAATATGCTCAAGGTGTTTGGCGATTATTTACCAGTATTTAAATACATTTTATTATTTGGCTTTGATACTCTTTTGATATTCTGTCCATGCAAAATGTAAGGGTAATGTGACAGAAGCAGAAAAGATAGGTGTGAGTGATATCAAAAGGATGGAAGTATGTTGTGTCCACATCCAAGCAATAGAAATAAGCTGCATACAGACAATATCTGAACTAATGCTTGATTGAGCAGGGTGATGGAAAAAGACAGTGATCCATGCATCCAACATGCCAGAAAGAGAGAAGGAAGAGAGACTAAAGATACATTCAAACCATTGGTTGACATAGATAGCGAGATTAGCACCCGCAGCTAATGTGTACATCATCATAATGGCCTGAGAGGGCTTTTGAGGGGTGGTATTGGATCTCATCAAAGGCAAAATCAATAAGATATGCATCACTAAAAGATTAGGCATAAATCCATCACCCTCAGCAACAAAGGGGGATAAAATGACCGTAATTAATCCACCAACCACACAAGCAGCAATACGCTTCAATAGACCATAAGAAGGTTCTTGTGTAGGCGTATAGGCCAACATGACTGCAAAGAACAAGGAAGAAGCCACAGAGATGGCCACGACTTGACCTAGTAACATATAAGCCCAAATGTAGGGAATACCACGACGATTGCCTTGATGATGATTAGTAATGTAGTATAACTCATATGTTACCTTCAATGGCTAAAATAGGGGTCCAGACAGACACAGTCAGACTACATAATTGATGACTCCATAACCATTGCCAGTGCCCTACAGATACCTGTCTCCAGGCACTATCAAATAAAGAGACATCATGAAGCCAATAAGATATCGAGTCAAGTGAAAGGGGTACATGATGCGACTGTTGCCATTCAGAATAACTAAAGGCAAAAAACTTGAACATGTAAGTCCATGTAGCAGCCAAAGAAACAAGGGACAAGCCAAAAAAGAGAGTTGTGTTTCGTTGGCCATAAGCCTTTATAAGTTGTGATTTGACTCGCCATACAAGTGCAATAATAAGCACAAAATAAGAACCGAGTATTGACACAGCGATAGGGTATGTTATCATGGTACAAAAGAAGAAGAAAGACGAGTAATTATTATTTTTTTTCTTTTTATTAAATCTCAACAAGGATAATAGTACAGTCATCATAATCTTGTAATGTAGAAGCAAAGAATCCATGGGCACTTTCTCGATTGGCAAAATATCTTGCTGAAGACACTAATGTACGTTCTTTGATTTTACGTGTCTTTGCTTCTTCTTCAGTTAACTCGCGGAACAACAAAGGTATACGAGGAAGTTCTTCTTTATCGACTTCCATATTGTCTGTCACATCATTATTTTTGTCTTGAGTCTCTTCTGTCAGGTCTTGAGTCTCTTCTTTCATGTCTTGAGTCTCTTCTGTCTTGTCTCCAGTCTCTTCTGTCTTGTCTTCAGTCTCTTCTTTTATTTCTCCAGTCTCTTCTGTCTTGTCTTGATACTTGCCATGACTGACATCCCCATTCATTAGCTCATCAACTTCCATTTGCTCTGGTTCTTTATTGTGTTCTATTGTTTGTCCTTTGCTCTTCTTTGCTTCTTCTTCTTCCTCCAGTAGATATCTTCCTACTTTCTCACCATCTTCAATCATAGGTCCAATCACTTTAGCAATTGCTCTATTTTGTCTTTCTGCTGTTTCTTCATACATGTAATCAAAGGTGCCATCTGTACTCATAAATAAAAAGTGCCTTCGTTTTTCTTTATGAGGTCCATTAAGCAAGATAGTATGATCCACATAAGGCTGGTCTGATATGCGAATGAATGTCACATCAGGTTCACAAGAGATGATTTTATGAGCAGGATCCATCTTAAAATCAAGATCCCCACAAGAACGAGCTACATTCAATGAAGGAATCCGGTCTTCACGTATTGGTATTCGTAACTTGTCAGGGGTGGTGAAGTCGCTGTGGTTCTGACGGCACTCTGGGCTGTCCAGTTATTGTTGGACGCCTTTTCCTCTGTCTCCTGGCAACTGGCCTGATAGTCTTTGGGTCTGATTCTTGCGTTCTTCAAAGCCAGTCGTTTGGCGTGTCGATTCCCGTCTTCTCTTAGTTTGTCCAAGTCGACTTTGATGACACGGTTCTGCACTGAATCTACAAATTCACCTCCATTCTCTAAGATATGACGAGCTAAATGTTCTAAATAAGGCTTATGATCCTGAGAGGCAAAGACGACATCCATCTTATAGTCATGATCAACTGTATTGAAGGAGGAGGATTCTGTTGTTGTTGCTGTGATGCTAGGATGAGTAGAAGAAGAAGAGGTTCAGGTGCTGAAATCAAGACAGTACGTGAATCCCCTACATTCACATTAATCAACCATTCACCCAAAAAGACATTCAGAATCAATGTACATCCATCATTGTCCACGTGATCTTCCGATGCTTTGTTGGCCATCTGTTCTCGTTTGATAGCCAGATAAGCATCATCCAGTGTTTGAATCATGGTCTTGATATCTGTCTCTAGGCGTTGTTGTATTTCTCGGTCACCCAGCTGCGCTGGATCATAGTCAACACAGATATGATTGACTGCTTCAGGCGTATTCCTCACAAAATACTCTGAACATCCTGGGCCACCATGACCATCGGCCAACATAAACAATCGTCCTACGACTTTATCCCTGGACACAATGTCTGTCACTCGAAACTTGTCTTCACAATGGACTTTTGGAATCTTGATTTTCTCATGTGAACGGAAACGAGGATAAGAATAACCCTTTTGCTGTACAATGGCAAAATGGCCTGCAATAGGATACGCTGTAAAATCGATGGGATCAATATAGTCCATGTCTTTTGTCGGAGGATTGTAGAGCAATGAATAGTCCACAATGGTATCTTCTTCTTCTACTATGTCACATGACGGTGTATTGCCATTTAGTTCATCTTCGTCATCATCAAAGGATTGCATGGAGTGGAAACTAAGAGGCGTTAACATCAGAAAGTGAAGGATGAACTTACTCTTCATCTTGGTCTGAATCAACCTCAATGTCTGAATTCACTCGATCCATGTCTTTCTTCTTAGGTCGGTGTGTTCTTTTCTTTTTCTGGCTTGGTCTAGTCGTAGGGGAATATATAGAGCGTGCCTTGCGCTCACGCTTCGTGCCTTGATAGTGGTATGAACTGGTATGCGAATGATGAACAGGTCGAAGGATGATGGGTTCATCAGGTATTTCCATTTTTTCAGGTGGTTCTATACCATTCAATACTTGATCTGCAATAGCATATTTTGCTTGTCTGCCTGATCCATCTTTATCAATACGAAAAGGATCAGACAATTTCAAGTCTCGTGCAATCTTTCGGGAGGTAGAGATGATGCCTTGTATTGTACTCTTGGGTGTTTCGCCTCTAGATGAGTAGATGAGTATCAATCCAACAACTACCTTACTTGCCTTAAAGGTAATAAGTTTAATGCGCGCACAGCAATCACCAATTGAGCTGCATTCATGGCTTGATTACCATAATGAAAAAGCGTGGCCATGATCTTCATAAATGAAGAATTAGCTCTGAGTGAATCAGCAATGTTGAGATGTGTTAATTCTGTATCCACTGGAAGATTTGTTGTGGTGGTTTCTGTGATTGGTGTCGTAGTTGTGTCTGTAGGTGTTGTTGATTCCATCATGAACTTACAAGAGGCATAATAAGTCCTTTTTTTTGTCAGTAAAAAAAAAAAATCTCTAGTCGCTAGCTTGTGACGTCATCCTTTTTTAAGGTTATTGGTCCTTCAATGCAACTTTATTTGTTTCTCTAAATTGACTTTCATTCAGTCCAAATTCAATGATATGAGAACTGCATTGACTAAACACTACAGAGCCAAAAAGACAGAACAGGAAAAGAAGAGACATATAAGCAACATAATGACGTGTTTTCGAACAATGATAGGCATATCTCTATGGATCTCGAGTGACCACAAAAACGTCTCATTCTCAACTTGATGAGTATTATTTTCAAGAGCAAAAAAAGAGGGAATCTCCTTATCAGATTGGCGTCTAAGAGAAAGGAGAGCATCTACTATGATCATAAAGCGTACTACTGCCTTGTTCCCTTGTTTGTTGAATGACATAATAATACACTCTTTGAGATGTCTGATGGAATGATCTGACCTGAATACTGGTCAACTCAAAGTTCTGATGTAAGCACTAATAATTTACGAATGAACTTATTTATAATATCCATATGAATATACAATTCTATCAAATGTGTCTGTTAAATACAGATATCTTGTTCTTCAGATGAACTAATCAAAGGCAATAACTTTTCTACTTCTACAATCAAATGAGTTTTGTGTGTATCTTGTATAGTACAACTTACTTTGAATCAAATGTTTGCCATAGGTATATTTTTTCAATGATTGAAGATGAGGCTTGATCTTGTTTACAAGTAATTCACGTTGATCATCGTCTACAACATCCAACATTTTCTGAATTACATAATTGGCATACTGGTCTTTCATCATAGTAGCCAAGGGCAAAGTTCTATTTAGTGTTAGACGAATCGGGTCATCAAGTCCTACTTACCCATCAGATCTAGGCTGAAGAACTTCTTCAATCAACAATTGACGGTCTCGCTTACTTCCATAATCCACACATTTCTCAACAACATTACTAGCAAACTTATGCTTACTTAACTGAAGCACTTGACCACGAATCTTGTCAATCACAAGTGATTTATCTATAGGTCTACCACGCTCTAAAATATGCTGAATCACATAATTACCATATTGATCTTGCACTAATTGAGCTGTACATCGATGCAATTCATCCAGAAGAGGACCTGTTTGTGTATCTGTACAGTGTTCAAACATACGCTGAATCACACGACAACCATAAGGATGCGTAGCCAAATGATAGACTTGACCATGAAAAGCATCAATAATGAACTGAATATGTTGAGCAGGCACACGCTCAATGGCCTTTTGAATCACGTGATTGCCATTTTGATCTTTGATGCATTTAAGCACACAACCATCTAATTCCTTGACCAACACAGCCTGTTGTTCAGTCAAGACATGTTCCAAGGCCTTTTGGACGACACGACAACCATACATTTGAAGCGAGAGAGAAAGAACATGACCCTCCATTTGTTTGGCTAAGATGGTCTTTTGCATTTGATTGCCATGTTCAAAAAACTTTTGTAGTACATAGTTGCCAAACACGTCTGTCATGAGCTGTAAAGCATTAGGCAAGACTTCTTCAAACACCATTTGCTTCTCATCACTATTGGCAGTCTCTAATTTTTGTTGAATGAAACGAGAGCCATGTTGGTCACCACTGAATTCGACAATATGACCTTCAATATCTTTGAGTTCGTATTTCTTGTTTTTTGAATTACGGAATTCTTCAAGTAAAGGACTACGCATACTAAGTGCTATTTCTTGTTGTTGTTGTTGTTGTTGTTGTTGTTGTTGTTGTTGTTGTTGTTGTTGTTGTTGTTGTTGCTGCTGTTGTTGTGGTTGATGATGATGATGACGATGATGATGATCATGATGTCTATTTCTATGTTGTATAGGATGAAGATGGAAATTCTGTTGCTGTTGCTGTTGTTGTTGTTGTTGTTGTTGCTGTTGTTGTTGTTGTTGCTGTTGTTGTTGTTGTTGTTGCTGTTGTAATAAAAGTTGTTGTCTAGCAGCCAATAATTGCTGCTGTTGTTGTTGAATCAATAATTGTTGTTGTTGCATTTGTAAAGCACGTAATTTTCTATCTGTGGCTGCAGGAAGTGTATTTTCAGGAAACCCAGTAGGATCCATACCCACAGGTGCTGTCAGAGGTCCACTCTGTTGTTGTCGACGATAAGCCAAATCACCTTGGCTCATTTTACCATAAAGACCATCGCTCAATCCATCTGAGCTTTCACCTAAATCAAACGATGGATAACCATAATAAGGCTGAGATACACGCTGCTCATCTAAACCAAATGCACCAAACTGATTCACAAGATCGTCTTGATATACATTTCTACCTGGAGGTGTTGAATTAGGACGCGTGGCGACAAACTTGTTTCGTAAAGAAGGATCATAATTCAATGCATTCAATTGATCTCGGTATTGCTTTTGAATCACATCTAAATCATCTTCATCAATAACAGATGTGACATGGCGTTGACGTGCTTGTTGTTGTTGTTGTTGTTGTTGTTGAAGTGCAAATAGAGGAGAAGGTGTACGAGGAAAATCCTAGATAGATTGGGGGAGGGATTCAGTTCACGCTCTTGTTTAAGTGTGTTTACCTGTTGAATCAAATCCACTAAATTACGTTGGCGTCGATTAGTTAATGCTTCCTCTTGCTGTTGTTTAGGTAAATGGTGATGATAGCCATGTAAACCATGCATACGAGGGTCTAAGAAGAAGAATAAGTATAACAGAGTTGGGTATGTCTTATTGTATCTACCCTCTTCTGTGGTTGGCCATAATGGCCATGGTTGACTCGTGTTTTCTTGATAATAGCCGAGTTGCTCAGGATCCATAGAAAGACTATCAAATTCATGCGCACGTCGAGTAGGAGGCGCACTTGTTGAACGAAGGTCATCTGGAAACATACCAGCCTGAAATAAGTCATCGTATTCGATTTTACCATGTAAAAGAGCAGCCAACTACATAATGTTATTGAGATGAAACACAATTATAAAACAAACCTGTCCTTGAGGCTGATTCTTTGCTTTTGGTTGATGCAAATCAGACTTCTGAGACATGGGACTACGTGGTAGCATGATGACCAAGCAAAAAAAAAAAAAAAAAAAAAAAAAAAAGAGAAAAAAAAGGGAAGTTTTTTTTTTTTATTATTATTATTATTTTAAACTCAGGTTACTGCTGGTGGGATTCAGACATGTCATCCAATGCTTTTTTCTGTTGTTCCATTAATTTCTTTCTTGCTTGAAGCACCATAAACTCTTTGCGTTTTCTCAACATGTCTTGTCGTTTATCTGGACTGGTTTCCCATACCTTAGGTGGTTCTTGGTCTAATCCGTTTTCTTTTTGAACATCAATCTTGTATCTTTGAACTAAGTTAGGATGACTGGGCGATTTACGAGCATTTGAGTTGGATGTATTGATATTAGGGCTTGTGGAGGGTTGTGCTTGAGGAGGCTAATGTATTGTGTGAGTTCTATAGTTACATGTCATATACTTACTAAGGGGAGACTGCCATCACGAAGTGCATTATCTACTGTGGTTTCTACAGATCCTGTTCTCTGAAGATCGGCTTGGATAGCAGCTGTAGGAATATCAGGAAACATGGCACGTACTTGTTCAATCTAGGTTGTTGTTAATTTACTTGGTTGGTGTCATACTCTTTACCATTTGAGAAGTGACGCGGTGTTGCATACGTCTGTTGGTACGTCTTGGTTGCTGTTGCTGTTGCTGTTGTTGTTGTTGTTGTTGATTACCACCTATATAGAATGAGTCATTGTTGATAGCTTATACAAATTACCAAGCATCCAACGCAAAGCAATCAAGATGAGAAAGACAGCGACTAGTATAGACACACTGTCGTTCATGTTACAACAACGAAAAAAAAAAAAAAAAAAAAAGGAAAAGAAAAGAAAAAAAAAAACTGCTGGGATTGAAACATTTAACAGTTTCATGTAAGGCTCTTGTTGGTTCAAGTATTTGTGCCTGTATTCAGCCTTAGCTCATTTAATGAGATGAAGACTATTTTTCGCAATATTGGCGTATAGAGGAATAGCATTGGCAATCAATGTCTAAAAACAAAGGGCTATCAGAAAAGTGTATTAACAAAGTTAGTAGATATAGACACAGCGCATCTAATGGTCTAGAAAACATAACATGCTGAATATCAAGATAGCGAGCTATCCTTCTAAAACGTGTTTTCTGTTCTTGAGCTGTAACATACACTTTTTATAGTACTTTTGCAAATCTAGTAGAAATGATGGTTTATTCGCATCTGTAGCGGGTTGCCGTTAGTGTTATTATGCTAATAAATCAGAAAAAAAAAATCAATATGTCCGCCATTGGCACCATGACAGCTTGGTGTTGGTTGGTGGTATGAATGCAATTGCCTTTCTTTCTTTTATTGCTGGCCCATTGCCTGCTTATTGTCTACTGATCTCTTTTAATATACAAGTTATCTTTAGCTCTAAAATTCATTTTCAGTTGATGAAGGCATTCTGTGCATTATGATGTATTTTTTGCATATTTTTCATTTGTAGATAGTCATTTAATGATGCATCATAAGCATTGAGAGGCTTTTAAAACTTAAAGAGGTGTATTTATAGCTGATTTATTCTGGTTTTGGATATTTTATAGAACATTATGTCAAACTTACATTTTCATGCTTTAACGAAATATATCTTTTGAAATCTATTTTCATGTGTTTTGACAGTCTTTTTTTAGAATAGAAATCACGTTTGTATGTTCCTCGTGTAGAAGAAAAAAAAAAAAGAATTCTCGGTACATTAAAAAAAAAAAAGGCTATTTTGGTACTATTGCTTTTTATTTCAACGTAATTTTTTTATCGAAATTGGGCAGGTGGTTCTATTTCTGGTATAGCACGATAAGTAAACTGTGGTGCAGAAAATGATTCCAAATCAGAAGGCTTTGTGACATCATTTCCAGCAGAAACTGTCGCTGTTGTGGTATTATTATTATTATTATTATTAGCAGCACCCAATCCTGTTGTGTTACTATGAGAACCAAATCCGCTGTTACTGCTCAAACTAGAAGTCTGTCCAAATGCTCCACCCACATTTGTTGTTGCACCAAATGCATTACTATTGTTGCCAAGTGTGCTTGTGGATCCAAATGCTGAGCCAGTACCCATTGCACTTGTAGAACCAAAAGCAGAAGAAGGTGTATTTGCTGCTTGTCCAAAGGCCGAGGGCTGTCCAAAGGCCGAAGGCTGTCCAAACGCAGATCCACCGCCTAATGTACTTGTGGATCCAAATGCAGATCCACTACCTAATGCACTTGTCGAACCAAAAGCTGATCCTCCACCCAATGCACTCGTTGAGCCAAAAGCTGATCCACCACCCAGTGCACTTGTTGAACCAAAACCCGAGCCACTACCTAATGCACTTGTTGTACCAAAACCTGAGCCACCCCCAAAAGCAGAGGGCTTATTTGCCGTTTGTCCAAATGCTGAAGGTTGTCCAAATGCTGATGGCTGTCCAAATGCTGAAGGTTGTCCAAATGCTGAAGGTTGTCCAAATGCTGATGGCTGTCCAAATGCTGATGGCTGTCCAAAGGCACTTGTGCTACTACTTGATCCAAAGGCATTTGTGCCAGTACCCGTGCCAAACGCACTTGTTGCTCCAAAGGCACCTGCTTGGTTTGCAAATGGTGTAAATGGTTTATGGTTTGCTGCACCGCCAAAGGGGCTAGCATGATTTGATTTTTCTTTTTCGTAATGCTGAATGGCTCCACTAGGATTATTGATGATGGCATTTGTTTGTGCTTCCATCTGGTTAAAAAGCTGTTCATGACTCGACATCTATTGAACATAGATATATATATATATATATATATACATATGTACAGGTCAGCTTTACGATCATCTTCATTGGATACTTGCATATTGAGTAGTGTTGTTTGTGGTTCTCATGCTTGTATAATACAAATATCTGTCTTCTTCACAACTTCTATCTGTGCCTACAATCAAATTAGGTTCTTCTTTAGCGGGTCCATATACACTGAGTTTCCACTGAGGCCTTGCTTCTGTCAAGTCTGTCTTCAAAGAACTTTCACTAGAATACAATATGAGTATTTATTTCTAAACGATAAAAAATAAATAAATAAAGATAACACGTTACTTATATTTACTGGTAGCTGCGGTAGGTGTTGCGTTACTTCCCCAACGATTCTGTTGAGGCCCAGTATGTTCAAAATTACAGTTATTGCCGTATCGACAGTTACCCGATGCATAAAACTTGCAAACAGTCATTCTGTTAAGAGAAAAACTATACTGCAAGACGCGTGAATTAGCGCGCGTGCGCCACTAAGCAAGAAAGAGCGAGAGTGAAAATTTGAATTAAGCAACAGTCACTGTTTTGAAGATACGACCAAGTGTCACTTCAAAAGTGTGCCTCACTTCCTTTCCAGGAACAAATGAAGATCTTTTTAAAAGACATCCACTTTTTTTCTTGCGAAACAATCATTTGGATCTAGTCTCCTTCATTCAATGTAGCACCAAAAGAGATGTTCTTTTTTATTTTGAGTTTCCTATCCCTTTTTTTTTTTATCTCTTTTCTTTTCTCTTCTTAATTGACTCAAAATGGCAGACTCAACTACAACCGAGAAATTTACAAAAACGGCTACAGAATTAACTGCAGAAACCACCTCCCACAAATCTTCGAATAAAAAGTCAAAGTCCGATAATGCAACAACATCTTCAGATGGTTTCAAGGATTCTTCAAGCCATTCTGAAAAAAACATAATAGCTGCTGCAGTCGAAACAACTGAATCATCGTCAAATAACAGTCAAAAAGAAACTGAAGCAAAAGCAACTGCTGCTGCTGCTGCTGCTGCTACAACTGAAAATGAAAAAGCAACGACAAAAGCAAAGGCAGCAGCAACAACAACAACACAAGAACCTACTACCACCACAACACAAAAGCCTACTACCACCACAACACAAGAGCCTACTACTACCACAACACAAGAGCCTACTACTACCACAACACAAGATCCTACAACAACTACAAATACAACTACCACTGCAATTGCAACGACAACGACAACTGTTGCAGCATCCACTACATCAGCAGTAGCATCTATTACATCATCATCATCCTCTGCTTCTTCATCCAGCAGCAATGCCTCTATTTCCTCTTCGAGTGTAGCTCATACATCCATGCCATCTTCTTCGTCTTCATCAATTACAAGCAGTTTGTCTTCAACTGCATCTTCATCTAGCATTGCACCTAGTGCTTCCGTTTCCAGTAGTGCTGACACAGCCAACAATTCCTCCAGTGATAAAACTGGTCTTATTGCAGGCATTGTCGTTGCTATTGTTGCCCTTATGTTTATCGGTGCTTTTGCCTTGATGCTCATTCGTCGCAAGCAACGTAGAGCAAGAAGAGCTAATCGCCCTGCACGTACTATGGATGAATTATGGGTGCCTAGTGCTGAATATGAAGGCTATCAACCAAATTCTGCACGTGATACAGACGAGGGCGCTCATGAAACTTGGGAACCACATCCATCGGAGCAAGGATTTCAAGTCGGGACCATTGAACAACAGCCTTACACGGACTACAACCATGTGGCATCTCCTGCAATGGCCTATATGCCTGGCACTCAGCAACCAGAACACAATGCTGCTGGACAGTATTATCCTGGTTCGCCTCTTCAAGGCTACCAGAATGCTGCTCCTTATTCTCCTCAGCTTCAGCAACAAGATAAGCTGTACTACGAACCTGCACAACAAGATGTCTATCCTGATCAAAATTTCCAACAATACCAACAACCTGTCATTGCTGAACAACAACCAGGACTGTACCACGAGCAACAGGCAATGTATCACGATTCTAACCAACAACAGCCTATGTACCACGATCCTAACCAACCTTATCCTCAGCAACAGGATCAACAGATGATGTATGCTCAAGAGTACTATCATAATGGACAATTTCCAGATGCTCAGCCATTGCCAACGCAACCATTACCCACCCAACCATTACCAGCACAACCTCAATCACCCATCGTGGATCAACAGTTCAACCAACAGCAACCCGCGGCTGTAATGAATGCGACTCAACCCTCATTGGCTGGAAATCAACCAGTACATGAACCTCCTCATGAAAAGTAAAAAAAAAAAAAAAAAAAAAAAAAAAACCATAGAAAGCTCGACGATAAAGATATTAAAAACATATAAATTATCTTTTCTTTACCTTATCTTGTTGTTATTATAACTACAATGCATTATTTATCAATATCCTATCTATCATATATACATACCAATACATCCACCCCTTCTTTTTCCGCTTCTATAAATAGTCAATAAGCATCACATAGACTTCTTCAATAAATTTTTTTTTATACTTTGTATCATTCAACCGTTTCTTTTAGCCGTTTTTAGGGTATTCCATTGAACGTTCATCATAAAATATTTGGCGTTTAGTTTTATTTCGGTCCATGACAATGGAAGAATTTACTCTGGAACACTTTTTTAAAGTTGAATTAAATTGGCTTAAATAAAGTACGACAGTGTTAAACTCTCTTTTTTTTTTTTGAATGACTAAAAAAAAATTAAGTTTTGACTCTGCAAAAAAGAAATTATTTTATTCTGCACAATTGTCAAAACACTCCGTCCTAAATTAAGTATCCGCTTTGCTTTATGCTAGCGCCCTTTCTTACGATAAATAGTGTGTTTGATACATTACAGTTTTCTCTGTATTATTAACAACAATAAAAAGTATGCTATCAATAAATTTCACAAAAAAAGTTTGTGTTTAAGGCTTTGATTAGAACATCAAACCATCATTTGGCTTAAGGTTCACATTGGTTTTGTCTACTCCATCATGGAAAAAGCTACCGTCAAATAAATCAATAAAAGTGTTCCTAAAACCATTCTTTAAACAAAACTTTACAGAGAAGAATTGACGACACACTTGAACCTTATTCAAATGCCAGCAAAGTTTGTATTTGCATTAAAATCAAAGAGAACCTTTTCTTTTTTTTTGCATTTATGGTTTTTTTTTCTTTGATTATTTCAAGCATGGGAAAGATTATAAATGTATTGACTAACTGATGATTCTGCTTTATGCAAGAACTGAACTCAACTTTGCTTTCGCTAAATTACATCTCAAGCTAAAACATTTCATTATGGTTATTTTTAAAGTGATATACCAAGTTTAAAAAAGACTATATATTATGTCTTTTTCATTCTTGAAATAGTGTAAACCACCCCTTCATTCAAAGATAATTTAATGAATTAATTGTAAGGCTTACATATATCAAAGATAACTAGCAACCATAGGTAACAAAAAAAGAGGCTCCTTTTTATTGTCTTTGCTACTGGGTTTAGTGTTGATAATAACATCCTGTTTTTTTTTGTTCCAGACTACCAATGAATTTGTCTATATTCAATTGCAACTTGACAAGCGCGAATGGCTGACCATAATCCAACCAAGAAAAAAAATGTTGGTGCGATAAACGAATACTACTTTTAAAGAAAAGCTTATATATTGTAGAACATCTGCAAATTTCTATACTAGTTATTTACAAATCAAACCATACTTATTAAGTCAAATGTCTTGGTATTTGTTTAGTCTCAAAAACTGCTTGATCTCTTTCAGAAAAAAAAGATGGTGTTTAGACAATGACATGAAAGGAACAGGATATTAAAAGGAGTAAACTAGAAGCAAACTTTGCTCGAATGAGTCATCTGTGCTTTTTTCTTAAAATAGTTTATGGATGCATCTCAAACGTTCTTTATTGTAACAATAAAGGCGCCTAAATTCGGAACAAGGAAATTTAAACTTTCAAGCAGTACAAGTTTCATATGTTTTAGCAATACTCATCAATAGTACCTTGTGAATGTCTTTTTCGTTGTTTACTATTACTTCCCGGGACTGTTCTCAATGCACAAAAAAAAAGGAAAGGGAAAAAAACAGAAGCAATATTTCAATGTTGAAAGGATATACGAAAAGGATTGAGTTGTAAGCCAGGTTACATGTAATTTTCGTTTTTCTTTTATCAGATCTTTTTTTTTTGATGCGTTAAGACAAAAGTGAGATTAAACCAAGAAAGGTTAGGACAGAACAAGAACCCCCAGATTTTTTGGTTTGTGCGAATCAGATAACCCTCTTTTTTTTGACGTAAAAATAAGCTGTAGAGAAAAAAGATCTGATAATACGTATTGATTTGATTGGATATCCAGAGTCAACATTTTCTTTTTTCAAGAAAGACTCGTGAGTTACATCACGAAAAGCAAGCTTTGAGGATAACAAAGGATTTATTTTCAATAAAGCCCAAACTTTTATTATCATTCGTTTCATGTGCTATGAACTTATATAGATCAAGGTCATTTTATGTCCTCATTCAAGGGATATACGTACCGTAGACTACAATAAGATTTTTGAGGAATTATAAAACAATTATCCTGGCTTTTACGCAGTCAAAACCTTAATTCATTTGTTATTCCCTTGCAAACTCAGTTTATTTATTTTAAATTGTAACCACTCTTATCAGATCTTTAGATAATCAAGCGTGTTTGATTGTATCCTTTGCAACAGCTAGACACTTTCAACGCCATATGCTATATATGATCAATGGAATAATTCTATTTGAAATTTCTATTAAGCTATTAATGAGATGATATATTACATGACTGAAGTAGTAAAAAAAAAGGTGGATGACAGATCTAGATCCTTTAAATCACATTGTTCAGTTAGTATATATTGATCGTACAAACCGTTCCGCTCTCATATAAAAAAAGGGATCTGATAATCATGAAAGCGAAATGATGGTAGTTGTATTACTGTCTTTTAGGTTTTTTTATGAGGGGTAAGGGAGGGGGTCCAGTTATCTGATCTAAATGTATAGTTTTCAAAAGGCGGTTGAATCCTACGATGCACAAGAAAATTTTTTTGTTACTACAAGGCGGAGAAATCAATCTGATAAGATGGAATTCTAAATTCTCTGTTTGTGCGTTACAGTATCACCATCATACCCTCGATTATCCGACCACAAAAAGAGGGTATAAAAGAGATCTGTCTCGATTTCTTTTTTTTTTCTTTTTTCTTTTTCGCTATCATTATGTCTACATTATCTAACAAAAAACTTACTATTCACCCTTCTTATCCAAATCCTAATCATCCTACTAAACAACCTCAACATAAAAAGACAATGAAACACATAAAAAGTCAACCTTCATCACCTACACAACCTCCTAAACAGTTTAGTCATCATCCTCATGATAAATTTTTACTTACCCCTCCCAGTTCACCAGAATCACTTCCTCGCTTAACAAACCACCACAAAAAGAAAACAAGCAGTACCTACGAATACAATAACCGTATCTTGACTGCCAAAAGAAATGGAAACCTCCGTAATGTCATGAACGAGTTTACATCCATGAAAAAGAACAATGTCCAAATGACTCATCATACTTATAATCTTGTTTTGGAAGCACACGCCATTCTTCGTCGAGAAGGAACACCGCTGACAAATATGTTGAGAAGTAAGAAACAATGATCTCTATAATGATGAAATGACTGACTTGTTTCTGTAGTTTACAATGAAATGATACAACATCAGATCCAACCCAATGCTTATACCTATATCTTGATGATACGTTCATTGTGTAAGCGTGATGTTGAAGTTCAAAAGACAGTGGCTATGCTCAAGCGCCAATCTGCACGCATTGGACATAAAAACGAAGATGTAGTTCTATTGGAATCTGAAGGCAACTTGAACATGGCACTGGCCATCTTCCATTATGCTGTTGCTGATGGTGTATCTGTAAATTCATTTGAAGTCGAGATCTTTAACCAATTACTTCGTGTCCTTTCTCATTATGGTGATACAACAGATGCTGAATTCGTCTATCGCCAACTTGAACAACCTCATGTTCATGCCAGACCCAACTCGGCTACGTATGCTGCTTTGATCAACTTGTTTGGTCGTGCTGGTGATATTGACACAGCTCTCTATTACTATCATGTCTATAACCAGGTCAAAGATACATTGGGGCCTCATGATACCTCATATATCTTCAATGCTTTAGTTGATTGCCATTTGAAATGCAATAGGCTTGAAGGTGCCCTCCATGTGGTTGAACATGATATGGTAGAGCATGGTATCAAATTGACATGTATCCCTTACAATTCCATCATCCGTCACTACTGTGCTCATAACCAAATGGAAGATGCTGAAGCCCTTATCGAGCGATTGATTCAAGGCCATCAAGAAGACAGCGAAAAGTACCCTTCACCTGACGCTAGCAGTTATGGACCTATCTTATCTTCGTATTGTCAAACAGACAAATGGGAAGAAGCCACACGCATCTACAATGCGCTTCGAGAGACAGATATCAGAAAAGCCTATGGTAATCTTGCCAATTATGCCTTGCTTTGCCTTACACACCAAGACCGTCAGAAAGCTCTTTCTGTCATTCAAGACATGACCCAAGCTGATCTAGAGCCGGATCCTGTATTGGCTGAGCGCATGGTGACTAGTTTTGCTCAAGCTGAACAAGTGGATTCAGCTATCCATGTCTTGTGTACACTTCAACAAGCCATGTCTTCTCGCTCTTTGATCAAGGGTGCTGGTCATCTTGTAAATAGTGCGCTTGAAATTGTGCTTCATTGTGACACTGTTTGTCAAGTCTTACAAGTGATGCAAATCATCATGCCATTAGCCAATCAGGATAACCATGGAGCCGAGTCTCCTTCTTCGTTTGACATTATCTGCAAGATTCTGATTGATTCCTACTTTGAACAATCAGCACAAGTAAAAGACAGATTGACGACGGCAGATTTCCAACTCTTGTTCCATGCAGTTTTTGTTGTTTATGGCTATCAACAACCTTCTTGTCTTGGTGATGCATTAACCCAACTGCTTCAAGACATGTGTGATTTTAGAGTGGATATTCCTCTTGATCTCTATGAAGACATTCTTGATCAATTACAAGCCTATGATGATGTCGAACTTGAATTGAAATGGAAGATAGCCTTTGAACGCAACACGATGTTACCTGATTCTACAAAACAAGATCCTATTATGGCTGAGGACGACGACGACGATGACGATGATGATGTTATTATTGAGATCGCAGAAGACGAGTATCCTTCCAAGGCTAACATGGTATCTCATGAGATACTGAAGGCAATTGTCAGCGGCAATGGTTGTGAAGCCATGCGCATCTTTGAAGACCGTATCATTTGTCAAGGCTTAATTCCCTCCCCTGAAATCATGCGCGACGTCATTACTCTTGCTAGCAAACAAGGTGATACTCAAACAGCCTTGACCATGTATAACAATGCCATCTATGCTTACAAAGACATGCCTGATATGCAGACAAAAGAAGAGGCCATTTACATGGCTACCAATAGTCTCTTAATTGGCTATGCTCAAAAAGGCGATATAGACAAGGCCAAGGTCTATTATGATCGTATCAAGGCCATGGGTCGTTTCCCAGATGGCGATGGATATGCAAGTTTACTTCTTGGTAGTGCTAAATGTGCTACAGACGAAGCCACAGACGCTTTAGCCATTTATGACGAAGCCAAGCGTCATCATGTCAAGCCCACCACTTTTTTCTACAACGTGATGATTTCCAAGTTAGCCAAGGCGCGTAAACTAGACCTTGCTCTCAATCTGTTTGAAGAGATGCAATCATTCAACGTACCTCCTAATTCAGTTACGTATGGTGCTATCATTTCTGCCAGTGTTCGTTCAGGATCAGAAAGTCAGTCGCGTCGATTATTTGGTGAGATGCTCTCTTCGCCTTCGTATCAGCCTCGAGTGGGTCCCTTTAATAACATGATGCAGTTTTATGTTCGCCAACATCCTAGCAGAGAGCGTGTGCTTGAATACTTTGCTGAACTTCGTCGTCGTCAGATCAAGCCCTCTCCTCATAGCTACAAGTTATTGATGGAAGCCTATACCCACATTGCACCTTATGATATGCCTATGGCACATAAACTCTTGAGCGACATGACAAGATGCGATCGTCTTTGCCCTCAGGCAACCCATTATGCTACTCTGATTTATTCGTATGGTATCCTTCAACGTGATGTTCTGAGTGCCGAACGTGTATTTGCCGAAATGAAGCGGGTCAAAATCCAGCCTGATGAAGCAGTCTATCAAGCGATGATTGATACACTGATCAGTAACAATGCGCTCGACAAAGCCGAGCAGGTCTATCATGAACTCAACAAGAATAATCAATTACAAAAGAGCGGGTCTCCTTATATTGAAAATCTGTTTATTCGAGGCTATGGTGAAAAGGGTCAGTTGGAAAAAGCCGAGGCTGTCTTTGAAGCCATGTCTGATGATAAAATGCAATCTTCGTTTTATGTGATTCGTGAACCAAGTACATATGAAGCCATGATTCGAGCCTATCTTTTGAATGACAAATTAGACAAGGCCAAAATCATTTTAGACAAGATGATTAAGCGTGATTTTCCGCCTAAAGTGATCGGTGTTGTAGCTGATCTTATGCTCGCATAGAGATCTCATCTTTATTTTTATTTTTTGAATCTCCCCCCCCTTTTTATTCTCTCTTCTTTTCCCTTATTCTCTTTTTTTTTATTGAATAATGTCTAAAGCAAAAAGTTTAGGTAGATACTGAATAAATTCAAAATTACATATTGACTTTGTCTAGTTGAATCTCTTCTCAAGATTCCTACTGTTAGAATAAAGAATGTTGCCAACACGACTGAAAAGTTACAAAAGATCATTCAAGATGGTAGACGCAATCTACACTTTATTAGTGGTAAATAACAACAAAGAGAGAAGCAATGAATTTAATGTTTAGATTTTGATATGACTATGTCTCGTCACTGGGTTCGCAATAAGGAAACAGATGCCTTAGAGCGTAACTCTTCTTCTCACGGTATTCCTGCTCGGTCTGGTTTATTGACGGATGAAGTAAGTTTTACTTGAAATTATGTATTTTATGCTTATCATATCAGTATAAAAAAGAAACAGCTAGAATTTACAACAAATATTATCCCATTGAGATTGATCAATCTATGACTCATGAAGAGAAAGTACCTTATATGATGCAATGGTGGGTAGAAGCACACGCTAGTTTAATTGCTCAAAAGATCTCTAAGCATGGTATGTGTGTATGCGTATGTGTGTGTGTGTGTGTTTTGTTGCTTATTTTTATTTTTATTTTTTTTTTTACATATAGACTTGGAAGAAATGGCAAGAAATGTCAAGATTGAATTAAGATCTGAACTAGAAAAAGTATTGATCAACTGTAGAGATACACAAGTACCTTTTCTTGTGTTTTCTGCTGGCATTGGTGATATCATTGAAGCTATTCTGAAGCAAGTGGACTTGTTCTATGACAATATGCACATTGTTTCCAACATGATGGTCTTTGATGAAAATGACATTTGTGTTGACTTCAAAGAGCCTCTTATTCATGTATTTAACAAGTCAGAATTTCAATTGGAAACTTCACCTTATCACAAATTGATCGAGAAGCGAGGCAATGTTGTCTTGATGGGTGATAGTCTGGGTGATCTTCAGATGAGTCAAGGCGTGGCTCATGAACTCTGCTTGAATATTGGTTTCTTGAACCATGATATTAAGGCCTTGGAATCTGCTTATATGGATGCCTTTGATGTTGTTATTGAAGGCGACGCTAATATGAAGCCAGTGATAGAAATCTTGAATTGTATAGAGTAATAGAAGACTTGTTTATTAATAGTATTAAAAAAAAAGAAAGAAAGAAAGAGAAAAATAAAGAGTAAATAGAGTAAATTACAAGATCAAACAACCCTTCTTCTTTCTAGGTCGCACAGGAGGAGACAAGACAGCTCGAATGGCTTCATCAAACACGTTTTTAAGACCCTTTTGAGTAAGTGCAGAACATTCAAGGTATTTAACAGCTCCAATATCTTTTGCCATTTGCACACCTTGAGGGTAAGAAATAGGTGCCATACGCTTTTGCTTCAATCTCTCAATTGTATCACGATCTTCACGTAAATCCAATTTGGTACCCACCAAAATAATAGGAATATTAGGTGCATGATGACTGATTTCAGGGTACCACTGAATAAATTGGCTTGTCAAAATAACAAATTTGATTTCGTAAAGGGACTTACCTTTGTGCGGACATTTTCGAATGATGGAGGGCTTACAAGTGAAAAGCAACTAAGAAAGACGTCCGTTTGAGGATAAGAAAGAGGACGAAGACGGTCATAATCTTCTTGACCTGCTGTATCCCATAAACCCAAATTAATGGGTTTACCATCAACCATAACATTAGCAGAATAGTTGTCAAATCTAATCAATCATTCAGATAAACTATACATAACATAGACACACATACATACACTGTAGGAATATATTCACCGGGGAAAGCATTTGTTGTGTATGAAATTAATAAACAAGTTTTACCAACAGCACTATAGACTGATGAGCACATCATCTTGTTCATCTTGGTTCTTACCCATCACCAACAACAACACATTTAATAGACTGCATTTTTTGTGGTATTTATAAAAACGCGCGCGTATTAAAATAAGAAAAGAGAAGGGAAAAGGGGCGAAAATAAAAATATATATATATAATAAAAAAAAAAAGTGCTTCATCCAATTCGTGTAACTTGTGTTACTACTTTATCTCCTTTCTTTCTCTCTTTTTTTATTTCTTTTTGAATAGACTATACTGAATAAAAGAAAAAAATACCTGAATAGAAAGCATAGTAAAAGAGATCAAAAAGAAGAACAAGAAAAGAGAGAGAGAGAGAGAGAGAGAGAGCAATCATGATAAAAGAACAAGAAGATCAATATCGGACTTTATTATGATTAGACTACAAAATTATCAAGACCTATACCACATAATTCAAAGGGTACTTGTATGTCTTGTCTAAAGGAAATACGTATCGATTTAAAAGGTTGTTGGTAAGGACATTTGAAATTGAATCCAATGCGATAATTCAATTGTGTATTTGGTGTCAATTCAATATCACAATCATTCCAGGAACCATACATCACATACTGAACTGTCACTCTAAACAGTTCATTTAATGGTAAAGTGAGTTCATTCGGCGTATAGAGTATCACTCTTCTTGCTTGTATATCACCTGTCATATATAAACCAAAATAATCGTCTTCAGTTGGATCTACATAGGGTGAATACACTTATGAAAACACATATCGACTTACTTTTCAATGTATTCCAACATGTCTCTGTATCTTGATCTACTGCTTTATAATAGGATTGGTAGATATAGTTGGTTGGTTTAGGCAAATTGGGCCAAGTATGCTGATAGACCTGTTCATAGTCAGACATGTTGGAAATAAAGCTTGAATTAAATAAGGGTTGTTCTATTGGCATTGCATGGATATTTGTGATAAACAAACAACGGTCATTAGCGCAGCTTGATCTAACATCTCTTTCTTCTACAGGCGGTGTTGCTTCAGTCTTGGTAAAGTAATGGTCTTGTTCACCCAAGAGACTATTGTTGTTTAGATTGGATTCTAATATAGACAATGCATGGTACTATTCACTTTGTTTAGTTTGTACAAATGTCTGAAAAACATTACCATATGATATTGTACAAACTTCCTATTGTTAACGCTGTCTAAATGTTTAAAACTGTCTCGACCAAAGGACAATAAAGGGTTGGATATTAAGTAAGGATATTGATTCAGCCAAATTGAAAAATAAATCTCAATAAATCTGAATTTAGATTCACCTTCCAAGCCATGTACACTCATTTGACTAAGAAAGGCCTGTACCTTTTGACGAGATACAAATGCACCATATCGCATGTCGGCATAGCCTGTATGAAGAGAAATGGCTAACAGGACAATGAATACTTTGTTGTTATCCATTGCTATTTACCTTGATTTTGAAATCGCCATGTCATATAGTCAATATAATTAGAAGGTCTTGAATTCACAACAAATTGATCTGGATAACGAAGTGAATGGGTATAGAGACTATCCAAGTATGTATTCAACCATAAATCATCTTGAAAATAACACATATCAAATGAAGCAACAGCACAAGCAGTAAATTTGCCTACGTTAAATAAGGAGGCGTCTGTTTGGATCACTTGAATTTGTATGTCTGTACCATTATAAAATGACTAACAAGTGTTAGACAGCGAAGAAATCTCATCCAAGTATACCTTGACATCCAATGGACTCTTGAATGAATTATAAATCAAGATTTCCTTGACAAAAGGATATTTCGCTAAATGTTGAACAGCATGAACAATGCCTTGTTGCCTCTTTTCCACTCGATTAATAATCGCTGTGATGGGCGGTAATCTTTGTTGATTTTGTTTCGAAAATGCACTGAGTGGGAATAGACTTTTTTGTGTCAGTGCGGGTTCATTTTCTAGTGTCTGAATATGCCAGGTAGGAGGGTCTACCTCCAAGTTAAATGAGTGAGTATGTTTCTGATCAGGCGACTTTTTGACCGAGTCAAGCTGAAACCAAGTAAAGAGTATTATTAAGCCAAAAACAATATAGATAAAGATTCTTTTTAATGCAAAGCCATCTTTTTTATTCATTGTTACAAGAAGAAGAAAAAAAAAAAGAAAAATAAATTTTTCAAGAAGGGGTTTGGACCAAAATAAGGTACTCGATACGATTGGTCGATCCCTTTCTTATTTGTTTGCTCCTATTTCAACACTACTCCTGTTTTACTGTTCGTTATTATTCATGTAGAAAGAAGAAGAGTTTATTGAATACCGGAGTGAAGAAAAACAACATGTCGTTTGCTTCTTTTCTTTTAATTGTCTTGTTTTTTATTTTCGAAACAATAAATTTAAAGTAGTACAAAATTATATGTGTCACTCTATACCGATGCTGACGAAGACCGAATTTGTAACACACTTTATTTCTGATCCTTGATTTTTGTCATGCAATTATGGCACTTGAACACCAAAGCATTGGAAAGACTGTATTTGTTCTTGGCATGAGGTCCTGCTCCTACGCCGTAATGATTCTTGTCGTTGGCCTTGAGTACAATTTGAAGTTCTGCTTCTGCTTTAGCGTATTCCTTGTCGAGTATAAGCATTTGTGCTTTTTCATATCGACTAAAATAATACACATAGTGATCTAAAACCACCTTATTGGCTTCATCAAATACTATTTGTAATGATTGTTCATGTATCTTGTGCATTTCTTGATCTTTTGTGATTTCATAAAGCATTCTAGCTGTAGAGGCTCGAAGGAAGTGAGCTAAACAAATATCGTCATAGTAGTAAGTATTTGCCTTATCGAGCTTATTCAGTTCAGTATCAATGCGCTTCAGATTGTTTTCCAAAACAGTCTTTGGAATAAAGCCAAACATAGTAAATGCGCTTAATATCTCGAGATCAGGCAACATGAGTCGATTGTGTTGTAGCGTAAACTTTCTTGCTTTTCGTGCAACAAATTTCTTGAAGCCATAAGTCACTCTCTTTTTAGGATTGAAATATACTTACTTCCATTGGAATTGATTTACCAGCAATCTTTTGTTTTTCACCTGTTATTTTTTCCATGCGTTCACTAACTTCTTCAAAATCTTTACCGAGCATATAGAGAGAAACAGCCTTAAGATAAGAATACACAGCCTTAGACCAATTACTTTCCTTTTGTAGTCCAGTATAGATATCAAATGCTTTTTGCCATTGTTGACGCATCATATAGATAGGACCTAATTCCCAAAAGCACATATGATGCAATTGCTTCCAGTCCTTTTGTGTCTCAATTGCCTTTTGATACTGCTCTTCTGCTTCATCCAACAATCGCTTACTCACCATCAACCGACCATTGAAATACAAAAAGAAGACACCTCGAGGATAATCCTTTAAACATCGATGCAACACAGATTCTGCAAAGGGACCATTGACTTTTGACAATGGAATCATTTGAGATAAGACAATGTGATAGCTAATCAATACCATATCACATAATGGTCGACGTAATCCATGCTGGTCTTCATCACGGCTAGCTGACTCGAGCACCTGAAGACCATGGTCTCGATCAGAAGAAAATCCGACAAACTCCGCAACTTTGATGACAGATGCTGGTAACATGGAAAGAATTAAGCTAAAGCAACCTACGCCTAGAGCAACACCTGATGTAAAATGTTCGTCTAATGGCTGGTCTGCTTCGTTCACATATTTTTCGAGTATCATGTACGTATTGTAACTGCTGCGAATATTTAAACTCTCTCGAAGAAAAGACATGACACTTTCATCGTGTAGAATACCCAGCAATGCCTTGAGTAAATAAGCTTCTGCATGAACTAATTCCTAATTGTATACGTTACATACTGATGTTTTTGTATGTGAGACTTACAGCATGTCTCTCTACAACGGTCATGGCTTTGATATCTTCTAGGCTTGTGCCTTTGACCCAATTGGTGACACTGTTGATCCAATGACTGTCCTTTTTTCGTTGCTGACTCGCTAATTCAATTGTATGCTTTAGCATGTTTAATGCCGTGACGATATCTTCTTCTTGAAAAGTCATGACACACTTGAGAAACAGAATGAATGAATGACCGAGAGCATAATACATGGATTGTTTGTAATATGGTCTCAGTACAGCCTCTGCTTCTGTAATACTCGAGTTAAGGAAATAATCTAATGCTCTTTTTACGTCTTTAATCTCGGCGTATAATTGTTCTTGGTTGGTAGCAACGTATAATTCATCATAGCTTGCATTCGGTGTGGCAGTAGGTGTATTTGGTGTTGATCTTGTTCCAAATGGATTACCAATTTTTGACAAAAGGCCTTTTGTCTCTACTTTTTTATTAAACGAAAGACTCTTGACTAGTTTTCCTTCCATTGTTAAAAAAAAATAAGAAAAAGAAAGAACAAAAAGAAAACCCGCTGTTGTAAGTGAAATGGAACATCTTTCGGCCCATTAAATAGCCGAGTTTTCTATTCTGTCAAATCTGACAATGAAATAAGCGCTTTCAAAAACAGAAAACAAGCTGCATTAGGATAATTGTAAACAAAAAGAGGTACTATAAAAAAGGAGGGATGCTTTCATCGTTTCAAATAAAGGTGTTTTCAATATAAATATGCCTTGAAAAAATTTCATTTTTCTTTCTTTTTTCATTTTCCTAAAATGACTTCGCAGAGTGGTACAGTTATTCATCTTGGCCCAAAAGAAACATATGAACGCTCTTATTCACCACTTGTTGACGAAAATGGTGCTCCTTTGTCGCCACCTCTATCGCCCAACCAAGAAGTGTGGCGACTCTCGATTCCTATGACAAAGAAACTGCCTGAAGAACCGATCATTGCTTATTGCTATCAGCCTTATTTACTGAAAGCATTACCACCTGTTCCTTACCCAAGTTGTACAAATAATTGCGAACGACAAACACCAACACCAGTTGCACAAGGACGACATCACGGTCGTAGCGTATCTCAGATGATAGTGATGCCATCACCTTCCGTGGAGGGTTATCATAACCGCCCACAGTCTTGTTCTTTACCCTCCGCAACACAAGAGCCCCCCACTACAACGTCTGTGCCACGGAAATTACCTGTATTTGGACCTGCTCCAGCTAACGATGAGGATTATCTTAGAACGTCTCCAGAATCAAAAGAACTACCGCCTCGTAAGTAACATTCAACTCATGAAACTATAGCTAATCCCCCACTTTTTATTAGAAAATAAATCTGCACGTCAAATTGTTGTGAAATCGATTGATGATGAGCACCGTGTCTGGATTACAGTAGACCCAAAAGAAACAGGAAAATCACTCGCCAAGAAAATATATACACTTGCTTCATTTAGAACACATAAAGTATTAGGGATCAAAACCGCTTCTGGACGACAAGTGATGTTGGATAAATCACCACTGTTTGAAAACTGGCAAGATATGGATGATTTTAATAATGGAGAAACATGGAGTATCACTTGGGGAACACGAAAAAGGTCGTTACTTGATAGGTTCCTTTCCAAACTCTTAAAGTTATAACATCTCATTTTTAATGTATTTAAAGTTTGGCTTTTTATGGGTACACACACACACACACACACACAAAAACGACTTTGATGGTTGTTTATATGCTTATTACATTTTAATAAATTAATAGACTTTTTTCTTTCTTCTTCTTCTTTCCTTTTTTTCCCCTCATTTAACATGCCTAATTCAGCTTCCATGTCAACCTATACTACAATGATGCGAGTCAATTCAACAGGACGACCTTATGCAAAAGTAAGCAACTAGATACACTACAATATACTGATAAAGATGTAGGACCTTTATGATCTATTTGCTGCCTTACTTATTCAACTGCCATTATCGGATCATCGCTCCTTATTTCGAACGTATCCTTCTACTTTCACGACAGACGAAGCAGTTGAATGTTTAGGAAATTTGGAATTCACCAATCTTGTTTCAACACCTAATCCCTTAGATGCCACTAAACCATTACTCACACGTACCACCACTACTTTTAGTATGTCTCGAGCCATGGCCAAAACATTAGGCCAGCACTTTATCAATGCGCGCCTCGTAGAGAATGCAACCGATCCGCAAAATCGTACTATGAAAGACCGCGGCATTTGGGTTCCGACACCCAAAGGCAAATTTGTGATTCAGGACTTTAGTCATCGTGCCCGTGTTTCTATCAAACATATGCAGCCCCATTTATCCCGCATTCATAGTTTTCATATTGTTCAGTTTGAACGATTGTTAGATGATGATCAAATCTCATTTTCTAGGCCAAATATCATGGACGCCTTCAAGACCATGATGGAATGGCTGCCTACAGATACTCTGATGATTGATGATATTGGCGGTAAATTTTTTTATCCTTGATTTCTATTTTTGACTTGTAATTTCAGGAGTAAACAACAACAATCTGATCGAATACAAAGATACGTTTTTTGGATATCAATGCTTTGAATGGATTAGTGAATACACAAGCGTTGTTTCAAAAGAAGAAGCTGAGATGATCGCGGCTGAATTTGTACAATATGGATGGATGCTTCAAGTACTAGATAAATCAGATAGAGAATTAAGCAAGAAAGACATGAGTGTGCTTTTTAAGGCAGGACGAAAGACACAGTATTATCTTACAGACAAAGGTCGCCAGATGATTGAATCCACAACCAACCTTCAAAGCTTTCTAAAGGGAGAAAGCAGTGAAGGAGGTATGGGCGCTCCTACTTTTCGATCAAGAACACAAAGCTCTGCCACCACAAGTAGCAGTAGCAGTAGTATAAGAACCAATCATAGTAATAGTAGTCATATTCACACTCAAAAACCACTTCCTTCCACTCCTTTTAAAACCAAAAAAGAAGAATATGCAAGCCGTTTGTTGCCTACAACAGCCGTGACTCCTTTAGCTGAATACGATGGTATTGTACCAAAGGCTCTTGTGACAAAACAGAATCCAGTACCTACTGAAGAAACACATGTTCAAGATGTTCAACTGACTGACCATACATTTGGCTTCTCTTCTGATTCAAATGATATTCATGCAGATACATATGAAGTCGAAAAGGAACTTGATAATCTAAAGATCCATGCTCCTGAATCACTAGAATCCAATCCTTCTTCTATTGCAGATCATTGTCATCCACATACTGTCTCACAGAACTCTCGTCTTCAAAGTGTACTAGAAGACCCATTGATTCGCATGTATTTTAGAGACTTTTTAAAGTCTTGCTTTTGTGAAGAAAATATCAATTTCTGGGTTGATTATACTGCTTTAATCAAAAAACTAGGCTATGTTGTAGAAGAAGACCAGCCTATGACAGCACAACACTTGCAAATACCTGATAGTTTGTGCAATACCTTATTGATTCATTGCTATGTCATTTACAATACTTATTTTTGCCCAGATCATGCACCGAACGAACTCAATATTGATCACGGTCTTCGCTATGATATTATACAGTACATGCAATCGACATTCACAAATACTTTTACAGATGATAGTGATGACGATGCACTTAAAAAATCAATGGCTGCTGATGCTTCAAATGTACCTTTTGGCTCTATCTCTGTCTCGTCTCATGGTCTCTTGTCTTCTACACAAAATGCACCTTTTGTCAGAAGAAAGAAGAAGAATGACAGCCCCATGAATAACAGCAATGGCTCCTTGTTTTTGACTATTAAAGAAGGCATTCGGGATAGTCCTCAAGTGTGTCTATTTAAATTGATGCAGCTGTATGATCAAGTCAATAATCACGTTTGTCGTACAATGGCTCAAGACAGTGTTCCTCGATTTATAAAGACACAGCGTTATCAAGATCTAATGAAATCTTATTATCAATCTTCTGTAGATAAAATCAAGGAAAGTGATGAAGAAAACGAAGATAGTGATGATTTATCCTTATGAAATATGCGTGTGTAAATAAACTTTGTAATCTTTTTGTGACACCAAAACTAGTTTAAAATTAAGTATTTCTTTTTTTCTTTTCTTTTTATTTTTAGGATGAACCCATTCTTTCCCAAGAAAATCAATACAAGACTACACTACTTCAAAATAAAAAAGTACTTGCCTGTAACAAATAGTGGTGTGATTTATCATTGTGGCGGCATATCTCATACAAGAGACGATACAGACGTCGAACTTGACTTTAGACAAGAAAGCAACTTTTTTTATCTTTCAGGCGTAGAATCATCAGCAGGATATCATATCTTGATTTCGACAGAGTCTGATGCAATCTATCTTGTTAGACCAACTATTTCACCAACAGAGCAATTATGGAAAGGGATTCCTCAGACAGATCAAGAATTATTAGATACATATGATGTAGATCATATCATTCAAGCAGACCAAATCACACAGCTCTTAAAGGACATTGACCCAACGATTATTTATACACTAAACACAACAGACACAAGTGCTATACCGCAGCCATTTAAGAAACAGTTGAATATTGCTGTCTTGAAAGCAGCTATTTATGAAGCGCGTCTAACAAAGTTTCCCTGGGAAATTTCTCTCTTGAGATACGCAGCTCATATCTCATCACATGCTCACATTGATCTAATGACTACGCTTGGAAACAAAACAAAATCAGATGTCTATGAAGCTGAACTAGAAGCCAAGTTTCGATGGGTGTGTTCAAGGAACGGATTACCGAGACAATGCTATATACCTATTATTGCTTCTGGCCCTCGTGCGGCCGTATTGCATTATACAGACAACAACAAGCGGATACCAATAGATGATCCTCATGCATTGGTACTGGTGGATGCTGGTGGCGAATATCGATGTTATGGAAGCGATGTCTCGAGAACATTTCCTGCAAGTGGCAAATTTTCTAAAGAAGCAAGCACCATTTACAATATTGTCTTGAAAGCACAAAATGCAAGTTGAGTTATTTACGCTATATTTATAACCAATAATGTGATATTAGGCAGTACTTGATTGTATCAAAGCAGGTGTGTTTTGGAAAGATATGCATCAATTGGTTGTACGAACCTTATGCCAAGGACTAAGACAGATTGGGATATTAGTGGGTGAAGAAGAAGAGTTGATCCGTTTGAATATTTATCGAGCCTTTTATTTTCATGGTAATTGTTTTGTATCATTGTATAGTATACTTAACCTGAATGCTATAGGAACGGGCCATTCTGTTGGCTTAGATTGCCATGACGTTGGAGGGTAATATAGCCAGTCTATAACAAATGCATACTAACACACCTTGAACAGAAAGGGCATTGGCATATTAAAAACAGGAGGCATAAAAGGGGGTATTTCTCTAGAGCATTTTGACAGACCACTAGAAGAAAACATGGTTGTCACAGTAGAACCGGGACTGTATTTTAACGATGTAAGCATTCAACTCTGGACTCAAAATCGCGAATATCAATCGTATTTCAATATGGACAAAATCAACCAATACCGAGTGGTAGGAGGTGTTCGTATTGAAGACACAATTGTCATTACACGTTCTGGTCATGATAATTTGACAATTGCACCTAAACAAGTCAGTGACATTGAGGCCATCATGCAGCAATAAAAAAAAAAAAGATTGATTCAATCGGCGCTTTCGTACCCTTGTTTCCTTTTCTCTTTTTCGATATTTTATTTTTGTTTTTCCTTAAAATGGCTTCTCGTTTCTTCAAGTCTATTGTTTCTGTACAGTCAAGAACAATTGTTTCTGTAGCTTTCAGACCTTCTTTTGTTGGTGCTTTATCTTCTCAAAAGCCTGTATTAGTCAACAGTCGTTCTTATGCAAAGAAAGCAAAGGATAACAAAAAGAAAAATGTAGAAGCTACCAACGCTAAACAAGAAGAGTTTGAACGTCAATTTGATGAAAAGCAAATTCAAGAACGTTTCGAGCATTCTATTTCTCAACTTAAAGAGCATTTGAGTTCGATGCGTATCGGTAGAGCAAATCCTTGTAAGTAAAGCAAGAATTTCTTTCAAAGTAGACTGATCCTGAACCTTGTATTATAGCCTTATTGGACAAAGTTCGTGTTCATATTGAGCACTCTCATTTTGCTTTGAAGGATCTCGCTCAAGTGACTGCAAGAGACCCTCAAACATTGATGGTTACTGTCCATGATTCTGATGTAAGTAAAAAAAAGGAAAAAAATGTCACTCAAATGATATGATAGTATACTTCAGCTGTGGACAAGAGTATCCGTGAAGCTGGATTGAATTTGAACCCTATTATTGACAATAAGGGAATCAAAGTGCCTATTCCCAAGTAAGTGTGTTGTTCATTAGTCTAGTCAAATTGATCCACACAATAGACCCTCTAAAGAATCTCGTGACAAGATGGCCAAACTTGTCAGCACTACAGGTGAACAAACCAAGAGTAAAATTAGATCTATTAGACAAGATGGTATGAAGCAGTTAAAGCATGATTCAAAGCATCAGTCTGCTGATGAGATCAACAAATTGACAAAGACTGTAAGTAAAGTAATATATAAACAGTGTATCTTACTTGTAACATAGGTTCAAAATTTAACAGACAAATACAACAAGACAATAGATGAGCTTTTGAAAACAAAGATCAAAGAAGTTCAATCTTGAATAAAATAAAAGCACTGTGTGTAACACAATTGACTTGACTCAAAAGCTTAAATAGAACGTGCCCTTATCGATCCGATTACTTGTATGCCATTGTGAAGTGTCACACAAACAAACAAACAAAAATGAAAGTAAAAAAAAAACGCCTTTGCTCCTTTTTTCTTGCTTTATCCTTTTTTTTTCTTGTTATTCTTTATCTTTCAATGACTGTTCCTTTGAATCCTATACAAAAATTCGAATCAACATCTGCTGAGAATGCAGATAGACAACACTCTCATACACTTTCTACTTTGGTATGTACAAGCATGTTGAAAGAATATGTATTTATCGCGCCATAGGACTTCCAAGGTGCTAGCTCTGCTGCTGCTGCCAAGGCCATGAAGGCTGAACTTGCCAATATGGCCAATCTCATTCCAGACCAAGAAGAACGCAAGGTATAGAAATGCATAAAATACAATACTAATCTTGCTAGGCATTTGACCAAGATATGGAAGGATTTTACATGTTGTTTACTCGTTTCTTAAATGAAAAGTCCAAAGGAACAAAAATGTAAGGACGCGAAGAAACAAATAAAATATATATTCTGACTTTGATATTTAATTAGAGACTGGGAGAAAATCCAATCCCCATCCGCCGAACAAATTGTTCCCTATGCGGATTTACCAGTGGAATCATCCGCTTCAGGCCTTACTAAACTGGCTGTTCTCAAATTGAATGGTGGGTTAGGAACCACCATGGGCTGTGTTGGTCCCAAGTCTGTGATTGAAGTGCGCGACAATATGACCTTTTTAGATCTTAGTGTTCGTCAAATTGAAGTAAGTCAACAATACAAAAAAAAAAAACTAACTCATATAGTATTTAAACAAAAAACACAATGTCAGTGTACCTTTTATTCTCATGAACTCTTTTAACACAGATGAAGATACAAAGCGCATTGTTCAAAAATACGCCACGCATAATGTTGATATTATCACTTTCAATCAAAGCCGCCATCCTCGGATAAAAAAAGAAGCCCTTTTGCCCATGCCAAGAACACCTAATTCTCCTATTGAACAATGGTAAATTATAACAAAAAAGCAAACAAAAAAGTATTTAACTGTTTGTTTGGACAAAGGTATCCTCCAGGCCATGGTGACATTTATGAATCACTCTATAATTCTGGTCTATTAGATCAATTGTTAGCACAAGGAAAAGAATATCTTTTTGTATCTAATGTGGATAACTTGGGTGCTACTGTAGACATTAACATCTTGCACCATATGGCTCAGACTGATGCTGAATTCATCATGGAAGTGACTGATAAGACAAAGGCAGATATCAAAGGTGGTACTTTAATTGACTACAATGGAAAAATCCGTTTGCTTGAAATTGCTCAAGTACCTGATGAGCATGTAGAGGACTTCAAATCGATCAAGAAATTCAAGATTTTCAACACAAATAATCTTTGGATTAATCTCAAAGCAGTGAAACGAGTCATGGAAGAAGGCGGCATGGATTTGGAAATTATCGTCAACAGCAAGACAACCGATAGCGGAGAAAAAGTCATTCAGCTTGAAACAGCTGTGGGTGCTGGTATTAAACATTTCAAAAACGCGCATGGTATCAATGTCCCCAGATCAAGATTCTTGCCTGTAAAATCCACTTCCGACTTGTTTTTGGTCACCTCTGACTTGTATTCACTTGTTCATGGTGAATTGGTGATGAATCCTAAGCGTATGTTCAATACTGTGCCTTTTATTAAGTTGGGTGAAGATTTCAAGAAAGTACAAGCTTTTCTCAATCGCTTCAAATCCATTCCTCACATTCTGGAATTGGATCATCTGACTGTCACAGGAGATGTTACATTTGGAAGCAATGTAGAACTTCGTGGAACTGTCATTATTGTAGCTAATCGTAACGAAAGAATTGATGTTCCTTCAGGTTCTATCTTGGAAAATAAGGTTGTCTCTGGTAACTTGCGTATTCTTGATCATTAATGTTTATTTCTTAAATAATTATGATATGATAATAAAATAAAGTTCGAGTTCGAGTTCGAGTTCGAACAAAGGTCTAATTTATGCAAAATAATTGATTGGTCGAGTTTAATGGAAAACAATTTTTATTTAAGTACACATCAATAAAGTTCCAAAGTATATTTGTAAATACGTTATATTTTTCTATTTAAAACATACAAGGGTTTCTATTGCATCATTAGCACATCCAATCTACATATTTGAAGCTAACTCTACTCGAAAATAACGTTTGATGGCGTGAATAATCAGTATTTATCGTCTAATAAGCAATTGGAGATTTATATAAAATGGCAACAGAAAGAAACGATATTGAAAAAGCAATACAATCAAAAACAAAATCACTGTTTTAGACGCTTGTTTCGCTATAAAGTATATAAAAGACATGGATTCTAGATGATCCTCTTTTTTTTTCTTTTTTTCTTTTAGTTTTCAATATTTACATTTTCCTAATACAAAATGAGACCCGTAAATGATATCTTTGGATGCAACAGAGGTTCACCACCCAATTTTAGAGCAGATATCAAGGCAGCTCTCGGTGAACTTGTTGGTATGGCCATCTTTCTCTTTTTAGCTTTATCTGGTGTTCAAGGTGGTTTGGAAGCACCTAACTCTGATCCCTCTGGCCAAGGACCTAATCCTACGTAAGTATTTTTTTTATGATCTATTAATTACTAACTCTTCTGTAAATATCAAGCCAAATTTTGATTATTGCCTTCAGTTTCGGTGTAGGTATTGCAGTTGCTTTGTTCATTTGCGGTGCTGTTTCTGGTGGTATTCTCAACCCTGCTGTCTTATTAAGTTTGATGATCACAGGCAACATCAACTGGCTTCGTGGTATTCTGTTTTTTATTGCTGAAATGGCTGGTGGTATCCTGGGCGCCTATTTTTCGAATTTTGTCACAGCTAATCAACTTCAGGGTGTCAATTTGCTTAGCCCAGGTTTCAACTATGCTCAAGGCTTTTTCGCTGAATGCTTGTTGACCATGACCCTCTGTTTGACTGTCTTGTTTATTATTGTAGACAAGCACTTATTGGCTGATTTCGCTCCCTTTGTCGTCGGTAGCTCTGTCTTTATTTGCCACATTATAGGTGCTCCTATTGATGGTACTTCCATTAATCCTGCTCGTTCTTTTGCTGCCTCTGTAGTTACTGGCAAATGGACCAATCAATGGATCTTTTGGTTCGGTCCCCTAACTGGTGGCATCTTTGCTGTTCTGATCTATTTAGGTGTCAAGGTTTTGACGGAAGAATCTCAAGAAAAGGCCTTGTTACAACAAGCACAAAACCAAGCTATTTTAGAAAACACAAAGACAGCCCCCACAAACCCCAATAGTATTGCTCCCAACCCAAATTACAATAATATTTCTAACAATGCTGATAATTTTCATAATATTAATAATGTTTAATAATTTCTGATACATAATAAAGTTCAATAATTCACCAGAGAAACTTGTGATTCGCTAAAAATAAGACAATAATTTAGAACATTGAAGCATGAAATGTCATGATTTGATTGGAAAAATATTCCCTTGTAGCTAGCAATTCATACTATTATGATTTGAATATTTCAATATAGCTAAATTTTGATAAAAGCTATTAGCTTTTTATTGTTTTTCTCGAGCATTTTAAAGAATTTTTCTATATAACACCATGAGAAGTTTCAAATGGTCATTTAGTCCTACAGAACCCTTATAATTTTCTTGATTTTCAAATTTTGGTTGAACAGCTAGAAACAGGAGTTGCTGCTATACATATTGAATGTAAGAAGAACACATAAAATGTTAGTTAGGAATACAAATTACATATAGTAGGAGTTTATCCTGTGTTATAGCAACGGTTTTTATGATGAGAAAACCTTTGTCTAAGAAAGGGACTTTTCATGTCTTTACAATCAAAAAAGCATGTTTCACCTTATTTCATTCATTTCAAAAAGTAAAGTAATAGTCTTTCATTTCATTTTTCAAGAAAGTCACTCACACGAGCAGCCATATGAATATAGCTGGGTTGTACTCCCACTCCCTTCCTTAACGCCTTTTTAGGTCTATGATACACTGGGGTAATTATCAAATTTCTAGAGGAAGTCCTCAGCAACTTTGAGCAAACATCCGTCAAATCGTCAAAGACCAACGCCTATATACTCACCAGCTTGCTCTCGAGGCAGTAAGACACGAAAGTATAATCAACGACTATGACAGGCCAAGGACAATCAGAAACAAACGTTGAGAGCTATGGAGAGCAAACCGCATTAGACAAAGCCAGACGAGTAGAAAACAGATCCTAGACAAGACAGAGATATTACTATAGACGTTCTTGAAATAAGCATAGCATTTGCTAGAAAGTGAACAATAAAAAGAGACAACAAAATACAACCGTACTAGCTATTAGCCAGTACAGCTGTTACCGTGGTCACATTTATCCCGCTGTTACCTAATGATAACTAGTACATCCTCTACATGTGGCTGCTTAAAGCAAAAGTAAAGGAAGTAAAGAAACAAAAAAGCTTGCTGCGTATCTTTTCATGGAGCTTCTTTTCCCTTCTTATTTCTTTTGATAGGGATCATCTTATAGAGAGAGAAAAAAGCAAGCGCCCGATCCTGTGCTACATTGCAAACCTGTTTATTTACATTGACATTTAAAAGTTAGACCATTGTGATTATGTATGTTAAGAGAATAGAAATAACAACCATTTATTTATTTGTTGTGGTTTTATTTGATTTTAAGGAAGAGATTTGAAGAGAAGTCGCCAAGTAAAAAGAAGGAAGTGAAGGCAGAAATAGAACTCTAAAAGTAAAGCCATAGAAAGAGAGCCTTGATGAACCAGGAAACAAGTAACTAGAATGATGATTAAAAAAAAAAGCTTTCAAGCATATATAACTTACCAAAAGACCAAAGCCATCATGCTACCCTCTAATGTGCTGATTTTCATAGCCCACGCGGCTCTGCGTAGTTCAGAGCCGAATGAACCGGCCCAAACTGGCCCTGCGTAGTTCAGGGCCAAATGGATGCCATCGCCGACAAGAAGAGGGCATTTGGAACATCACTGTACGGAAACAAGTGGTTCCCTATAAGAGAGTCAGTAAACGTGTCTTTTAGAATAATTATCTTACCTCCTTGATGGATGAGAAGAGGCTAGTAGATTTGCATACGAGGCCAAGAGAGTAGAAGAGTAAAGTAAGGTAGAGTAGGTCTTGTAGTAGAGCAAAAGTGGTCTTGAGGCCTTAAGGTAGCGTAGCTTTTGATTGAAAGAGTAGAGTAGATGATAAGTAAAAGGAAGAAAGGAAAGAAAAAAGACAAGGCTGCGCCATTTCTTTTTTATAGACGTTCTTTGCTCTTTTATACTTTCAAGCAAGCCATGTGAAAGAGATGAAGATAATCGCCTTATTTCTAAATCTGACACTATTGACTGCATGAGCCAATTAACAAGAAAAAAAATAAAAAAAATAAAAAAAATAAAAAAATAAAAAAAATAAAAAAAATAAAAAAAATAAAAAAAAATAAAAAAAAATAAAAAAAATAAAAAAAAATAAAAAAAAATAAAAAAAAATAAAAAAAATAAAAAAAATAAAAAAAAATAAAAAAAAATAAAAAAAAATAAAAAAAAATAAAAAAAAATAAAAAAAATAAAAAAAATAAAAGGAGGGGAAGAGAACATAGTCATACTGACGTCATTATTTATGCTGATAAAATACAACTCATGTATTTCATCTATGCTTCTATACATCTTGTTCTTGCTCTTTAAAAAGATGCACATGCATAGCGATCTATTCCTTTATTATGTGTGAAGATGGAAGAAAAGAAATAGTCTTTAAGAGGACATTGCTTGTTGTAAAGAAATAGACAACACCATGTGTAACACTGTTTAACTGCATAATACAAAACAAAACAAAACAATAAAAAACAATAAAAAACAATAAAAAACAATAAAAAACAATAAAAAACAATAAAAAACAATAAAAAACAATAAAAAACACCCTTGTTGCTGCCTAACCTAAGAAAAGTACACATTTAACCAGTTATTATTTGCTTTTTGATAAACAAAAAGATAGTAATAGGAAAGCAAAGAAGAAAAGACAAAGTAGCACCCAAAGCAAGGTTTTGTTACATGCGTACAAAAAAAGCATTTTTTTCTTGTCATTTCATCTTTTGAGGGCCAAACATATCAAAGCGAGAAAGCTCGATAATTTCAGAAGAATTTTCGAATGAAAAAAAAAGGGAAGTGCTTAAAATATGATTCAGAAGTGAAAAAGACAAGGGCTCACGCATACCTTCTTGTTTTTCCTAGACATATAAAGGTATTAAAAAGCCTGTTTATACATGCATAAATACTCTAGATATGTATAAATCATGTCTGATAATATATGGGGTATCTTTGGAGTTGGTCTGGGCCAAAAAAAGCGACTTGTGAAAAATGGTCAAAAATCTCCCAAAGCTTTTTTTTTTTTTTTTTTTTTTTTTTGTAGGGGAACTATGTTCTTGTTTTATTTAAAGTCCTAAAGATGTCATAATGAGTGATAATTAAGACTGGAGGGATATGATGTGCAATAAGAAAGAGAGAGGAAATGTGCATAAGTTTAACTAGTAAGGAAAGTGATTTCAGTCAAAAAGTATTAGTTCTTGTTCATTGGGTTGTTTAGTCAGCAGGCGTTTGATTATGGAGAGTACAGCAGAAAAGGTGAAGGGTATGGAATCAAAAACCAAACGCCAATGGCTGGACCATAGACCTTCCAATGTGCTAGCGCAGATTTGTTGTGTGGATAGGGCTGGGAATGCAGAATAACTGGAGCGACTGATGGTGGTACGGAGATTGAGGAGTTGTCGTAAGAGAAGGATCGATATATGTGGAGAGGATGTGACACCAGATTCTGTAATTGACTGGACAAAGAAAGTTGAAATGGTCAAGTGTGTCAATGGTGTTGCGACGGAAGTAAGGACAGTGAATGCATTGAGGGCTAGTGATGAGCTTCGGTAATTTTTGGTGTAGGTAGAAGCGAGTGTTGATGTTTTTGTGTAGGAAGTGGAATCAGATGTTGCGGGAGCGATGTGTCATTTGAAGTGACCAAAAGGCTTTCCAATTAGGGGCAATGTCAAAAGGTGAGGCGGGTGTAGGAATGTGTTGAGGAAGTAAGGCTTTATAACCAGAAATAGTGGGAGGTGCAGGTTTGAAAACTAATGGCGAGGAGACAGATTGAAAGTATGTAAGTTTTGTGACATAGGATTGCAGGCAAAAAGGATGAAGGATATTGTAGGTGTTAAGGGGAGGTGTAATCATAGTAGATTCAAGGTGAGCGAGGACAAATGGTTTGAGAAATAGTTTTTATTTGTAGATATGTTTGAAAATTTAAAGGAGGATACGACGGTGTTGAGTCAATGTATTGCATGTGCGGTATTTTATGGATAGAGATTGAGTATCATGGATAAATAGATTGTGACCAATGAGGCGGGAGAGATCAATCTCCCAAAACCAAAGGGTGCTACTCACAAAAAACTTCAAGCTGACAATTCTCTGAGCTTCTTTTTGACGCTACAAGACGAAAATTAAAGCTAAAGGCAAGCTTAAATACTGAAACTGTGAGTCAAATGCTGCAGTTTCCAATGAAAGTGCTTACTTGCTAATTTTATAATAGAAATGGTATGATAAGAGCGAAAAACCTTGTAAACGCTTCGAGTATTTACTCAATATTTTAGCAGAAGAGTCGTTGCTTTCTCTGAATCAGTAGATTTAAAAACATATACCTGCAACTTTTGTCACTACACTAAAGCCAAAAAACTGCGTCTTTATGGAGTTCCAAGCAAAAGCTCAATTTTGGATGCGGCGGGAAGAGAAACTGGAGCTGCTCTATTTCAATCTCTGCTACACAGGCATTAGAAGAGCTCTTGGAGATGGAAAAAAAAAAAGTTCATCAAAAAATCTCTAATTGTCAGATTAGCCCAAAGTAGGTCTGAGCTAACCAACGTGAGTTGAAGAAGTGTCTAGGTACTCGCAAGAAACAGAAAGCGAGTTCAATAAGATGAGAAAGTCGATTCTACTTGAACATCACCTTCAAATCTGCATCCAAAGCTCGTTGCGCACTGTAATTAATAGAAAAGAAGCCCATCTCAATATATATCTAGTATTGAGTAGGTATTTAGCTCTAAGCCACTCAATGTGCAAAGTATGAATTGCCATATCCTTACAACTTCAATGTGGTTACTGACTTTCCTGTAGTAAAAGATACACCCAACTCAAAAGTTATATTGTCATTTGCATGCTTTAATAAAATCAATGGTATGTTGCCTTGAGAAAAACGTCGATTATCAATGTACATGTATGCATCTAACTCAGAGTATTTTCTCTTGTTACTAAATTACTTTATTGACTATCAAATTTATTGAGATATATATATGTATATCTACAAGATTCACAACCACGACATCTGATATACTATGAAGATGCAAATCTAATATGTATAGCATATTCAGTATCAGAACAAAACTATCTTGAATACAAAGTTTTAGGACTAGAAGCCACTCAAGGCCCGTTACCCATTATTAAAAGCCATTTAATGGCAAGGAGTAGCAAGGAATAACAAAATGATAGAAAAAAATGTATATGTTTTAAATTTCTAAGATTAATTTTCTCCTTAGCGTAATGGACATAAAAAACAATTTTTATCAAGATATAAAAAATTTATATTCATTTTCTTCATTTTTTATTTATTTAATCTAATTCTTTTAAAATCAAAGACACTACAGCGTAAGCGATAGAAGAAAATTTCGATCAAAAGTATAAGAATTCTTCACTCAAATATGGAAGAAAAATGCAATTGCTTACACTGTGATGAGATTGTATTTTTAGCCTAGAAGTAATCGTTTTTCAGAAATGTTTCCCTGTTGATACAGATAGCATACTTGCGCATTGATATTGATTTTGTCGATTTTATACTTGAAATTTGTTAATGTATTAATTGTATAGAAAGATCTTTTGGATACATAGCCCAATGTGGCCTTCGACTGTTCAGACTCGATCAGTTTATAAAAATGAATGGCTTTACTAAGCTAAAAAAAACACCCTTGAGAGAATAGGGGCAAAAAAGGAATGGAGAGAAGAGCGTTGATCTAATGGTGTGTCTGGGCGTGAATTTGTAACCAGAGAAGAAATAGAAACATTTGGTTGGATGTTGGAAGAAAT